AGGAAACATACCTCACTTGGATGCAGGAGAGCAGCGCGAGCATTATGGCAAAGACTTGAAACTAACTCACTTAGGTGGAGTAAACAAGTCGTCAAAGTAAGAGGATGATGTGATAATGCAATCTCCATTCTGGATTCAATAACTTAAAAAGTCGTGTCACATTTTTCTATGCTTTCCTAAATTCTGACTTTGCTGATAAATCCATACAGTTGTTGACTTTACGAGCATGAAATATATCCAAACTGCTTAATGTTTTTCTTAGCTTCTTCCATGCAATACTTAATCTAAATAGCAAAATACAAAAGCCTATCAGTGTGCTAATAATATATGAAATGCATGTTTCTGCTCTAAACACAGAATGGCAGAAAACCAAACTGGATCGTTTCCAGACTTTTTCGCCTGGCCAAACTGTGGCAGCGGCATAGGCAAGGCTAGCTATCTATGCACATGCACAAGCTAGTCGTATTTTTTCTGTCTTCACTATCAGTTTTACCAACTATTCTTACAGTATCATACAGTTACATCCCTTTATACTTTCTAATTTTTTAAATTTTAGACTTTGAGTGCGGAAAAAAACAAAAAAACATTTTTGTCCAAAATTACAAGAGCTTGTATCGAGTTATTGGGATGGCACCTATGTTGGCCAATCAGGTTTCAAGGGAGACAATTGCTGCCCTAGATCACCCTTCTGTATCAGTTTAACCCCATTGAGCTATCTGGGTCTGTGTCAGACCAATATCAGGACAAAATCTGCGCATTAAAAAAAAAATTGCAGTTCCCAAATTGTCCACCTGGGGCTGGGTCTAAAAGCCAGAGACACCCTGTGGGCAACCACTGCAACTGGATGATGTCACTTAGATCATGTGCATGTTTAATTCAGTATGTGCTAGAGATGTCCTGATTGGTTATTTTGGCCTAAAAGACATTTTTTAAATTGTTGAGTATCTGTTGATACAGAGTCCTGTATTTGCCTGTAATAGAGCAGCATGTTGTTTTTGTCATCACTGTTGTTGATGGTGTTTTCTGCAGATATAAGTCAACAAAAAACAGTAACACTTTAGTTTATTAATGTTTAATCATAATTCATAAATAGCATATAGACCATTAATAAATTGTAAATTTTACAATTTTAAAAACCTAACCCTAACTTTACAATAACCATCTAAGTAATGTTTATAGATGGTTTAAAAAACAAATGTTAACCATTTACAAAGTGCTATTGACACACATTTTAATTTAGATGTTTTACAACCAATATTTAAACCCTATATAAACCTTTTAATTAATAGTCCATTAATCAATGAAAATTATTAATCATAATTTCGTTGCTTGTTAATGCTAAAGTAACTATTAACTCACATTAATAAACTATCTATTTGCCATTTATAACTGGTCTATATGCTGTTTTTAAATGATTATTAAATATTAATAAACTATCTATTTACCATTAAAAAATTGTGGTTATTGTAAAGTGTTACCCAAAATAGTTAAAAGAGCTCATTCCATTCAGCTTACTTCAGCTAGCGTTGTTGTAAAGCTCACTTATAGTCTTTTTTATATATTCTGGTGCATAAATACCACAAAACTGCTGTGCATGCCATACTGCAGGCTCAGCCCTGCTGTAAACACAACTGTCACGATGAGACAGAGTGAGATTCAGAGCTCCAGACATGCGGCTCTATTGCTTCAGCCCCCTATAATGATTGTATATTGCAGGTGGTTGTTGGACTGTTGGACTTGACTGCTGACAGAGTAGCCACAGGGCTACTTATGCTAATGTAACAGACGGTCCTGTGTTTATGTTTTCGCCTTTGTCCCAGGAGAGATGCCATAGGCTGCCACAAAGGGGTTGTTGTTAATTGTCTGGCTCTGCATATATGCGTAAGTAAGTCGTGGCTGGAATTCAACATTGACGTCTTGTTGCACAGGTGAGCCAGAACACTCGGTTGCACCATTTGATTCTTGCAGCTCTTCGATGAAAACTCTAACTCCTCTCTCAGTCAATTCTCCCTGTATTTTTTTTTCACATAAACACTCAAACTTACAGTTCATTGCAGCCTAAATTGACCTTCCCAATCCTTGCAGTTTTTGACCGAACCTTTCTCACCAGCTTCAACCTTGTTCTGTGTCACTCTTACATACGAAGATGACACGGTACATCAGGTCCCCAGGGTGTAAACCTGCGAACAGCAAGCGGCGTAATGCGAAGTTACTGTTGTGGTTTCCCCTCAAGTTGACCTGTCAACTCTGCCCGTGGCATGAGATCTCCTGGGGGCTGGCATACCTCGATAAAAAAGGCAGAAAAACACCTCTCTGAAGAGTGGATTGAAGATGGCAGCCAGAAAAGTGAAAGCCAAAGGGACAGAGGGAGAAAGCGTGCGCCTTTGAAGAGAACATCAGCAGGCGTCATGGCACTCAGGCAGACCCCCTCTCTTCCCCCCTGCGCGGAGGACCCATCTCCACAGATGAAAGCAGGAGCCTCTTTGAGGTGGCGCCCTAGCATTATCCCTGCATCCTGCATCAAGTAATTGAAAGACCTAAGAGTGTGGTAGGGGGCTTGAAGAAAGGGGGTCTGGGCTGAGTCATCCTTGCATTCTTTCTTTTGGACTTGCAGAAAATACGAAGAAAGAGCTGAGTGACACGAACCTGGAGAATGGAGAAAGAGCTTTTAGCTGCTGTGTGTGTAAAGATATGGGGAAATGCCCTGCTCCATGTAGTCATTAAACCATTGCAACTCTTTAGATAAAAACATTAACATCATTTATTGCAGTTTGAAATAGCTAAAGTGCACAAAACACAAGTGAGGGAGAAAAACATCGAAAGATCAAATTTGAACTGTTACGATTCCCACCGGCAATTTCCACCGCATCCGGAACGGCTACGAAAAGGCCGTATCCGCCGATCGTAGCTGACCGTAACCATTCAAGTTAATGTGTCAATTTCCACTTGTTTCGTTCCGTTCCACAGCTGATCGCAAGGGTTCTATTTTTTCCGGACGCCAAAGCATGCCGGATAAATTCAGCACAGATTAACCCGTGCTGGAAACAAAGTCGGGCATAGACACAAAATAAAACATCCGGCTTCTTTTCAAAATAAAACACTCAGGCGGATTGTATTTCACACCATGCAGACAGGCAGAGATGAGGAGATGCTGATTTTAGAAGTCTAAAAGTAGATTTTCTCCTCTGGAAGGACGAAATATACTGCTTATATGGTTAGCCTATGTGGCTAACGACAATTTGTTTTCGCACAATTGGACGTGAATCTGCGGGTTCTTGTGAGTTCTCATGATTCCTGCTGTCCATAATTCGCCACGAAATTCGCCTCACAAGTAGACCCAGTTGGAATTGGCGAACAGCGAAAATCGCCACTGTTCCGGATGTGGTGGAAATCCCGGGTCAATGTGCAATAAACCCTATTATCATGTAAATTCTGTACAGATGCAAATATGACGCATGCACATACTTTGTCTCAACTCAAAGTTTCTTTATCTTTTAAATTTTCTCTTTTTGTATCTACGCTGCTGTAATTTTTGAATTTTCCCCTGTGGGACTAATGAAGGAACATCTCATCTTATCTCTGATCTTCTTCAAAAGTCCCGCCTAAATAAGAAAGCAAAGAGATCAGCACCTCTTGCTCTCAGTCTGCAATTACTGATGCAGCCTTCATAATGGATGGAATGTGACAAGTAATATATGCAGGAACCCGTGCGTCATAATGGCTCATATAGCTGCGGGTGTCGTAAAACCATTTTAAATTTGAAACTGGCCTGGTAACTGCAACATTGAGACCACATGACACAGGGGGGACAGTTTTTCCCTCTTCTATATGGAGAAAACCACGGGTGCTGATGATGAGGTTGTGTGGATGTAAGAGAGAATAATATTTCATGTCTTGGATGGCTTGTATCAAGGGGAATATGGGACAGTCCAGAATGCGCTCAATGGATCAAAGTAATCTCGGTCAAATCAGTGTCACTGCGCTGTCTGCACGCTATTTAATCCTCTCTGTCGTGACATTTAATATGTTGCACAGCAACTGTAATATCTGCATATCTCAGACAGTTGTGTGGCTCTAGACTATAATTCGCTTGATGACATTCACCTTTATGTTCCTGATGAAAAACACACCTCTGTTCAAGTGTCTGGGTTGAAATCAGATGGAAAACTCTCATCACTGCAGCGTCGGAGAGGAAAAGGTACTTTGTAAATCTCTCTTTAACCAGGTATTGTCTCGCAGTAATGCAGAGAAGTGGCACCTTCGTCATCATCTCCTCTCCTAAAGGTCTCCCTCTCCTGTTCCTCTCCATCCCCACTCGCTCACCTCTCCCGGTTTCCCACTGGATGCAGCAGAACATGGTTTCTCATTATCAGCCAGACTCCTCCCTCCCTCCCTCTCTCTCTGACTGCTGGTGTTTCTCCTCCCTCCCTCTTGTGTTGAAGAGCTCGGCAGTAAGCGTTAATCCCGGATTGAGCTGCCCTGCCGTCTGCATCCCGTTGTTGCTGGGAGAGCATGGCACGGCTCCAGGACCCCTGTGCTCACACAGGAGAGAAGTAAACGCATGAGAGAGAGAGAGAGATAGAGGGAGGGAGGAAGAAAGAGAGAGAAAGAGAGATAGAGAGGGAGAACAGGAAAGAGGTACAGTTGGGATGTTTCACGACTGCCACAGCTGCTTGAGCACAGCACTGCACTGAGTGTTATTGAGTTTCAGTCACACACACTCTCTCATATAAACAAGAGAGAAAAGAGAGAGAGAGAGAGGGAGAGAGAGAGAGAGGAAAAGAGGGCAGCATGACGGTCAGTTTGTTCCAGCTGTGGGTGCAAATGTGAATGAGGAAAGAGGAAACCTCGGTCACGTCTTGGGTTCCACCACAGCGCAACATCCCTCCGCTCTGCTCCTCTCCGCTCTGCTCGCAGTCGCGTCTTCCTCACTGCTCTTACTTAAGAAGGATTAAACTTTTCTTTTGATCTCCGGTTGGCACATTTTCGGAAGTGTTGACATGGAGTCTCCCACCAAAGAGATCGAGGAGTTTGAAAGCACGGCCCTGAAGTACCTCCAGCCCGAACAGATTGAGAAGATCTGGCTCAGGCTCCGTGGACTGTGAGTATAACCACTTTTACTCTTTGTCAACAAGTGTGTTTATGTTTAAAGTGTGTGTTGTTTCTTTTGTGTTAGCCAGACTAATATTAAAGTTAAGCCTCATTCTTTGTTTTCCTAATGAAAAATGTGTCTTTGTGTGTAAGAAAAACTAATCATGAAAGAGCGAACGCTACTTGAAACTTGAAGAAGCAGGAAACACACGCACACAAAAATGAAATGACTAAAACCAAACAGCTTTGAGCTACATCCTTTGAACTCTTTGAACGGTTTATTAGACATAAAGAAAAAAGGAAAGAACATCAGAGCTGGAGCGTTAATGCAGGGAGGCTTACTCACACTTTCACCCTTATTGCATGTTTTTTTTTCTTTCTTTTTACCAGAAGTATTAAAGAGAGGAGGACATGATTAGGTTTCTTGCCGCATGTGAGCGCTGACTTGCAATCAAGCACCTGTTGTGCATGTCGAATAAGGGCGCAACAGGAGAATACATTTCTGCTCGGATGAATTAATGAGGACATTTTCTCATAGATATTGAGCCTTAAGGAAATTTCTCTCCCTCTTCTCATTTTAATTCATGCTAAAGCCTTCTTGAGCATTCTTCTGCTTCCTCCAGCCCCTTAAGGGAGATCTTTTTTTTTTTTCTTTATACCCCCTACCACTCCACTTCTTCTTATTCTCCATCCAATCAACACCTTTCTGACCTTTTGCCCTAAAAAGACAGCTCCGCACGCTGTGTATGCCACAATCACGGGGGGATGTTCTCTTATCCATTTTCAGCTCTTATTCGTCGTACTCAGCGGGGAGCAGAAGACAGAGGTGTTGAAAAGAGGGTTGTGCTTGTAAGAGGAAAAAAAAAAAACTTGAATGTTACTGCAGCAGGTCTGAATGAGGAGCAGTTTTCTCCTGCGCCACAGACTTTCCCCCTGAGGAATGAACCACGCATGAGGGTGCAGTTCAGCTACCCGCCGTCCTCCCCTCCTCTACCCCAACACTTTATTTTCATTTGTTATTCTTCTTTTGTGATTAGTCATTGTTTCTCTCTCTCTGCTGTGTCATAAACCCAATATTCACCCCTCCCTGCTCCCTGTCCAGCCATCATCATCATCATCATCATCATCATCATCATCATCATCATCATCATCATCCCCTGCCACATTCAGTTTCCTCGGATGGCTTGATTGTCTCCCCAGTTTGGCCACTGTCATAAATTCTCAATCATAACCATCTGTCTGTTTGGATATTTGATGGATAGTGAGTCAGAGGAAGCTGAACTGGAGGGTGGGGGGGTTGGGTTTGTTTGTTTTTTTTATTTTTTCATCATGGCTACGCTGGCGTCTGCTGGGTTCTCTGAGGGCTCCTGTTGCGTGTCAGAGATCACATTAGCCTTTAATCTCACAAAGAGCCTCCGTCTGAAGAGAGAGGGAGCTCTGACTGACAGGCAGCCCTCACAGATGTTGATGCTACACATGTTGTACTTTTAATAGTGTGCAGCATATAGATATATATATGTGTGTGTTTGTGTGTGTGATACTGGGAAAGGTTAGCTGTGCGTGCGCTGGTGTGGATGGTATAGATCGGATGTGCGTTTAAGAGGCAGCTTGGTGACATTTACTGTATGTGCTGCCAGCTTATCCTCGGAGATTTGTTTGGCAGCTGTATGATCTGTTTGTGTGTTTATTTGTGTGTGTGTGTATGTGTGTGTTTGTGAGTGCTGAATGGCTCTCTCTGGCACAGGGTAGTCCACAGAGTGCACCAATCATCCACGGACAGGCAGAGAGAGAGAGAGAGAGCATTTGCTTCGGACAGTTTTTTGCCTCTGCTCCACCTTCAGTGACGCAGACTAAAGCCTGCTGACATAAACTGATGGAGGCATGAACAGCGGGTTGTCTTTTATTACTTCCACGCTGACAAACGGCCCCCCTCTATGTTTTTTTTTTGCATAGGTGAATGAACTCCGATAGATTTCCATTGATGAATTAGATCGGTGCGACACACTGACCTCTCTGTCACCCATTGATTAATTGAAATCAATGCATTATTTAACCACTTGATCAACACTTCATAACAGAGAGCTCCCTCAAGGGAAGGGCAGCTTTGACACGGCCCCAAGGAGGATCCAAGCGGCCGGGTGACTGCTTTATGAAGTGTTTTTTAGTTTCAAGGCACTCACTGAGATAAAACATCGGCTGTTTGCAAAGATGGACGATGCATCTCCTCCTCCTCCTGTTGTATAAAGACGAAGCCAAACACCCCTCTTATTGGAGCTGATGTATAGCGCCGGTGACCTTTATGAACGAGAGTCTGAGCGATAGAGGTTGGCCGGTGGAGTGTTAGTATTGATGCGTTGCCCCTCCTGGTAATTTAACTGACAAAACAGCATAACAACCCAACAGTGTGACAACGTGACAGTCCAAAACAGACACTTGTTGCAATGGAAAGTTTAGTGACTCGTGTGTAAGGGTTTGTTTACCCCACTTTAAAGCATAAAATCAACAATTAAAAACAAACACCAAGAATAAATTAGCATAAAGATGAAGCGATCAACGGTGCTTTCACAAGGAACTCTGTATCGACCCCTTGAAAGTCCCTTGCTAAGGGAGGGAAACTTTTCAAAAGTCCAGGAACTTTGTTGGACAAGGCCTGGAGATGTTTTTGTTTACATATCAGGTCCTTGATTTACATTTAAAGCATTGGTAGCTATGAGAACTGACCATAGACTTTATTAATGCTGCGTTCGAGTTACCTCTGAAGTCAGAAGTCTGCGCTGAAAATGACGTCACACCCGAGTTACCAGTGTTTCAGTTACCAAGTCGGAAAAAAGCAAAATGAGAGGCAAAAAACAAGATGGCTACATCTACGAAAGTTATTTTAGCACTTGCCTCATATTTGGACAAGGCAATCGCTAAAATAACTTGCTTAGATGTAGGCATCTTGTTTCCGCCTCCGATTTTGCTTTTTTCGGACTTGGTAACTAAAACGCTGGTAACTCGGTTGTGACGTCACTTTCAGCGCAGACCTCTGACTTCCGAGGTAATTAGGATGGACGTAGTGTTGATGACGTCACCTCTTTGTTTGTAAGGCAGAGTTTTGAAGCCCATCTGCAGCAGTCACCATATCGATAGTGCTGACTTAACCTAGGGTGACCATACGCCCTCTTTTACCTGGACATGTCCTCTTTTTGGGGGGGCTGTCAGGCCTTGTCCGGCTTTGTCCAGGGAGGTTTATAAAATCCTTAAAATGTCCGGGGTTTAGTATGGAAGTTTCAAGTTTGTGTTGCATGGACTTACTGAGTTAGAAGCGTGTAAAAGACACTCGATCCGACCTGAAAAACTGTCAAAATTAACTATGCATGACTCCATGACTCCGCCCCCATGTAGTCGTGTCCTCGTTTTGGGGATTCAGAATATTGTCACCCTTCTTAACCTAACTTTCAGCCAATCTGAGGCGGGCCTTCTACCTTCTCCCAAATGACAATAGAGTGACAGTCAAGTCAGCTCGCCTAAACTTCATAACTCTGAAATGAATGCATTACACTCTGTTCAGTGGGAGCCCTGAGCTATTCAGACCAAAAATGCTTTTCAAACCAGGCTGTAAACATACTTTTGCTTTTTTTGGCTCAGTAAGTACATGACTTCACAGTGTCTCTGCATCAACTGGACACTTAGGGAACTGCAGTTTTTAGCTCTTCTGCATTGGCTGCATTGCTCAAGACCAGGCTGCAAGTTGGCACTGATGAAAATACAAGGAAAACTGATCATATTGGATTGTATCCCATGTTACCCTGATGCTATTTGATCAGTCAAACTATGTTCTTACTGTATATGAGTTATGACTTTGTTTCATAGTCCTGATTTCCATGATCTACACCTACTGCTGCAGTGGACATGCAGACAGCAATGGGCCACAGGAACCATTTAAAGTTCCTAGAATTAAAAGTTCCTGGTAGTTTTGGTGGAAATGCGCCCAATGATGACAACAATTACGCTTGAAAAAAAGTCTTTATCGTGTTCAGTGAGTTTAAAGATGACTGATGTCCCATCTGTTATCATGGAGGGAGCTGACTTTATGAGCTATACTGCAGCCAGTCAGTCAGTAAGGGTTTTCGCTCACTTTTGGGGGACTGCCATCGCTTACAGAGTCGCTAAGATACAATTTTAGATAAAGAAAAAAAGAGAAAAAGCAACAAAGACAAGAACAAAAGTAATGTTTGATGTACTGTATATTGGAACAAGATTGCCTTTAGCTAAACAAGCCCTCTGTAACCTCTACAATAACCATAATTCCTGGAATTTCCATGACCCCTTTCGACTCACATCCTCATTATACAGAGGTTATTGCATTAAAGCCGTCTAATTAGAAGAAGCTTTGTGTTGTTGACACACACATTTAGATGTAAAGCAGGCTTAGCGAGAGGAGGGGATGAGGAGAGACCCTCTAAATCCCGTTTTATTTACCCTTTGTTAATGCTTATCAGCGTTTGTTATCCGCGTCCTTTTCCCAGAGCATCTCCTTCCCTTTCTTATCACGATTCGCTCCCTTTTTCATTTATCATCAGGGAGTTCTTAACATTTCTTTACAGAGGCTAACTTACTGAGCTTGCAGCTTTACGCTGAGCTCTAAGAAAGATTGATACAGAAAACGACTGAGGAACAAATCAAGCTAAGTGCTGTGAATTCTGCCTGACTGGAATTTTAATCGACGCCTGTTGTCGAACAGCAGTGGGTCCGTCTCTCCCTCCACTTTGCTTTCACGAGTGCCTCAAGTGAGTGTGTGTATGAATTAAGCTTTTAGAGCCACCCTGCTATCTTTTCATGAGGGTGTGGGGGGCTTTTAGGCCAAATGGTAGGGTAAGCGATCATAGATGTGTTTCACTGTAATGTACCCGGGTAGGTACTCGCTGTGAGAATATGTTTGTGTGATCATAAGATGGGCGGATGTCGCTGGATAGCATGTGTGCGTGTGTTTGCATATCATTTAGAGTCTTAAATCCCTCGTTAGCATAAGTGTATGTAAGCATTAGCTTCTGTAAATTAACTGTATTAATGAAATGACTGCTCAGTCGTTATCCCCAGAAAAGCAAAGAAAGAAACTCTTACAGGACAAGAGTGAATGTACACTTGAAAGTCTCAAGATGTTAACTCTAACTTAAACGTGACAGTTTTAACTTTTTCATTTCAGCAGGTTTAGTTCTTATGCTTCATTTAAGTCTAATTCATTTACGCCTGTTCAAACACTGAAGGACACCTTTACATTTGCATTTGTACATTTCTGCATCCTCTTTTTGTGGGTTTAGAGAAAAACAACAAGAACTACAAATGACTGAGCTTCAAGGCTTATAGCTGGAAAGGGGATTAAGAAAATAGGAGGCATTCAAGAGTCATTTTCAAGGACATATGACAATTACAGGATATTCAGCTGCAACAATGTGGCACTGTAAACATCACTATACACTCTGACAGACGTCCAATAAAAATGGTTTGTCTTCAAGTTAGATGCTTACAAACTCTTTTAAAGCAAAAGGAGCAGACACTTTATTTCATTTCTACTTTTGATGGCATTTCAATGAATGTGAAAAATCCTATAAGTGAAAAGCTTTGTATGAGTCGGTCTTTTGTTTGGGTCTGTTCTGCTGAAGAACTACCACCACGCTATGTCTGTAAAGATAGGCTAGTATAGGTTAGTATGTGTTGGAATGATGGTTTATTTTCTCTGGCTCAAAAAATGTCCTTCAGAATCGAAAAATTGGTGTTGCTTCCTCTCCAGCGGAGTATTCTTATTAACTTACTTGAGAGCTGAGTCATTATTAAGCGTCACACTTTCATTCATTGACTAGTCCAAACAGCAGCCAGTCTCCATTTGCGTTTTGAGCTGATTCATAAACTTGCTGCAGTATTTAGTCAGGTCTTCAGCCCCGTCACTGTCAAAGTCTGTTGACATCTTTTATGTCAACCCGTACCTGCTTCACCTCTTTTGCTGATTCTGTTTCTCACTCTTTTCTTTGCTTATGCCACTAACCACGAATCCAGAGTTTAGTTAATATTAAAAGGATCCTCCATATTGTCAAAATAGAGATTTTTGCCACAGTGTCAACAGGCAGAGGTGAAACATGTTCTCTCCAGGGTGACGTCTGCTCTTACAATAAAAGATAAAACACCTTCTTCCAATGTCTCACAATCCTCATGTTTGTTTTTCTTTGTCAGGCGCAAGTATAAGAAGACGTCCCAGAGGTAAGGCTTGCTGTCAGGACTTTGGACCATTTTCTTCACCTCTACCTGCTCTTTTCCATCTCTTCCTCTTTCCCCCTCCTTTTCTTCCCACATGTCTTTTATTCTTGGATTTCCTCCACCCCTGAACCTGTTCCTGGACCGACTCCTACCTTTTTATTTCTATTTTGAAATTCCTCCTTGTTTGTTGAAGGCCTGTGTACCTGTACTATGAAGTTCGAATTTGAATAAAGGTTATTATTGTGTCATTATTATTGCTTTGGTTTATCCCCCATCATGCCTGAGAGCCACAGGAAATAACAAAAGCTGTCAAAAATATCTTTTCACACTTTTATCTATTCACAAACACTCATCTGTCATAAACTACAAAGGTGTTCTGGGAAACACAGGTACCTCATAGACCTTTAAAGCCTGACAAATAACTGGAGCTGTGCATGCTTGATCTCTTATTATGAAACTTGCATTTGTTGAGTCAAAGAGGCTCAGGGGAAATCAGGCCCCCTATGCCCGGAAACCTAAATGTGTTTATTTACAAGCATGAAAGCAGAGATTAATTAATGCTGTTTGATGGGAGGGTAATGTCGATTTAAGTATCATTTGTTCCAAGTGTTTCTGTATTGATCGAAAACATGAAATCAATGTCCTTCATTATTCATTTTATCCTCTCCTTTGATGATTTTTTTCTGGCACAGAGACAATATTTTATCGCTGTAAGACCCCGGAGAGCTAATAAGGCTTTAAAACGTTTGAACCACATCGAGGGCTACGACAAGAAAAAGTTTTGGATATCAATATTTTATCTGCTACCTCTAATAGTCGGGCCATGCTAAGTTGTTGATCTTGCTGCTCGCGGGCAATTTCACAACCTGGCTTGAACGGCCCTGACAAGGTGGGGAGACACAGCAGTATGATTTAATTTGTACAGATTGGGAGTTATTGATTAAAAGAACAATCGCATTTTGAACAAAGGTCAGTTGAGTCAGAGATAAACAAAGTAAAGACATGAACTGAGGAAGGTAAAAGCTGCAAATGATGAATGGGTGCCTACAGGGGAAGTGAGAGCCAGACTGTTCCTAACAGAGAGGGTTTTCTCTTCTCCTTTGCAGCATAGATTCTATTAAACATAGATGTAGTCTATAGTTTATGAAACCCAACCACCTTTAGATCACTTTGAATCGATCTAGACACAGACAGAGAGGTGGATCTCTGGCAAGCCTTACGCCCCCTGGCAAATACTTACAGTGCAGGACCATTAACCAAAACTCTAATCATGCAAATGTATGAATAACTCCTTATAGATTCAAAACTATGAAAGAGGAATAGAGCAAGAAGAGAAAAAAATAGTTACAGGAGGGACATTTTTTTAATTTCCATTTTGAGATTAAAATCGAAATTTTTAGATTAAAGTCGAAATTTTCAAAAAAATTAAATTAAGTCATGAAAGTCATTCTCCAGTTTTTTCTTCTTCTGTAGAGTCGTAATCTTCAGCTCAGTCTTTTCAGAATCCGAATACTTACGACCACACTGTGTTTGTGTGCTAATAGAGCAACGATTTTCTTGGTACTAAATCCAATTCTATAGTACAGCTTTACAAACAGAGGACATGTTGTCGAGTGACGAGTGACAATGCTGTTGATTCATTATCATTAATATCAATATTAAGACTTTATTCATGAAATTCTGTCTTTTATTTGAGTCGACTTTAATCTTGTAATTTGGATTTAATTTACGAGATTTCGACTTTATTGATGTCGACTTGTTTCTCAAAATTTCAACTTTAATCTCGAAATTTCAATTTTTTTAATCTCGAAATTTCGACATTATTCATGACATTTTGACATTTTGCAATCTTGAAATTTCGACTTTAATCTCCTCCTGTAATTATTATTTTTCTCTTTATGTGGCCTTAATCCTCTTCTGTTCAAAACAGATCAGGATTGGAGACAGTTTTTTTGAACCAGGCTATTTCACCCGTAAAAATTAGAATTTCAATAACAGAGGACAAGCAAACAAAGGGAACCAAAATATAACAGAGGACAAACAAACAAAGGGAACCAAAATACAAAAGTTGTTAAGATTGCTGTTTAGGACTATGGGCGAGGGCTGGGTGATTTGGCCTCAAATCAATATCACGATATGTTAAGCAGTTCACCTTGATAACGATAAATGGACGATAATTACTCTTCGTCTTCGTCTACGTCCTCCATCTCCTCACCTTTCTTTCCCCCTTTGTTACAGACTGGATGGGGTGGAGTCACGTCTCTGACATAGGCCAACATCTTGAAGAGACATCTAGCCTACCTACACACATCCAAAACCAACTCTTCTTTATTTATTTATTTGACACTCAATATACTGATATGGGCAAAATGGCGTTGGTTATTGTCGTAAATTTTGGTGTCGGTAAATTTTCGGTTTTACCACCCAGCCCTACTATGGGCCAAGCCTAAACCTAGTTTTGTAAGTGAACACATCTTGTTAGTGCGTGTTCAGCCTGGTACTCATTGTGATCAGATCAAGGAAATACTTGAACCAGATCAAGATGATATTGATGAGTAAAACAAAACAAACGATTCCTTTGCTGTCTGTATTACAGTAACAGAGAAATGAGCGAAACTCTGCCTCTGGTCCAATCAGATAACTTGGTTGTAAATAACTGTTGTATGAAATAGAAAATCCCCAGCCTGCTATTTAGGAGTGAAACACCAAATGATTTTGCCCAACATACTGTGTCTATATTTGGATTTACCTCATTTATCTCCACTGTTTTTTCTTTTCTCGTGTACACACAGAAACCAGACATCATTTCTCTCTTTGCGCCAGTTAACTCAGCAATCTAGAGAATGCATGGGGACAGATCAAGTTAACTCAGGGAAAAGAAAATTGCTTCACAAACAAAAAGCTAAAATAGGTTGCCTTAGCTCCACTCTGACGTGGATTCATGGCATTTTCCAGCGAACTGTGGGATTGCCGGGATTGAACGAAACTGGCGTCATCCCGTTTATTGGCCCAGCATGTGGTCGTTTGGAGTGGTATAGAGCGAGCTGCTGGAGATTCTCTCTCTCTCTCTCTCTCTGTCACTGTCTCCAAGTCCCTCTCTCTTGCTCTCTCTGCTGGGTGGGTGAGTTCCTGTGTGGAGGAGCTGGGTGATTGACAGCTCCATATGTGTCTGTGTAATTACAGCTGGGCTAATTGGCAGAGAGGAACGCTGGGACATTGTCATTACTGACACACCAGTACAACCCTCACACTCGCAGATGGAGGGAGAGATAGCCCCCTTTAAAGAGGGAGGGGTGAGAACATACAGAGTTATGTTTGTACGCGTGAATGTAAAGAATTAAGAGAGACTGTAAAGGAAAAGACACTGGTCGTTTAAGGTCTGTGTGTCTTTCATGGCTTTAGTCTGGGAAACTCTTTTCCTGTTGCTGTGTTGAATTTTTGACCACACTGTTACTATTGTGCTCCACTCTCCGTCTTATCTATTGACAATTTGCTAAACCCCACCCCTCAAATTACTGGTGCCAGAACTGCTAGGTAATCCATCATTGTGCAGCACATTCGCAGTCTACAAAGATAGATATGACAGATTTATCACAAGAATGTAAAATGAGTCTTTTTCTAACAGCGGTCTCTTGATTTTTGCTGCAAAGCTCAACTATTGACTTTGACTTACTTCATGAGTTAAAAAAACATTTAGGCCAAAGATCCTCGGCACAGTTTTTTTAAAACTTTTCCTTTGAACAAGCACCAGGAGAAAACAGACTAAAGGTCCTTACACACCGGGAGCGTTTTGGTTGTGCGATTATTTCGGACGTCAACATTTTTCTTGAACCTGTATCCTGTCAATACAAGTGTTCACATCAGCGACGTTTCCCCGTCCTGCAATATTGCGGCATTTATTTTTTCGGATCACGGTCGTTTTTTTTAAAGTTTCGCATACTGTGTGTCCATTTCTGACCAATCAGATTGCGTGTTGTTGCGACGTCTGATGCGACGTGTATCCAACATGGCCGACCGGCTGATTGTTTACGTGTCGGAGAACAGAGTGCTTTATGATAAAAGACGGATGATGGAAAAGACGATGGATTGCGTGCTTTAACAGTTCGCCAAACGTCTTTGTTTTAACTTTCACCTGTGCTAACGTAAGCTAACGGTTGTTACCATAGTTTCATGTGCTTACTGACTGTTGGCTTGAGTGTGTGATGAAGTTTCCAGCTTTTCTAGCCAATCAGAGATTTACGATATTTCGTAATTTCGCGTTCTAAATTTGCGTCAGCCCCGGTGTGTAAGGACCTTAAAGAGTTAAATTTATGATAATTAACTTTCATGGCAGAAGATGTGCAGGGGGGGGCAATAAAACCTACAAGGGCTTGTTAAGTAGACCGCCTTATAACAAACATTCAACAGGGAGACAACATGAATGAAAACAGGAAGTTTAACATGCAAATGAAGACAAAGATTAATGTGAGCAGCAATGATATGAGGAACATGCAGGAAGGCAGGGTTGGGGTTGAATGAGTTCAAATGAGCACTGCCTCTAATATGACTTTGGTGCAGTAATCCAGCAGTGACGAAAACTGAGACACAGTGGTCCTAAAGAAGGCTGGACTGAGTTGGTTCTTACTCCAGTATATTTTTGATCTCGTTGCAAATTTGAACAAGAGAAAAAGAAGCTGGATTAAATGTGTTGAATTACCTTTATATCTTGGAAATGTTATACTGCGGTCTCCTAAAGGGAGTTTCAAAAAGGTGCTGGACCAACAAAGCGGTGTCTCTTCCAGATTCAAGTCACAGTCTGGCCATTATTCTCACTTATCTTAAACAAGATCTCCTAAATCTGCTGAGTATTAAGTTTAGAAACAACACAATGTTCGGTAACTATCTCAGGTGATCAGCTACTCGCCCATGTTAGAGCAGTTTAATCCTTTACTTGGATTTTGCATTCCCTGTGAGTCTGGAAAGGCTGGAAAAGACTCTCTGCTCGAATACAAGTATCACATATTCGACAACACTTTCGCAGAGGGCTTTGTCATGCGGAGAAATCTGCGGTTTGGCAGGCCTGCTATGCTGAAATTGCTGTGATTGGTCAACCGCTGTTCAAGAGATGAGTTTGCTGAACGTTCAATTCAAAATTAGTCTTTGACAAGACTCTATTTAATCTTGTGCTGCCAAATGTGACAGAGCAATTTTAGTCTATCCATTTGAGGAGGAAGAGGAGGGAAAAACTACTCTTTTCTCTGAAAGGCATTGATCACCTAACCACCAGCGATTACAGCGATTATTCACCGACAAAGCAATAACAAATCATTGGTGCATCTCTCTGACAGGCGTCTGGACGCTGCTCTGAAAGAAACGGGCTTTTACTTTGGCCTCTAACTATGCTACTGTGGTCACTCCCTGTTTCCCCTCTTTCAAAAACAGTAAGTGTTTTGCCATCTGATCCTGTCATGCCTCCAGCCTTAAATGGTCTCTTGTAGTCGGCCTTGCATCCAACTCTGTGTGTATATGAGCATGTGTGTCTGTATCTTTATGAGAGAGTTTGAGTGTATCCTCTCTCTCTCTCTCTCCCAGGACTTCTGTGTTTGTTCAGACTGTTGCCTACAGGGCTTCAGAACATGTTTTCAGGAAAGCAGTGACTCAGACTGCTGAGACATCTGCAGCCTACGTCTCCTCCAGTTTGTTCCAGTCCTCACACACTCAAATGTGTGTTAATTTGTATTTGTGCGAGACAGAAGAATTAAGATTCAGGGGCAGCGTCTCTGTTTGTTTGTGGATAAGTCCACACTCCGTTTCTGCTGTGTCTGTGTCTGCCTGTTTCTTTTTTCTTGCAGAGCTGTTTTTGGGGCAAGTCCAAGTCTTCAGACAAGTCAGCCCTGAATTTAAAGCAAGTCTCAAGTCCCGAGAGCAAAGTGTTGTTCAAGTTGTGTTGTGCAGAATTTCAGTTGTGTTTTTAGTTTTAAAGTTGAGACTTGTGCTGAATACAACCGAATATAACAAGGACAAGGCAAGCGCTAAAATAACCTTCATAGATGTAGCCATCTTGTTTTTGCCTCAGATTTTGCTTTTTTCTGACTTGATAACTGAAACGCTGGGAACTCGGGTGTCAGCTCCGACATCACTAGTTCCAGTTACCTCGGAAGCCGGATGTTGGAGATGGGGATGACGTTACACCCAAGTTGACAGCGTTCCAGTAAACAAATTGGAAAACCAAGATGGATGCCATTGTTAGCTATTATTAGCTGTTGTTAGCAGTTGTCAGCCGTTGTTAGCTGTTGTCAGCCATTGATAGTTGTTGTTAGCTATACTAGTTGTAAACAACTCGTAACACAGTATTTTACTCTTACAAACACCATAGCAATGTGTCCACAGTTAGACGCTGTGCATAAACCACTTATTTAATTTCACAAAAACAAAACAGAAGTGCTAATAAATAAAACATTACGAGAGCTTTCACTGTTACTCTTCACTGTTGGTGCACTGTGCCGCCATCTTGGATTATGACGTTGTCGTCAACTTGGGGTTGGTGAGGATCGTCAGACTTTCCGAGTCGGAAGTCCGACTTCAGGGGGGCGTTCCAGATGAATTTCCAACTCGGAGCCCCAAAATCCTGACTTCCGACTTCCATTAGTTTCTGTCATGAGCTTGAATGAAACTGATTTTTAAGTTTAATCAGAAAATTCTGCTCCTCTACTCTTCATCCCTTGTTAGAATAATTACTGATATTTTATCACAATTTCTTTACTTTTTGGAGGACACGAACTCCCAGAAATACAGACTTTATATGCAAATGATAAAAGTTAAATGTAACAGCATTGGAAGTGGGAAGAAAAAGATACTGTAGAATTGACTCTCTGGTTCGAAAACTTGGACATACTCTGTCATTTAGAGTGAGTCCTAGTTTGTTGTGACTTGTTATGGATTGCATGTGTTAATGAATTTCTTACACCTTAAATAAGACACCATAATCTAACTGTAGTCTCATTAACACTTGTTTGAACATGTGTAGGAAATCTAAAGCTTTACACGCTGTCGGCCTTGCCCAGTTACAGTTGCTAAGCTGTGACTGGACCATCTCTAAGCAGGGGGTGAGTTTAGTGAATGGTGGATTTGAAACGTGTCTTTGAGAAATCTCTACCCAATCAGCCGAGATATTGATCGCCTAAGCAGCACCGTTTATTGTGATTGTCCACCAACAAAGCAACAAGCAGACGCTTTGTGATTTTCTTTGACGGGAGACTGAATACTGCGGAGTGAAACACGCTGTCACCGTGGTCACTCCTTAAGACCACTCAGTCAAAAGCCGTAAGTGTTTTAGCATCGGATCCAGGCAAACCTCCAGCCTTAAATGGCTTTGTGTAGTCTGATGCGTTGCCAACTCTGTCTCCTGTCTATCTCCCAGGACTGCCGCTGAGTTTGTATAGATTGCAGCCTCGGATGCTTCAGTACTTGGTTTCAGGGGAAGTAATGACTCCGGCTGCTCAGGCATGTACTGCCGTGACTTCTCAGCTCCTTTCCAATCTTCACACACTCAGCATGTGTTTGTAAATATGTCCTTGGACACACATAACCGCTGTATCTCTGTTTACATATGAGCTGGACTGTATATACAATTGGTATATGCTGGTCCATGACACCTTTTCTGGAAATAACACCTGCATGAGAATAACAGAAGAGAGATCATTTATAAAAACACAAGACAAAAAAAAAAGAGGAGAAGGGCAGATACTATCAGGAAGAGCATCAGCATGGGAAATGAAACTCTTTGGTTAATGTCAGTAATCAGGGAGCAGATATTCCAGGCATTGGCTGCCTTTCAAGAACAACCCATTAGATGCCATTACCAAACCCTCTCGGTCTCTCTTCTCCGTGGTTTGGGACCATTTGTCAGTCATCACAGCTATGGGCTATTTATTGGAGATGATTCATTTGGGACAACAACGCATGTCCTTGTTGGTTTTGGATTAGCCAGCCAAACAAATAGCTGTCTCTTGAGCAGTACATGACCAGAAATTACCGAGGCAATAAAGATGATGGTGTGCACGGATAATGAGAAAGAAAATAACAAAGATGCACGCTCCAGATATCAGAAATTTAGACTGATTGTTACAAAAAAATGGAAGGTCTTTTGGTTTTATAAGCGCTGTCATGAATGTGATTATATTTATAACGAAAAAAAGGAAGTTTGGTGAAAAATAAAAGGATGACAAGAGACGAAAAACTGGAGATATTTCTTCAACTTTTTAAATTTGGTTTTTGCTCACTGAAGAGATTAATTTGAACACCCTCAAGCCCATTTTTCACTGAGATCCCTTAACATTTGAATATTTTAAAATATTATTTTAGCACACGAACTTTTGCACGAATGACTGCATCAATGCGACGCGGCGTGGAGACCATCAGTCTTTTGCACAGCTGGGGTGTCATGGAAGCCCGGTTGACTTTGGTAGCGGCTCCAGTTGTGGGGTTCTGGTTAGGCAAGTTGGCCGGCCGATCAAGCTTGGTAATACCAGGTCAGCAAACCTTAGAGTGACTGAGTGACTTTTATTAGTATCGCATGATTGAAATACTGCGACACAGCCTGATGCAGCAGAGCTTTAATGTTTTAAGGTTTGTGTGTTAAAAAAATAAAAAGCTCATACAGTCCGCTCCTTTAGCCGCTATAACAGCAATTTCTCTGGAAAATAAGAGGATTTTGAATTTAATTTTCTCGCTCTGCCTCAAAGAACAAGCCCACACATGATTTTGCCTCTCTTGCTGTTTTTTTTTCCCTCCTCCTCCCTTCTTCCTCCCTTCACCCCATCTCCTCCTCTCTCCCTCTACCTGATGATTAGAGGGGTAATTGCCCAGCTCAAACGAGTCCTCAAGCTTTGGCTAATTACATTCTTCTCAACCAATCTTTTATTTAGTCTCTTTCTCTTTTCCTTCCCCACCGCTCCACATCAGGTGCTCTTTTCTTGTTGGAAGTAACCGCCTCGGTTAGCATGAATCACTGCGCGTCACGGTTTTCTAAACCTCGCAGGTGCTCCAACAACACCCTCCAGGATATACCCCTATGATGAGTGCACATGTAGGAATTTAACATGTGCCCTTATGGATAAGCAGCTGCCAGTAGTTACTCTGAGGTGAGATGGATATCCTTTCAAGCTACACAATACATCTCAATAGCTCTGCACAATGAAGCAATTCACTTCCAGATTGATTTTTTTTCCCTTCACTTATCTTAAAGTGACATGGTAAGAGGCGTAGTATGTACAAGTGCTGCATTTTCATTCTGCACCAAAAGGGTCTCCACGCTGATTATTTCCTCGCTCCTGACCTAGGGGGACGGATATTCAGAAGACTGATTACAAAGCCTAAATGATAGGCTTTTCCCTTACGTTAAGAGTCCGGCTGAGATGAGAGCGTGAACGTTACAGCACCAGCTCACAAGGCTTTTCCCCTTTTTTGCCGCCTGCTTATGATAATATTGCAGATTTATGGAGCAGAATGTCCCTGTAATCTGGTTGGTGAGCCGTATCCACCCTTTCTCCAACACCTTAATGCCTCTCCATCCCACCTCAACCCGAATCCCCGTTTGTTGTGAGTCTCAAGGGTGGAGGCAGCCAGAAAGAGAAACCGAGTAGTCATGTGTTTTTACATCTTTGTGTCTGTTCGCGGGTTTCAAATCACTCTCAGATTGAGGCATCTTCTAGCGCTCTATATGCTGATGTGTTTACTCATGTGTAATGCCTAGAGGCCATCTGAGTGTTTGTTTGTGTGTGTGTGTTTTCTTCTCATTCAGCTATCTATCACCTACGCTCATTCATCTCGGGGCTAACCCAGTCATTTTGGTCCTGGCGGGAGCGGCAGACCCCCGCTAAAGCGTATTCAGATACCCTCTGTGGCCCCGCGCTGCCTCTGTCATATTCAATGTGAAAGACCAGCTCTTGCAAAATGGACTCTTTAATGCAAAATCAGGAGCTGGGTATGAGGGAATAAGGCATGAGATAGGTCTAGGCAGTGTTTTTGTATCCTGACCTTTCTGTGCTGTGGCAGCAGGCTGAAGGAGAGTAAACACACACAGCCAAGGAACTCAGAGTTATCCGGCTTGACCAGAGTATCAGATAAATTAGATTTTAATGATGCCGTAGTCACGACTAGCAAGGACTGCGTTGCATGATTGGATGTGTTGTAATACACTCCAACAGTCCCAACGTTCTCAAACTTGTCGGATATGTTAATCAGGAACAACATTTCCTCAGTTTGTTAATAGAAAATGTAATCAGGGTGGCATTTAGCTTCCTTCAAAATGTATTTGCTTACACAAATTAGTCATATGTAAATGTAATTTCTTGGAGACAGTAGTACTTAAACAGATGTAGTTATGCAGGGAAACTCTGGTCGTGCATTCTGCTGTGTTTGGGCATTATTTATGAGCTGGATGTGATTCACTACAAGGCATAATTGGACCAGTGGGTCCTGGGTTCATTATGGGTTCAAGTAAACACTGTTACATTTCAGTGATACATTGTTTTTGGTATATTTGGTGTATAAATAGATATTTTATGAAATAGCTAACATACAGTAATTTATTCCTTCATTGTTATAGATCTGTGTGTTATTTCATTGCACCGTTTGACAGTGGGAGATGTGACAAGGTTGATATGAGTGGGTTTGGAGGCTTGGTGAGCTGGACTCCAACACAGACTGAGTTCTTGGATTCTAACTGGAGCCCATGGAGACAAGAGCAACCGGCTCATAACTCACTTGGTATACCTGACGTGCCAATTACCTGGCTACCACTGCAGACATAAACAAGTGGAAACAAAATATTGAATTAATTATTAAATAGTTGATTTCAAAATAGTTGATTCATTCTAGTTTGGCGGATGGTAGCATTTCCATGGGAACAGTTATTCTTTTCTGCCTACTTGAGGTCAAATTTTACATTTTCATTAACATTCAAGTCAAAACATCGGTTTTTCTCTGTGCATAAAACAACATGGTCAAGGTCTTTTGCCTCCTAACTTTCAAGGTCTGTCAACACCTTCTTTTCATTTATCCTTAAACACATTTCTTTCATATGCGCTCTGTCTGTTTTCTTTCATTTGTTAGATGTCTCTTTTGTCTTTTATTTCCTTAACTGATTCTAAAGTGCTTATCTCCTTTCTCAATATTGAAGATATTCTCTATATGTTGAGATCCCACTATTCTTGTTGCATGAAAAGGTCAACTTCATTGACTTTGATTTAGTGAATTTTATAGTTTACTCTTCAAGCTGTAAAGAGTTTTCACGAAGTTAGAGTAAAGGTTGTTTGACACCTTACCTTTAGCTTTCCTTACATTTTGGATCTTAACTTCTCTGCTGTGATACATATAACATCATAGCCTCAACCTTTTAACCCATCCATGCAACAAACAGATGCTATTCTCTCACCAAGTTTCCATATAATGTTGTATCACACCAAACCCGTTCACTGCTTCTTACGGAGGCACTTGATTGTGAGCCAAAGCAGCCATGATGGGATGTAAACATTCAATTACACGCCCACTTTCAGGCTCTTATTTTATAGTCTTAGAGTGCCTCTCAGAGGGGGTTTTTCTTCTCTTCTAAAACCGACAACAATCAACTTTTTATGCTCGCGATATATCAAGTGATAGCTCGCCAAAAAGTGTCATCCAAAGTTACGAGCCGGCATAAAACACATCTCGAGCAGACTCCTTGTGTGTGTGTGTGGTTGTTGGCGTTGGAATCGCTTCAATCAAAAAAGTAAATTAAGAGCAGCGAGTGAACTTTAACAAGCGTCCAGCCACCGTTGGGAGGTAGCCAAGTAGATAATGGCTTGATTAGTGATGTGGTGCTAAGCAGCTTGTTGCTGCTTAGCTGTTATGTAAACAGTGGACAGTGAAGGATTTGGCATTGTGAAGCGCAACATGTTGTTTGTCCCCTTTATCAAATGTGGAAAAAATTAATAAACACTTCAGTTGTTTGCGGCTGTTTGAGTGTGTGTGTGTGTGAATAAACGTGTGAAACAGAGAAAGAGGGCGAGACAGAGAGCTCCGCGCATGATTGTAAATATTCATACTACCTGCTTTTGTGTACCTGCAGTAATGCATAAATTGTTGTTGTATAGGAAGGCATGCTGGGAATCAAATCAGTGACGCACACAGGTCTCTGTTTTCCATCACCGTTTTTCCAACACTACTCTTGACATGCTACGCTAAACATCCTCTCCAGAAAATAAACAGTCGGTGCGGCGCCTCACTGTTATACAGGCTGATTCACGGTGACATAATGCGACGTGTCACACATATTGTATTCTTTCCTAATCAAATTTAAGTCCGTTTGATAAACATACATACAAAGACAGTGGGTTTTCAGCTCTTCTGCAAAGTTCCAGAGTTTTTCATCTGTTGAATTATTAAACGAAGAGAGCCAGAGAATAACAGGCTGCAGTATTGCAACATGATATTGAAATGATAAGATTTTGCCATGCTGGAGGCAGACTATTTTATGAAGAAAAATAATGAAACCCAATATATAAATTATGCATTTTGATATAAAATGAACCCAAAAGTGAAAAGGATACTTTTGCAACTTTTGGCCGTCCCTGCCATCTCAGGGTTGAGCATACTATAGATATATGTATTTTTAAAGGCTTATAAAGTCCAGTTTGATTCAGTTTATGAGAAATAAAATCTTAGCTGACTCAACAACTTTGAAGGTATAACTTAGCTCTTAAAAGGATTTTGAAGCAGACACATAATCATCATCCCAATAGTATCATATCCTCTGAGAGTCATATTAGAATAAAACTATTATGATACAGATGCAGACCTATACTTTATTTTACAGGATTCTACCAAGACCAGAAGTTGGCAGGGCGTTTTTAAGAAGTACCATAAAAAAGTTGGATGTAATGTAAAAACTATATATATTGTAAGTATTAATGTAAGTTGTTCTGGCTCCACAGGAGGTTCTTTTGGTCATACTGAGCCTAGTGGTCCTCTAAAAGCAGTGTGCTGTGACAATTACAACTTTGGTGCAGAATGACTCATTATGTGTTTTCTTCATTGCCACTCCCTGCAGTGAAAGGGCACACTCACCATGGGGGCAATACACAGAGTAATGTACTATTATTTTTCTGAGATCTTCTAAATGTGCCACTACTTCTGTCTCCCATGAAAGCAGAAAATGCAGGATTAACACAGGGAAGATACAGAAGGAGAGAGGTCTGACTTTTTGGTTGAATAAATTAAAACATAAATATGAAAGATGTTTTTGAATCAGATCAGTTCACAGATCAGATATTGAGTGTGTATGAGCTGATAGTGCACTCTTCATCCGGTGTTCTTTCTGTCCACGGTTAAGCTAAATAGACTCATACAAGGAGGGCTAAATCTTAGTATTAGTATTCAAACTTTAGTTTTTGATGAGGACTTTTTGTGATTTTAGAGGTTAAAAAGCTCGAAGTGAAGGGCGTAGTTCGAGGGTTTAAGTGGAACTGTTTTCTTTCCCTCTGGCACATGAATATGCACTCTGTATCTGCTCAACAGACTGTCTTCATTTTTGTTGAATACCAATTGGAAGTAAACGTGCGATGAAAATTAGCTTTTGGTAAAAGGATTCAGGCAAACTAGAAACGCTCTTGGCTTTTTATTTTGCTACCTGCCCGTTTTGATTTTGTGAAAAACTCAGGGTTAAGGTCAAGCTTTGTTGCAACAAATATTACACAGTGTGGCTTTAACTTAAAAAAGGGATTAACATTCAAGGACCACATGGATTTGTTTAATACACTGTAGCATGTCTGAAATTTTTAAGTGCAAGGGTTGAATTTGTGGCGCTCTATAATCCTTCCATGCACTTTTGGTTGATTTCTACTCCTCAACTGTCTACAAGTCAGCAAGTTATTTTCTGGGGGACACTTTGTCTTTGTTTAGCAGGTTAGTTTAAGAAAAACCAGAAATATGGGGAGGAGAGGTTGGGCATCAAAGGGTTGTGGCCTGGAGTTGAACCAGCAACCGCTGTGATGAAGACTGTAGCCTCTCTCTGTAGAGCGTGTGCGTAAAAACAACACCCCAGAGTATTTTTGACCTAGAGTAAATGTCAGGAGTTACTTTTGAGCTCCTCTGCCTTTGTGGACCTGCCATCACTTTTATTGATGTTTATTTACCTCAGTTCAGATGTTTCCTACACCCTCCAGAGTGACTTTGTACGGCTCCACTGGACGGTACTGACATTATAGCTCTCTTTACCAGCACATTTATAACCCGAGAGCCAAAGTTTCCCAATGCCAAAGGAAGTACTCACTGTGCGCATTTATCGTGCTGCAGCTGTTCAGTGTTTACCTGAAGAAAACAGCGTGATGGATGATAACTATATGACAGTGAAAGGAATAAACACTCTAATGAATAAACTACTCACTGTCTGCACAAATAACTTTACATAAACTTTTATAGAGGTGCTGTATTATATGCACTTAAAAGTCCTGCCTCTGTGTTGTCTTTAATGACATTAAATGCTGTTTCAAAGTGGTAAATACACATTTTTCTGCACCCAGTAAGTCATTTTAAAACTGAACTGCTTTATCGGAGGCTTTTTTCCGATACAACCGTCTCATTAAGTGAAGAAAAATGTGTTGTTGGAGGGGAAAATGTGCAATCGATGAATGATTAAATGTGTGTTACATAGGCAAAATGAAAAGCGGTGAAATGATAAATGGGTTGGGAAAATAATTGAATGCCTTTAAAAACAAATTAAATTATTAAACTCCTTTTTCAAATATTCATATCCTCGTTTGTCCACCTAGTTTTCCCTCGTGCAAAGAGAGATATACGCTTCGTGCCACAGTTATATTTACCCTTTTCTCTATGTGTCTAGTGGTAAATATTGTGAAACAGTACCCATGGACATTTTAATAACAAACTCAAAACGCAAGAGGCATCATTTTGTGTTTTTTTTTTTTTGTATTTGGTATCATTCATTGTGCACCAGGAACAGCTTTGGCTGTTGAAGTACAATAAGGTCCATATTCGGAGCACTCGAAGCAGACTGGTTCATTCAGAAGAAAGGCTGTAGTTACAAGGTCTTTTCCCTCAGTCTGTAGTGTCATGTGGACCAATGCCAAATAAAGTGCACTCTGCTGTCCTTGTTTGTCCAGGGGTTGAAGGACAGACCGGCGATGACCTCACTCACCACAGTGCAACACTTTTCAGCTCATATTGATCCATTGGCGGGGTTGTGTGTCCCTGTGAGAAGGACGAAGACAGCGTAGTTGTCCCCTCTCTCTCTCTCTCTCTCTCACCGTCTCTTTCTCTTTGTGTTTCTGAATTAATCAGGATTATCTCGACATGTGGCTTCAATAAACGTATCTGTTCCCTTCATAAAAACAACAATGTAGTTCAGCTCGGAGGGCACGGCACACTATTTTGAATTCAGTCTTTGTTGCTGTGTTGTCACATCTGCTCTCTTTGTCAAAGTAACACCGAGGCAGCCGTAATTGGCTATCACTATGTCTGGATTACTAATGTAATCACTCAGGGCATTATGCTCTATCTATTATTACATTGCTGTCCTGGCTTTGAGTCAAACACATAATCTAATTGAAAGCGCCTTTCTCTCTACCTCCTCTAATGCATTGAGTTAGCTCACTGACCTGTGTGTATGGGAGTGTATGTGTGTGTTCTACCATCCTCTATTCACCTATGGCATATTCTGCCTCAGGGAAGTGTCTGCCTTTACAGCGTGTATACCTTAGGGTTACATCCGTCTGTGCTGTATCTGAGTAACCTTCACCTCTGCACTTCTCAGGGCTGCATTGTGCCCAACTTCAGATAACACTAATACTTTAGTCAGCCGTGAAGGGACAGCCAAAGTCAATTGTGATGCTCCATTATGGCAAAAATCCCCCAGTTAGACCCTCTCTGGAGTCCTGCTCATAGTCAGCTTTCACACTCTGTCTTATGTTTTGTCATTTTTCTCAGTAGTGGTGATTGCTGCTATTTTGTCCATTTGGTCAAAGCTAGAATACACGTGTTACGTTAAAATAAAAATGTGATTAACAAGAAAAAAGTCCTAGTATTCTCGCTTCTGGTGTTCTGGTGTGGTGGTCAGATGAGATAATCAAAAGACAAATGTCTTAAAAAGTTGAATCCATTTTATTGCCAGGATCTAACAAATAAGCAGATGTTTCCGTCTTTATCAACTATTGTCAGTGCAATAGTGAGAGGTCTGTCTGAGTGTGTCTTTGAGTTCTTCTCAGTCAGGCTGGAGAGCTTGATTGGACACACCTGGAGCCTCTTATACAGACCAGGGCTGTGTCCGAAATGGATCCCTAACCCCTATAAAGACGACTATATGGAGGTTAGCCCCGTCTTGAGGGATGTCCGAAACCTGAGTGATCAATTCCAGTGCCCCATGTAGGCGACTCAAAATTTCCTATAGAGCATTGCAAAATGTAGTGACCATCCAATGGTCACTCTCCAGTGGTGGGCATCCCGACATGCATTGCGTCTCCAGCGACAGACTGAGCAGTGAAGTCACAACGGTGCGCCATGTAGTGTCCGAAACCTCTGGTGATTGAGCTCGCTACATAGTCAGCTATATAGTGAAACCCTATATGGCAGTTAAGGGTTAGGGATTGAGTGATTCATTTCGGACACAGCCTTTGAGTTCTTCTCAGTCTGGCTGGAGAGCTTGATTGGACACACCTGGTGCCCTTAATTGGACACACCTGGAGCCTCTTACACAGACCAGGTAATTGAGCCGGGGTGTGGCCCAGGATGCATTGTCACACATGACATCATATAGAGATACAGATAGAGAGTGGTTGCTGTTTGAAACTCTCTATCTGACTTAGCATTCTGTGGAGTTGGTATGATATTCCTCAAACGTTGCGGTGGAAATATTGATCAAACACTTTTACAATATAAATGTATTTAATATCTTAAAACAATTCATCCATATGGCCTAAATGAAGAATTAGAAATGTCTTGCTTTTTGTGAGTGCATCTGTTTGCACTAGCTAACCCTATTTCCAGTCCATATGTATCCATTGATGTAAATAATTACCTGTAGGTCCATGGCTAATTTATGTAAATAGAATAGAATATTCTTTATTTTAGACGCAGGGTCCATAGTGAGTCATATGGATTCATTTTGTATTGCTATGGCGTAATGTGTGACAATGCATCCTGGGCCACACCCCAGCTCAATTACCTGCTCTGTATAAGAGGCTCCAGGTGTGTCCAATTAAGGGCTCCAGGTGTGTCCAATTAAGGGCTCCAGGTGTGTCCAATCAAGGGCTCCAGGTGTATTCTCTTCAGCCTTTTTGAATGATACAAAAAAACAACCCTACTTTTACTTTTTACTAATATATTTACATTAAGGAGTTTCAAAGAGAGCCTCAAGTCAAGCTTGTATTAAATGTTTTTTTTTTTTTATCTCAACTGTATCAAGCATACTCGGAGAAACTTTCCTTTTGTTCACTGAGCGTTCACAAAAGTGGTTACAATTTTACAGTGCTCTCCTTCATTTAAACTCCAGACAGATCTACACCCTGTGGTGCTGAAAAATGAAACTGATGGGGGGAAAAAAAGCTGCAGTTCCTCAAGTGTTCACTTCAGGCTGGCCAAAAAAGAAAAAAAAAAAAACAGTGAGAACCCAAATTCAAATGCCATTTCTACGGCAGAATTGATCATGCACAGTCTGACACAAAGCTGGCTTAGGTCTCACTAGCTGGGTTTTTTATCCACGGCAACTGTACAGGGGATTAATCTCTTCATTGCCCCTCAGTTTTGTTACAGGCATGCTTAATTATACAGAATTAGGGGCGCTTGACTGACAGGTGTGTGTGTTGTAGCTGTTTTCTCCACTTCTCGGCCAGTTTTCTTGCTTAGATTTAGACCCAAACCTCAACCTAGAAAACTTTATATGTCCTTCAAGAGGCCGTTTATGGTGCAGCACAGACACACAAATTACATCAGTCAAACAAAGACAGATATAATAATTGTACACCAACACCTTTGATATGAAGACACAAGATAACCATACATCCCTCCTAGTCTACGTGTTTCTCCTGATGTCTTGTATCTCATTTAGTTGAATTATTCACAGGAGTAAATGAGTTTTCTGCTTGATTTCTTCCGATTTGGGGTGTCGTTATCAGGGGGATGTATCATTGCAAACTTAAGCCACCTTCCCTACGTCTTCACAAGTATTTGGTCTTTTGAGTGATTTTTTTAAAGTCCGTGCCAGCATACAAAACCCTTGCTAAATGTGCTGCAGGGCACCGCAGTGCAGTGCACAGTGCTCGCTCTCTTTGCTTTTTCTCTGTGTAACTCAACCACTCCTGCTTTTTCTCTTCCACTCACGGCAGCTGTGGTTTGAAAATATGTCTTTAGCTTTGGTACTTTTCGGTGTTGTCCAGTTGTGTTGTTTAAAAGCACATGGTAGTGGTAGTTGAACTTTCTGATTGGCTGATGCCGTCAGCTTAGAGGATACAAAAAGAGCCTTGCGAGTTTGAATCCTAAAATTATACCCCTTCTTCCCATGAGCCTGTTGTCAACCCAGGAGATTTAAGACTGGCACTCTAATCTCTCTTGGCAATCTAAGTTAAACATTTGTACAGACAAAGGTCCCAGACCAATTTCTAACTTTCACTGCCTGGAGAGGTGAACTGAGGCAAATCCCCAAACAAATCTGTAGTCCATTTTAGGCTTGAAAATAAGGGTCATCAGCCCTGTGAGCAAACCTTTTACATCCACTTTATTCTCTTGATACTTCCCCTCTCTGTGCCCTTTGATAGAATCCAAGATAGACCACACGAGTCAATATAATTAGAGTGTGCAGTTTATTGAAAACACAAGGTAAAAGGCCAAAAATGTCAAAAGTAATCTTCCATCTGCAGTCTCTAACGCTCTGCGCATTCAAGCACTAGCAACATCAGGGTTTGTACGCTTTTTTTTTTTATCCTGTTGTTTTTTTCTTTTGATGCAGGCAAAGTGTGGGCAGTTGACTGTGAATTATACATTAAAAAACAAACAACTTTTAGTTTTCTCCTGCAGTGAGAGAGTTAGATTTGCTCGAAGTTTTCAACCAGACAGGTAAACTCAGGCTGCAGCTGAGATTCATAGCTACCCCTCCCCCTCACACGCCACTCTGAACAGCACGAGAAAAGTCCGAAATGCAGAGATGTCATTAAATGTATCAGCAGATTATACGCTTTACTGGTTTATTTCTCCTCCTGGTGTTAATTGTCTTTAAAAGCAGTAATAGCGCTCACTGAATTTTGCTTAGTCACTTGCTTATGTTTGCAGACATCCTATAAGTTTCCAGGATGGATTCAAATCTGGTTGAGAAACACACTCCAGCCAGATGTTTCGAGGGTGTAAATGCATCTGTCACTCTGAGAAGCACACACACAAACTTCACTCCACCCACATTATTACTGTGACTAAACTGCTGGAGTGCATACTGTATTTTCTTCTCTTTTATCTCAAGCAGGAAAAACACATTTAACAACGTTTTGCATGCGGCTCTGAAAAAATAATACTGTTTGCAATCAGAAAGCCAAGAGGAGCGCTTGTGCTCAATTTCAGTACTTTATGCTGTGGTATCTGCCCTTGTAGCGGAGTTTGAGTTTGAGATGCGATGGTGATAAAGAGTTGAACCAGGAAAGATGATGAAGGTGGAGATAGTGTGAGATAAAAGTGAAGGCTGCAGTCAGGCTGGTGTGAGGGATGAAGCAAGGAGAGGAAAAAAAGTGAGGGAACATCGATGAAGAAGATGAACTATCTCTGTGTCTTATCCTGATGTTTCCAATTTCCTGAAAACACATTTATCCCTCCTGAGTTTGAAGGCTGGGAAAGAAGATACAAAACCCTTTATTAATGACCGCGAGTTTCTCCAACAACAGCGAAAGAGCTTGTAACAAGCAGAAAAATATGAAACACCAAGGGAGACTTTCAAAAACCTTTACAGAGCCAGCATCTCGCTCCTCCAGGACTTCAAGGGGCTCAGTGGTGAACTCTTAAGTGCTTCCCAGGGCAGTTACTCAAGGACATCTACTGTATAGAGAGACAATTATAAAGGCGAGAAGTGTCCTCCAAAACAACCCGTAACCTACACCAAAGCTTAAAGATCACCAAACTTAATCAATTTTCTTGCAATGATGGACATCAACAAAGTCCTTCTGGAAAAAAGATAAACCGTTTCACACATAAGCTGAGAAAATGGGAGCTACAGAAAGTGGTTTACTCGGTGAAAATCCATGGAGCATTGGAGAGCAGCACAAAACTTGAGTAAAAGAAAAGATTGAAAAGTAGAGATGCACCAATCCATTTTTTTCCAATACTACTGTTGAATGAATGATCTGTATACCTAGCCCCATGAGTGAACGCATCAGGCTTGACATTAGCCTTATTAAAAAAAAGGGTAACAAATTAACACAGATATAAATTTACTCAATATTATTTATTAACAAATAACAAATTGCACATTAGCACACAGGGAAAAAAGTAAGACTAAATTAATTGAAAGAAAAAAAAAAAAACTGGATCTGCGTCATGCATCTGATATCCGATCCAGTTAATTTTTGTCAATATCGGAGCTGATATCCGATCCAAATATCCGATCATTAGATACTGTATGAATCAGATCAGTCCCTAGTTTTACAGAGTTGTTGGGCATCGACTTTTTTTCTGTTTTTAAGCAACCATGAGTTTTATCAACCAGTCATCTTTCACAAAACTTGGTGCTGACATGACTGAGGTCAGTCGGTTAGGTCTGCACAGACGTTCTGGCTGCTTTATCGCTCTACCTGTAGAGAGGAATCCAACATTCAACAGAACCTTAGCAAACACGTACATTTTAGGTTTTTCTTATCTATGTTTCCCATTCTCACCTGTGACCCTCCACTTTTGATTAGCCCCATCGCTTGGCACAAAAACAGCCCTTTGGCAATCTCCTGTCTGATTATTAATCTAATCTGCAATCAGTTAAGGAAACAGCTTCACATCCAGCAACCAGCACAAATACATATCAATGAATGTCCTCTCTTATCACGGTGACCTACCTTCCTCCGTCTGCCTCTGGGATTTGTTCGTATTATACCGTGTTTATTTGCTTTCAAGTCAGAGACTGTGATTGTGTTTTTAAATTGCTCTGCAAGCTGTTTTCAGTCTTCACAGCACACACACACACACACACACACACACAAAAAAAAAGGTTTTCACACTTCTAAATAGTCATCGATTTGCTGCTATTGGTCAGAGTTTTGAGTTTGCTGCGCCCACATGGTTCTGTCGGGTTGTTAAAATCATTTGCCCAACATTAGCATTTGGCAACGTCCGCTCCTTGCTGCTGGCAGTCAGAGCGGTGCTAGCTAATCAGTGCCAGGGAGATTACTTAATATAACAGCTGAGTGTGAAACCTGAGTGTTCCTGTGTTGATCACTATCTTTAGACCATTAAGAAGTTTTAAGTGCGGCACACTAACCAGATCCAATTGAAGAACTTGAGCATGTACTTTTTAACGGGGGAGCTGCTTTTTACCTCATTGAGTTTTGCATAAATGATCTTCTTTTACTTGACATTCACATTATAACACACAGTGGGATACTTCACCGCCTTTATGCAGTTTACCAATAAGCAGATATATTTGCCGCTCCTGCTAGTTCGGGGAAGAACCTCCACTTGTGATGCCAAGTGCAGAGACTTTAAGCGGTGAAATTCCTTTTTTTGTTTTTTTCCAAAATTGCTTTTTTAATCTTTGGTACTGCCTGCAGCGTCACGGCTCGGCTCGGTGTGTACGTGTATAGTGTCTTTTGTGTGTCTTTGTGGCTGACGGAGATAGAAAGCCTTCTTTAATCTACTGCCTGTATGACTCATCTGACATGGGAATTCAATGACCTTTGAAAATCTTGTTTCCTCTTATTAGATTGTTGTAAGTGAATTACTGGCATTTAATGACCTTGTTATGAACTGACACATGGTGGACAACACTGATCGAATGGACAAAACATGACGGGACATGACTGACAGAGGACGCAGAGCACCGATTTTACAGCAGCACGTTAAGAAGCGTTATTTTCAACCATTGAAGGAACTGTGGAGTTTTATTTTTGACGATGTGTGCCCTTAAATCAATAATCTTGTTATATGTATTGTGTTTTTCTGGTTGTTAGTTGTTATAAATAGTGTTTCAATGAGACCACACCACAATATCTCTCAATGGAAACACTCCCTGTGTAGTTTGACACAGTCTACACGTGAGCTTCACTTTGTGTTATATCCATACAGAGATAGGCTCAGGAATCCCAGCATCAGCTGTCACCATCTTGGTTGTTATAAATACTTAAACAGCTCTCCTCTGTAAATTCAGTCATCCTAACCTGCCCTGCATCTGATAATGCTTTTGATGGACCCGACTGTAATCCACTCAGGTTGTAATCTTTGGGAATAGGAGGGGCACCGGTGACGTCTCCCAGAAAATACAAACCATGTGCTTGTTGACATGTCTGGTTCTTGTGCTAGCAGCAATGTCAACTTTAATCTACATCATTTATTATTTTTTTTAGCAGAAAGTTAGTAAAGATACCTAACTCCTCTTGAAGATTCCTCAGCCAGATGTACTATGTGGTCTGGGATTAACCTGATGTATCCAGCTAATTGGGTGTGCCTTAAAAACCTCCACAGTAAGGTGCATAAACCCCTCCAGGTGCCTACTTTGGATGCAAATGAGAAGCAGACCTTTCTTCAGGCTCTCCCTGGAATTTAAATCAAGATCAGTCCTTTTCCCTGAATGATTATATGAGCGTCTGTCTGCTGTTTTGAACCTTCAAAGCAGCATTAGCTGTGACATAGCAGGTTGTGCACGGTTGTTATTATTTACAAGGCCAGTTGTCATCAATAACCCTCTCCATAAATGACAAATGCACCGTGTAGGAGCTTGCATAACACCATATCTTTAAACGAGGTTCAATTATACTCAGTTCTGCACTCTATTTAACCTTGAAATACGTCATATGACGGGAAAAACAGATGTGATATATACACCTTTTTATTTTAGTGGTGTTAATAAACTTAGATTTTATTACTGAGACCATATGGTGCAGGAAGGAAAAAGGAATATTTATCAAGCCAGATTTAAGACTCTGGTTTGTTTGGGAGCAGTGAATAATTTATTCGGTTACAGTCGTGCCCACATCTGCTCTTTGCCTCTAGACCGTCCCCGGCCATCATTTAATCTCTCTGATTACGTAACTCATGCATCACTGTGAGTTAGAGATTATAATCCAGCACTGACACATGCCATGAGAGATGGTGGCGAGTACTGTAGGTGCGCTTACTGGAGAGAAATCAAAGGAGAGGATTTGTTTTGTGAGATTAGAGACGCGGCAGTGTTTACTTTGTTTCATGCTTCATGGTGTTTAATTTTGGTTCTTGGAATTGGTAGCTCTTAAAAACCGTCGGTATAATCGCTTTGCAGGAATTTGAGTCACATATTGTGCATCACTAAAGTGCATACTGTCTGGACATATGGCATGAGAACAAAATGTATCGCTGTAGATAAAGAGGGCAATAAACTATGAGGAGATATATGAGTGTGAGTGTGTGTGTGTGTCCTTTTCCTGAGTGGGTTGTTGGAGTGACAGAAGGTGTTTCTCCGTGAGGTCAATTACTGCACTTGGGTTGTTCAGTGTCAGGCCGTTGAACTCTGATTACACACAGAAGTTTCTGTAATTTCTAATATTTTTCTGTCTGTCGCATTTTTGATTTACACACCAGCGTTGCCGTGCGATGATGTGTTGAATGTTTGATTGAGCTGCTCCACTCTGCTGGCTTTGCTAATCAAGAAGAACAGAGAGGAACACGACCCCATTATCTCAGCTGTTTATGCAAATAGGAATGACATGTTGCTTCTCTGTGGTGATCCCGGATGATTTTCTTCCTCCTCTGCTGGCAAAAAAAAAAAAAGTTAAGATTTGATGAAAATTGGAGTTCAAGTGTTGGGGTTAGAGTTGATAATGGGGGAGCCGGAGTACTGTTCCTACTCAGGTCACAGATTCATTTTAAGGTGTTTAAAAGCTCTGCATGCAAATTTTAAACTTTCCTCTGACTAAAACTTGTCAGAAGTTTTTTTTAAAGGAGACAGCATTTGTTGTGTGTTCATATGGACCAATTTTGAGTCAACCAAAATTCTGATTGGTCAACTCTAATTTTTCCGCCTCAATTTACAGTCTATGGTTAATTTAATCAGGAGGAACGTACCAAGTGCTAATGGGTAGTGATGGGCATGGCAGTTCTTTTAGATGTACTGAACCACTAGAACCAGTTCACTAAAAAGATTCGTTCAAAAGATTTGTTCATTGAATCACCAAATCATTCAATGCTTGGTGGGAGAAGCGACTTCCTGAACTGATACACATCCGAACGGTTCAGGATTCAGTTCACTTCAGAGCTTCTGGGACCGGGAGACAAGAGTGTTTATCTGTGTTGCCATGATGAACAGGTTTGTAAAAATGAACTTGTTTATAAGTCATGATGTTTTAAGTGTACTGTCCAATGGTATGCTATTTATCAGGTCTACTTGGTAAATTTGGCTCAATGAGTGATTCGTTCACTGACAGGTAGAGGAATTCACACTGAACATGGACCGTACCCTCGCAAACCGCTGCAATGACAGGATGCTGCGGGTTTAATGCGCTACTTGTTACATATGTGTCCAATTGTATGCAAGTTGTTGTGGAGGCAATTGAGCAGTTAAAAAAAAAAAAAAAAAAAGGTTGTTTTGTCCTACAAAAATGATTCCAGGGAGTGTAGTTCAACGCTTGATTCGTTTACCGAGTGATTCAGGCGTCACTGCATGCAGTCCCTTGCTCGCCGGCTGCTCACCTGGCAATGCTGAGTGCTATTGCATCTGCCCTGCTGACAGCTCAACTGAAGTAAGTAGGTAAGTAAACGAACAAATCACTTGAGGTAGTGATTCAGTTCAGTACGTTCACTTAAAAGATTCGGTTCTTTTGAACGAATCGTTCGCGAATGACACAACACTACTAATGGAGGTGTTTTTCAGAGTACCCCCGTTTCACAGGTAACAGCCTGTCTCAAAACACCCCCCTTGTTTTCACCATTTTGGATTCGCCCAAGCCACTGGAGACCGGCTGGACACACGGAGATTGAAGAGCGTCCATGATAATCAACATCAAGTGGTTTGCTGAATATTTATTTTTATTTTAACCCCGCTGGGGCGCATTGTCCCCGCTGCAGAAGGGTTTGCCGTCAAAGTTTGAAAAATCCTACCCCCTACCCCCCACGATTACTTGATTTTTGGTCGAAAATTAAAGGGTTGTAGTTGACCAAGAAATTCTTTGGTTGATTACAGCCCTCATATGGACATGGGGACTGGTATTGTTCATCAGTATCTGCTACTAACACTATGATACTTTCATTTAACCAGTTTTGTCCATGAAGAATGTAAATATCACAGAGTTTTTATGCTGCTGTGGCCCAACATTCTTCTTACTGCTCTCTGAGTTTTATAGTATACATGTCCAAGTGTCTTATGGCAAGACACTTGACCTCAAACTACCCTTGAAGCCACGGTCATCAGTGTGTGAATGTGTTTATTTATATCCTGATGGGCATATTGGCACTTTTATCAGCCTCTGCCACCGGCGTGTGAATGTGTGTGAAAGGGTGAATCTGACCTAGGGTGCAAAGTGCTTTGAGTGTTTTGCTAAGTGCAGTCCATTCACCATTTCATTTACTCTCTAAGATTCTATTTTTAAAGATGTAATGTATATTTTCTGAGAGGTGAAACACATGAATAAGAACGGTGTTTTCAGGAAAGACATAATACTAATTGGCCAAATAGTAAACAATCGCTTCTTGTTGGCCAAATTGTACCTTTTGTCTTTTTGTTGATTATTTTTACAACTAACAAGAAATTATTCGTCTTATTTCTGGTCGGCCTCTCTGCTCTTGTTTCATAGCCAGTTGAAAATTCCACACAGGAGCTTTAAAAAAGGAGTCTATGCTTTTCAATTATTAATTTTAAGTTCCTCAAAGTATTTTAAAATCAAAGTTCATTCGTTGATGATTGTAAGGGGCACAATCAAATGGCTGCCAACCTGTTCTGTTAAGATGTGCCCCGTAAGGTAATCAGAGTTTTTAAAATCCTGAATCCTAATAATTGAGATGATGAATAAAGAACCTACTTGTTAAATATCATGTCAGATATACTCACATCTCTGGCGGCCCACGCTCTCCGGGGATTGTCCTAGTGATCTGTAAAAGGTTTGTTACGGAGGATTTCAAGGCCACTTTCTCATTTCCATAATGTGCTATCCTGCTCTTCTCTCCACTGTCGTTTCGGGCCCGCAGCGAAAGGCGGACAAATGTTCAGTCATTAGTAAGTCCATTAAATCCTTAATTGTGCAGTCCTGCAGAGTCGTCCACATTCCAGTGAGCTCGCATTTTTACCTCGCATTCATTGGCTTCTCTTTGACCTCCGCTCCCTCGCTAACTATTTTTCTTTTTCTGCTGATTAATGTTGTGAGTCACTGAGAGACAGTATTAATTGGCTGTGTCTCATTTTTCTGGTTCTATGCATTTGTTGAGTTTTCCGTGATAAGGTTTGTGCAGATACAGCTCTGGAGAAAAAAGAGAGGAGGTTCATACTTGATACTGTGAGGTTAAGGCCAGAGATGATACTGAAACCACACGTTACCGGGTAGGTTGACCCTGTCTGTTAAGGATTAGTAATGATGTATCCCAAGTTTAAAATCTCAAAACTTCATAGCACTTAAAAAACAATCCAATCTTACAAAAATACACAGAGAAATACCTCACTACTGGTGTCTACAGTCCCTGCTGTACATCCATTTACCCTCTGTTTTCCTTGGAGGTTGTGACCTGACTCAAAGGCAAACATGAGTCATCATGCGCTGTGAAAGGTCCTGTTTCTAAGCTATCAGGTTACCTTTTTAATAACTGTCTGAGCAGATGTTTTCCTTCAATAATAGCATCAATGTGTCGCTCTCTGCTCACTCAGCTCCTAGAGTTTCTTCTGGCTGCCGGTCACGCTCTTATCTGCACCAGTGGCTGCTTCCTACCGCGGCTTCTTAGCTCTGTTCTTGTGCAAAACACTGACTAATACCCACACATTTCACAAACATACAGAGACATGTGCTCATACTTGTATTTATATGCAGTTTAATGTTTCGTGATGCATTTCTGACTGTTTTCAGGCTGTGTTGCTGCTTGTGTGCAGACTGCCTGCGCTCTCTTAAGCTTCTGGCTTTGTTTTATTTCCCTGTTGAACAAATTACTTCTGAGAACTCACAAATAGCTTACTGGGATTAAAAGAAATATAGTTGGGATTTAGAGAGGCTTTTGATTTATGCAGATGCAACACAAATACATACACTTGCTCATTAACACACAACAGTATAGAAACTCATGAAAAGACAAACACATTATTTTAAGATATTGACAAAAGTTGAAAGTTGAATCATTAGGTTTTGGTTGAAATGAGATCCTTTTGACAAATTCAGGTTCACAGGTAGAAAAAAAGGTGAGTTGTTTGTTTTTCTCTTTGTAAAAGATAATTTGACAACATTTGAGTTAGTTAGAGGAGTCATTACTTCCTCATTGTAATGTTGAGACAGGGTGATGAGACAATGAAGAGTAAAAAATCAACTTTAAAACCAGCTGCAAATCAAACCACTGCAAATCAAAACAGACGATTCTGTCCTCTCTGAATCTGCAGCTTATTTCCCCTCATGGAAAACGGGCCAGTGCAGATTGGGTAGCCTTTTTCGCCACTGTATTAAATATATTTGTATCAAGGTTAAGAGCTGAAGTCATAGACTAAAATGTGAATTAATGTCTACATGGTAAAATGAATCAGCAGTGGGGTGATAAGGCAGGTAAGTTTAATTTTAGTAAATCATCAAAGGAAAATGGTAAAACTGTCTCCTTCTGACTTTCTGGTTAACTTGGATTTACTAGAATTTTTGGCGTGCTCACTTTTGGTTTTTCTTAATTATGAGGTGAAAATAAATTTGATAAATTTGATCTCAGAATCAACAGTTACCTTTTTTTTTTAAGCGTCTTTTAGTTAGTGTCGATATTGGCGCCCCCTGTGGACAAAATATGACATGGCAACTTTTGACATACTGTTGAAACAGAGTTCTTTCTTCAGTTGCTCTGCTAATACCTACCCCCCTCACATAGGTTTCATGCAACAAAAATTGAATTAAGAAATGCGCAGTTTCTTGCTGATGGTCTTGTCTGATTTGAAATACCATAAAAAAGATAATACGAATTTCAGCCTATTTCATAAATGTTAAAAAAAACTCCTCGTGGGAGCTTTAAGATAATGTCAATAAATTCCCGTTGACACAACCCGAGCCAACTGAATTTTCTTTTAGTGGACCACTTCTGAGGGAGGAAGGTCTCAGTTTTCTCCCTCCACTGTGAAGTTAACAATACCTAGATATCAGAGAGAGCTCTTGGGCTGAGGTGCTTTGTTCACAGTATGAATTGGTGGTGCTTGATGTCACATGGAGCTTTGAAATACATACAGCGTTGAGCGGGACGATAAAAGCCCATATGGCAGATGAATGCCAACCTTTTAAAGTGATGACTTGGCTGCTGGTAAATCAAACACCCACAGTCATCTGCTGCCAAATGGCCCATCGCTTCTCATTGAGTCATTGTGTACAGGCTGGAATTTGCTGAATACGGTTTTCTACTGGCTTTATATCTTAATGTTCTCATCGGTGTGACCATAGAAAGTATGAGCACACGTGAATTTATTGCCGTCCTGTTTCCAGTGCTTGTTTTAAGAAACATTTTTAATGTTTCATTTCATTGATTCGTATTTCTTTTAAAAATGAAACCATAAAATCAAATTCTCATTTATACACACAGAATGCTACACTGACATTTTTATATAGGAGCACAATTCCATCTCATAAGCTTCCTTTCCAGATAACACCCGGCTCATAAAACAGCCCAAAGCTATGTTTTTCGCATTTTCTGCTCCAAATGTAAATGGTCTGAAAGCGTTTGAACTTCACTCATATTGAAAACTCTGCACAGTCCTCTTATATTAACTAACCTACCTGTCAAAGTCAGAAGACCTCTTTCCACGGGGTCAAAGCCGACACCTGAGCATCACTGAAGAGGAAGAAACTGCAGCATCTGAATTGAGGCGATTGGGTTAACCTTCTTTGCCCTTCACAATCCACTTTAGATAAGACCACTACATTTTCTTACACAAAAATCCTGCCTGAAGCAGCTTTGAAGCAAAGTTCAAATGCCGTGTAGCTGCATTAGAGTCAGTGAAAAGCCTTTAAAGCCTTACATGGAGCTGAACACCAGAGAAAGTGGAATAAAAGGCTGGAGTCAGGAGGTAACTTATATAATGCTGGCATGTTAGTGTTCTGTTTTATCATATCTGCAGAGAATATTGGCACATTAGTTTACATTCTGTGAGTACTGCTTCATAAAAAGCCAGTGCAGTACTGGGTTACCTTTATGCAATAACCCTAACTGCAACACTAACCCTGACTCTGACTCTTATCCTAACCCTAACTAAAACGCTAACTCTAACCCTTATCCTTACCCCAACCCTAACCCTAACTCTTATCCTTACCCCAACCCTAACAATATCCCTTACCCTAACTCTAACCCTAACCTTAACTCTTACTCTTATCCTTACCCTAACCCTAAACATAACCCTAACTATAACCCTTATCCTTACCCTAACCCTCGTCTAAATTGTAACCCTATCCTTACCCTTACCCTAACTCTAACCCTAACTCTAACCCTAACTCTAACTCTAACCCTAACTCTAACCCTAACTCTAACCCTAACTCTAACCCTAACCCCAACGCTAACCCTAACTCTAACCCTAACTCTAACCCTAACCCCAACGCTAACCCTAACTCTAACCCTAACTCTAACCCTAACCCCAATTGTAACCCTATCCTTACCCTAACCCTAACTATAACCCTAACTCTAACAAAACAGTAAAATAGGAAAACCTACCAATAACTGATCAAATAACAAAGCTGACCCTGTTGTTGTGTTTTTTGAGCTTTTGTATATTTGTATATTTTGTATATCCGTAGATTCCAGTGACTGTAGTGTTACAGCATCAATCTTTTTCTTCTTTTTTAATGATCCAAGAAAACTACGTTACCTCCAAACAGGCTCATGGAGTTACGTTTGGTGACATACAAATCAAATATTTGCGTATTTGCACTTTTTTTTGCTGCATCAGTAGTATTTTCTTTATATTTTAGAGTATCTATTCTTTGACGTGTGAAACCCCTGGATTGACTCGACCTTTTACAGAACAAACAAAGGAACTTTTTTTTCCACAGGATTGACTGTGTTTTATTTTGTGCACAAAACATATTGATTTTTTTTTTCTTTCTTGTTCTTCTTCATGCGGATTTGATTGTCAGACTTTGACATGAGTGGGCTGCATTCATCCAAACACTGATCTTTTTTAAGGTTTTTATTTATTTTTCTTTTCTCCACCATTCTTGTCTCATCTGTCATTTGCAGCCTCCCACAGGAAACTCTTTGTTTAGAACAGATATCGGGACTTTTTTTTTCTGAAGGGGGCTTTCAGTGTTATTCAGATAGCGCAGTTTTCTGGCACAGCAACAGTATTTTGTAACTCTAACAGGCCTGCTGTTGCTGAATGGCCACCAGTGTTTGGAGTGGGTGTATTTCAGTGCACTTTAGGCATTTTGCTCACGTTCCATAGCAACACAAACTGAGAGAGGAGGGGGAACGTTTGAGCAGGACACACTCGCTCGTAGAGATTCAACTAGAGTGACCAAAATGAGCTTATCCGTAAAGAAACCATGAAAACAAAATCTACTACATACTGTACCGCTGTTGCATTTACAACAAAGTTTTCATCGAGGATAACAGTCCTGACAGCTAAATTTCTTGCTACCTTTAAAGAAACGAGAAACCAAGAAGATATGAATGAACACATCAATAATTTTCAATCACTTTGACTCAATTGTGGGGCTACAATACAAACTATGGCCACAAGACTGATAATAATAGCAAGTTTTCAATGGTTACAACAGTATCTGAATAACAGCAACAATCAAACCTGAAAGCTCCTCTTCCTACCAATACTGCAGCACAAAAGCCAGCTGATGCTCGAGTGGATGCAAACAAGTAAAAGCTTGTGTGATTACTTTGATTTGCTGCTCCATCTCCTCAAGTGTAGGGCTTTTAGAATAAGACAGACATGCAAATACATAGAAGTTTCTATTAAACATCGAATTTCCAGGTTCTTTTGAGGTTTTTAGCTCCAAGGTGTAAAACGAAGAGATATAAAAATAGTTTTCTTCCTCATATATGACGGGAAAACTTAAATTCTCGACAAGTTCATTTTGGTTTTATGTTCGCTTTTAGCCTGTTTTTTTATTTTTTATTCCAGAGGTTACATATACATTTACCCAAGTGCTTAAAGGGATATTCCAGTGTAAAATCAATTTAGGGTCAAACACACTGTAACATCGAGTTCGACGCCACTTCGAGAGATGAATGTTGTCGACCACTTGCTTCTCTAGTTATACCAACTTTAGTAACGACCGCACAATAGCAATACACAACAGTCTGAGGAGCCATAAACAAACCTCAACCAAAACACCACTTTATAGCCACAAATAATGCTCAGAACAGCACCTAACTTCATCAACAGGACATTTAGGGTCCTAGCCATAGCACTAGCCACCAAACATCTCTTTAACTTTGCCTAATTTCTTTAGCAAAGAGATTAAACACAACTCACCCTTGCTCGTTTGTAGCGAGACCTTGGGCCAGTCCATTCCAGACTACAACGGGGTGACGCAGCTCAAGGAAGAACATTTATGATCATTACTTTATCATTTACTTGAAGTAATAATCACCATATGAATCATTTTGCATTGCAGACGCGGTCGTTCTTCTGCCTTAGCGTCTCGGTCTGATTGTATTTTCATGAAGAAATGCAAATCAAACTCTGTCTAACTCTGTGTTATGGTGTGTTTCACCCTAAATTAATTTTACACCGGAATATCCCTTTAAGACGATATTAGCAATCTGAAGCAGTTTCTACCAGTGTCTTAATTTGGGAATCAGTTGAATGCAGTAAAGTTATCAGTCTGATCTTTGAAGTTTATTTTCTATTAAATACCACATGACTTCACTGTGGTCTGAAATCACGAGTGAAAGGTAGGAGACATCTTTAAAGTGATACTAAAAAGTGTTCTGCTGACATCTGTCTAATTTGCTGCTCCTGTATGCTTGGCTCATACCAGGGAGAGGGAACAGTGGTGTTGTTATTTTCCATCATGGAAGCAGAAGGAAGCAGGAGGACACAGTGGCAGCCTCACTACAGTGTGCCAAAAGGGACAAAATAGTGCATGCCCCCCAAAATCATTATTACAATGAAATTTGAAAGAATCAAATAAAAAAATAAACAAAATAAAAATGCATGGAATCAGTCACAACCCTGATTAAAATATATGAACTATTTATTAACCAGTGAGGTAGAAAGAGTCCATTCCAAAGCTCCCCACAACAACAACAACAGGTCAAACACTGAACTGTTTCCACTCGATCGGAGGCCAGCCCTGCCTCAGAATTCAGCTTCCCATCGTCCATCATGCCTAAATGTATATGTCCCTTGACTCAAGTTTTTCATTGACGGTGCTCCCCTCACAAATCTTCAGTCACAAATCACAGAAAAGGTGGGACCGCCGCTCCTCTGAGTCATCATGTTTTTGCAGGCCTCGTCCCGCTTATCAGTCCAAAAACCTGTGTGTGTTCCCTGAAAGCACGCTAATCTCCTGGAGTGATTACATTGACCCCACGCCATTGATTACACACCATCCGGGCTAGAATGTCATTGGAACACAGACGGTGACCAAATTTTGCAACCTGGCAGTGCTGTCATTTCCCCCTCTGCCTAAACAGCAGCATCCACCCCCTCCTCTGCTTTCTGCTGTGCGGGAAATAGACTCTGTCTGTCGCCGTGACATCTCAAAACAGAAATGAACATATTTATCGCAAATTTTCTCTTTTGAATTTTCTCACAGTGTGAAAGAAGTTTTTTTTTTTGTGCTTGAATGACAAAGCAATTTATCAGGGAAGAAAAACTGTCAGTACAATAGCCTCTGCTGATAATTTCCCTTATTTCGTGTTCTTTTATGGCTGTCACAACAGCTGTCGAGAGGTTGAAAATCGTGGAGCCCTGCTGTACACTGCAGGGCGGCTCTGGTTTGACATCAGATCCCTCCAGCCTTTTATTATTATTATTTTTTTTTTCTTTTCTTTCCGTTCTTCTCTGTGAGCAGGTCAATCCAGGTCAAAGAGCTGGAGGCAGTGAGAATAGACGGGGAAAATCATCCCGTATGGAATTCCAGCTGTAATCTCCTCTCTGTGCGCGCCGCTCACTCCTTTGAGGGAAAAGCAAATAAATCTCTCATCTTCAGTTATAGAGGCGGACAGCTGGAGGCATGTGTCTTTGTCCCGCTCTTTCTCTGGCCCGTTTAACCTGGAGGCCAGAGGAGGTTGTCAATTTAGTGGTAGGAGAGACATCACTCAGACAGAATGATAGGCTCGTATGAGTCAAATATACCTGTTGGTGATTTACCACCCCATAATAGTGTCAAAAATCTACTCGCCGTTCGGTGTAAAAGTAATTACATGTATTTAAAAGTCTTCGTAGTCATGCTCTCACATCTTTCCTACAATAAAATCCCTCTTATTCCGACCTGTGGAGTGAAAACCCCTGTAAGAAAATCCACCTAATCCAATCCCTCATCGTGCAGACCAGCTTACAGTTCACCAAAAGGTCTTCAATGACTTATTCAACGTCCTCCCATCCTGACAGCACAAGTGCACATGCCGGTATTGTTTTTATTTAAGATGTGATCCAACGCCATGATATCAGAGCTCCCACAGGTCAGGCTTCACCAGCTGACCCCGCAGCTGGCGGCAGCTGTTGGGGAAATATTGAGCTGTCAAAGAAGAGGACATCTGAAAAGCTCAGAGTAAAGACCCTGAGCTGCCTCCTCCGCAATAAGCTCTCTGTCGAATTACGTCAGTTTGCAGATGACATTGTGTTATTCACTGTGAAATAAAACAGGCTGCTGCCTGTGCTCTGGTGCAGCCGCAATTTATTTACGCTTGTCTCAAAGGGCTCAACGATCTGAGGTTTGATCTGATTGTATATTTCAGGAGAAGTCCCCACCAGCTCCCTACTTATCATGCTTCACCCTAAATCTTTGGCAACTCATCAAAAATGTATTTTTTATCTCAGTCTTTTACCCAAAACTACAACCGTTATCATCTGGAGTTTGTGTTTGTTAAAATTTCCCAGACAATAAAGCGACTGCTTTGTTGAAAGAACATTAAAAGTACCTCCTGTCTTGTTTGTTTTACCCACTGCCCAATGGGAAGTCGAAATAACATCTATTTAACGTATTTTTTTGACAATGTAGTACAAATGTGGACGTCATTTCAACATCTAAAAGAGGTCCAATAATGAAGTCTAAATCTTGGATCCATTTTGCACATTGTGCCAACGTCTAGATTTGATCTTCGGATGACGTCCAAGTTCTAAACATCAGAGCGACGACTAAAGAAGGTCCAATTTGGGCGTCGAGATTTCTAACCTATTTTGCATCCAGATGTGGTCGGACCAACCCAATACTGACTCAATCTCTTCGATGTCCGATGTTTGGTGGGAAACATAACCAAATGCATTTGCATTACTCTGTTCACCATATTATCAGGTACTAACTTTGATCCACCTAATATGCAGATGCCAAATATGTATGCCTCTCTTTTTTTATATCTCAGAAAGCTGAATCTCTTTGGACATTTTATCATTAAACCGATTAGCAGATTATTTTAAGACCAAAGAATCATATTAGAAGAAGAAACAGATGATTCAGTAATTAAATCACATTTTTTTCAGTCTTAAATTTGTTGTTAGGAGGCTGAATCATTTTTTCTCCTCTTCTCCAGGCTTATTACTTTTCTTGCTGTATTTTGTCTTCACATAATAAAATAAATCAGATAATGGTATTCTACCCTGAAGATGGCGCTTTGATGCACACAACCTGACAGAACTGAAATCTTGACACTATTTCATTAATTTCTAGTTGTTGTTTCAGCGCACAAAGTTGGCTGGAATACATGGTGCTGTTTATCAATCAATCAATCAAATTTGATTTACATAGCGCCAATTCACAACATTCGTCATCCCAAAATGCTTTCCAAAGAAAAAGAGCAGGTCTAGACCACGTTCATTGTTTGATGAATTATCAAGACCCAACCTAAAACGGGATTTGGCCCATCTGATCTAAAATGAGTGACAGTGGCGAGGAAAAACTTCCTTTTAACAGGCAGAAACACGATTCCACATTCAATTCAGTGACTTCTGACTGGCGGCACCCGGAGTTGGAAGTCGGCCAGTAGGAAGTCCCGGCGCCGGGAGTCATCAGGCTGGTGGCAGCATGTTTTTGATGGTTTCCTCCCTAATTGGTTCATAATTGCACTTTTAAAATGAAGACTTTTCTGAATAGACTTTTCAATTGAAGACATTTAGTGACCAGTGGAGGTGGGTTACACAGGACTGGGCAAATTGGCCATGGGTAGTGGGTCTTTGTCAAACTGGAAGACTCTTTAAACCTTTTCTTTTTTTTGCATCTGTTATACTTGTCTGAGCTACATCAAGAACTTTAGGGTCATTTTTACTTTCTGTATAGTTGCCCTCTGCAGGACAACATACCAGTTAATGTCAGTATAGACGGGATTCCTTTGAACAATCTTCAGTCATGCGCGTCAGATTTTTGTCTAATCAAACTGAGAAAGTGCCTTTCCTCTTGGATTACAATGAACCCTCTCTTCAAAATGAAGCGCCTTTTGCAGTGAATTAAGTGTGAGGGCTTGATAATGAAGGAAATTAAGGAAATCAGATCACATCCAAACTGCTTACTGTGCAGTGATAGCACATTACACGGCTGTTGCTCCCCTGCTCTACCAGCTTTTTCTCTAATTCGTCAAATGGCTCTGTGCCCGGCAGTGACTTTAGCTCTTAACTTGTGCCATTAACCCAGCATGGTAACAACAGCAGGTGTGAAGAGTGATTTTGTTTTGGCTGGTGGAGACATTGATGACATGGCATTTCTTTCATAAGCGCAGTCTTTATCGCTAAGTTGAATTTTCACTTTAATCCTGCAACATAAAATCGAATCAAGGATAAAAGGGTAATAACAGCTTTCTCCTTATAGCTTCTTCTTTAATTGCAAAACCATGAAAACACATTTATCCACACCGTAGAGCAGTATCTTTTATCTGCACTTCAAAAATTGATCGCGCATTTAATTCAGTGTATTGTTGTCTAAACAAAAGCATCAAATTTCAGCACATCTGATACTGTCATTCAGTGTTTGCTCCCCAAATGAGCACATTATGCCACCGTCCTGTCACGCAAACAAATTTGAGTCTGATGTGCAGCGCTGTTAAAGGCAGTTGGGCCTTTCCTTGTATGTGTGTATTAGCAGGGGGACGCTCTTTTGCACACAGCTGCTCTTAATAACCATCATTAGAGCAAACCAAATCACATGTGCTCTCTTTGATTCTGGAGTTGCAGCTCATCCTTCAGCCATCCACTTCCTTTTTGACTCTTAAAATAGCTGCTGGTTGCTTAAGACAGAAAAAAAAAACAAGAGCACAAAGAAGCTTTTGTCATGGTAAATTGTTCGCTGCAGTTATAACGAGAGTCTGGTGATCGAAGATGGACAGTAACATGCCAAGATATTCAAGACAAAAAACTATAAACAACTGAAATAACTACACAGGTGAACTATGGGAGGAGGGAACCTGCAGGGCCACCCTCTGTTACCTCCCTAGTGTCAAAGATGTGTCTTTCTTTTAACATGGTATTGATTTTAAAGGGATAATCCAGAACTTTTGAAGTGGGGTCGTGTGAGTTACATGTCACTAATGAGTGTATAAGCAGCACTGGATGCCGGTCAGCTCAGCCCATTTAATGAGAAACCGCTAGGAGAACCAGCAGGCTCGCTTTGCTAACAGTTCACTGCAGATGGAGTCAAGCCTGCTACGTCAGTTAGCTAATTTTAGGGACCCTGACCCAAACAGTCATCTGGGTTTAAGGGTTCACTCCACTGAGAATTTTTTCAGCTCTTTACTCAGCTCTTTCCGTTTCTGTCTTTGGTAACCACATGCATTTGATTGATTGTGATTTGCGTGTGTTATAACTATCTAATTGTTATTGTTCTCAGTAGACAAGTTATAGACTATGAAGAGTTTTCTTTGTTTTTTTAATTGTTGCTTTCAGCTAAAATCGCCTGTTAGTAAAATGAGACACTCTTGTGGCTGGACCCTGATGTCTACATATCATAGAATTCAACATTAAACACTATAGAAGAAAAAGATTTGACATGGTATGAACATTTTTTCACACTGCAGTTATTCTTGATACTGCCAAACTGCTGCAGACCCACTCCAGACTGAAATATCTTTAAAACTATTAGATGAAAACATGTGTAAACTTTCATAGTTCAATACAACCTCTGGATGGTTTGTGAGTTACTGACCTGTAAAAGTTTGTCCAACCAAGACTCCTCCCACCTGCCAATCACTGATTATTTCCAGTGTTTGAACATGGCGTCTCACTGCTCTTTAGATTTTTCATGGAAGTGTGGGTAAACGATTACAGCTGGCACTCAAACTCACCCAGAGTTTAATTTCTTTACACACATTTAGTGTTGTGTTGTTCGCGAACGATTTGTTCAAAAGAACCGAATCATTTAAACGAACATACTGAACCGAATCACTTCCTCAAGTGATTCGTTCGCATGCACTGACACCCGAATCATTTGGTAAACGCATCACGTGTTGAACTGCACTATCTGTAATCATTTTTGTCGGACAAAACTAACTCTTTTTTTTTTTTTACTGCTAAATTGCCACCAGAACAACTTGCATACAATAGGACACAGCATGTAACAAGCAGTGCATAAAACCCACAGCATCCTGGCATCACAGCGGTTTGCGAGGGAAGTTCAGGAAATCGTAGTCTCAGGCTCCTCCCACCAAGCGCTGAATGAGTTGGTGATTTGGTGAACGAATCTTTTGAACGAATCTTTTTAGTGAACTGATTCTATTGATTCAGTGCATCTAAAAGTACTGCTGTGCCCATCACTGCACACATTACATACAGACCCTGACCATTCAGAAGACTACGTTCATGAATACTGAATAACAGTATTATCACTCAACAATCCTCAATCCCCAGTAACATTTCGGAGCCTTTACTTTGTTAAATACTGCGACCTCTCTCTGAGAATGTAATCAATGAGAGCATCTGAAACCTCCCACTCTCCACCTGTCTGCTTAATAATTCAACAACAAGCGTAGCCGCTGTGGGCATTCACTGTGAAAGTGAGCGTGTGACCTCCAGCTCAGCAGCAGGTGGTATTCTGCGAGAGGTTGCAGTGTGCAGAAATTAACTTGCTCTTCCCTTTAATGCTATTTTTAGTGGGGTATATGCCAGGGGTTGAGGATGTGGCATAACACAGCACACATTGATCCCTCTTTTACAAGGGTATTAGTGTACGAATTTGACAAGAAGTGTTCGAGCGCTACAGATTTTTGTTTTTCACCTGACCAAGTTTTCCGTTGAAAAAAACAACCTCTTTTCGTCGCGCACACATTAAAAATTCAGCACAGGAGAGATTTTCCTCATGAAATGTTGACGCTGTTGTGCACAAAACAATAATAGTTTACGTTTTCTGAAGCACTCAAGGTCATGAAAATGAAAGCTGAACCAGTCGAGAGCATAAAAAGTGACACTGACTTGGTTATTCAAGAAATCCAATAAAATTGAGTGTTGCGGTTTCAAAGGTCACTTAATAAAAGCAGCTTGAACTGCATTATTGAAACACTTTTAATTCTAAAACACTAAAAACACTGTGTGAATGTATCCCACCATGATCTATACTGAAAATGTTAGATTTGATATATTGAGGATAAAAAAACCATTTTCGTTTATTTGTCTGTTGGCTCACTTTGTACCTTTAAGTGAACTGAGGAGTGTCCCTATACAAGACTGCTATTAAATCCTGCTTATGGTTCCAAATTGTTGTTGTTTGTTGATGCTTCTGTCTCGTTTTGTGACCTTCCCCGAGAAGACAGTTTGTTTTTTTAATAACAGAAAAAAATATTGCTTACCCCAGCAGGAACCAAGACCGAGTTAATCCAATATCAGATGCAATTAATTTACCGTGTGGAGATGGCAGGAGAGTAATTCAGTTAGTTAAATGACTGTTGAATCTCTGTTTTAGATTAAGATGTCTGGTCAAACAACTGGAGAGAGGAGAGGCTTCGCTCACCGACCTGAAGAAAAACCTGGAGTACGCAGCGTCGGTGCTGGAATCCGTTTACATCGAAGAGACGAGGTAAGGGAACAGGGGCTTCGTGCGGGGGAACGAGTCCTGACATGGTTCATTTAATGTGCAAAGCAGCACAGCACTGACAGAGGCCAGGCTATAGAAAATAGATGACTGTCATTAGTATAGCAATTGACCCCTGCTTGTTTTCTTAGTCTCATGTTACTATTTCTTTCCCCTGCTTGGTTACAGAGTCTCACATCATTATGATGGATGATGGCGGACTAAATGTATAATTTCTACAAAGAAGTTCACCCTCCCTAACTCTGCAGAGCTTGGATACTGTAATCGATTGCTGCACTGGCCTTCTTGCCAGTTCAAGTCAAGATATATATATTTTAAAAAGCTCATATTTATGATGTTATTACAGGATCTATTGAAAACACTGCTATCAGTTAGGTAGAATGAAGACAAAGTTTAGTGACGTGTATCTGAAGCACTCAGTTGCAAAGTATTACTCTATGCTTTGTTTCATTATCTTTTTAAAGCTCCTGTAAGGAACTTTTGGTCTGTGCACATTTTGGCGCCCCCTGTGGACAAAGCAGTCATTGCCTATCTTGTCTTTTATGCGCTCAGCAGTGATTCTTCACTAAAGTCTAATCCTGCTGACTCTTGACAGTCAGAAACAACATTTATGTATCATTTATTGTAACAATGGGGTTGCTTTCTTCAGTATCGGTGTGTATTATCCGTCCATTCAATTATTTCATTCAATCTAGTAAACAAAAAACGAAAAAATGAGTCAATATTTTGTTTATTTGTTTTTCTATACAACCAATAAATGAAAGATTAGTGTTTGTTTTTGTATGTTTAGTTCAAAACAGAATATATGATAGCGATGACAAAAACAAAATAATAAATCTACTTTTCGTTTTCGGGTTATTGATGTCCCCATTTCCCATGGTGCCTTTCTACTGTTTGCACATGAGCATTGCGCAGCAAAGTAGCCAACAAGGTGGACCAAAAACTCCAGGTCAGAGCGGTCGAGAAAGGCTAACCTGCTGTTATGGAGATGGACGCATCCTACGTGTTATACAAAGCCGCCAGGAGGGTCACGCTAAAGGAGAAAGATATGACTGAGCCGCTCTGTCGCATCTTTCGCCATGGTAACTGTCGCTGAGGATCATGGGAAGGCCAATGTAGCCTCTGTGCGCGTATGCACAAAACAGGCGCACTCAAAATCAATAAGTGTAAATAAGATTGATTATTTCTTTTTAAATTATATATTCTGTTTTGAGCTAAAAATGCGAAAACAAACATTATTTTTAAATTTTTTGGTTATACAGAAAAACAAATAAAATATTTAATGGTTTTTCCATTTTTCATTTACTAGATTGAATGGAATAACTAAATGGACGGATAATACATGGACCCTTATCACTGATGGTCTTGTTTGGTTTTGGATACTAAAAAAAGGCATCAGAAGGAATTTTAGTCTATTTTATAAATATCCAAAATCCCTTCACAGGAGCTTTTATCATCTATATTGTGACAGCCCTACTGTTGTAAATCAAAAGCAAATCAAGATATTGAATTGTACCGTAACAGACCACAAACCAGAGGTCCTGCTTATGAGACAGGAAGTTTTACTATTTGTTTTATTTGCTGAATTGATTTTAGGATCCAAATTGCAATCAGCTGGTTGAATAGTTTTACTCAGATGTTTCTGATATTGTATAAGAGTTTTATCACAGTTTTTACTGATGTAAGTCTAGTGAATAGTCCTTTTGCCTCTGACTGTGACATAATTTATAGTCAGTAACCCACATACCTAAATTAAATAGATTGTAAAACATATTCATTGGATTTATTGCTTAAAAGTAAGGTTTGTGGATCATCATTATTCATCTGTTTTATGGCCTGTAATAACGTTCGCAGAGTTTGGTTGAGGTAAAAGACTATATTAGGTCAATGCCTGTCAGTAGTCAAATGCAGGTTCAGAATCGGAGGTATGAGCAGGCTTATGGAATTATATAAACCTCTCGTCATCCAGATCCCAGCAGATTAGGGCCGGCTATGGGATGACCACTCCAGGGTGGAGGAGGATGAACTCTCCAGTGCAGAATCCATGTAGCAGCGTGATTATCGGTGTGATGTGAATGCTTTCTCTCTGCCATAAGGACTTGTATTCAGTTCAGAGGGTGGGGACCAACAGGCTTTGCTCTTGATCCCCTGAACATGTCAACACAACAGGGTAGCTGTGGAGAATTATATCACACAATTGGATTCAGACACTCCTGTCTGAGCGCTCCAAGAGGCCTGGGATGTTTCAATCTTACATAAGAGGTGATATTATTTGATGGACAGTGCCTGGATTTGAGTTTGATCCCCTGTAAAAGTAGCGCCAGGATAAATATCTTTGTAAGCCTCTGGTCTTTGCATACGTCTGTGTTGCCTTCTGTTGTTTCTCTCCCATATGTCTGGCTTTTAACTTTCACCCCTCTCTTCCTCCAGGCGTTTAGTGGACACAGAAGATGAGCTCAGTGACATCCAGTCAGAGTCGGTACCGTCGGAGGTGCGGGACTGGCTGGCCTCCACCTTCACCCGACAGATGGGCCTGATGCTGCGGCGCAATGAAGAGAAACCTCGCTTCCGCAGCATCGTCCACGCCGTCCAGGCCGGCATATTTGTCGAAAGGTAAACATATGAGCGTGAAACACATGAGCACACAACCACAACCAAATCCAGGCGGGCTGCCAATGATGTTAAATTATTCAAAAGGACTGTCACCTTTATCTTCCCTCCACTGACGTCCCATCTTTCACCGGTCAACCCAAACAAGTGTAGCCCGGAGCAACTAAAAGCAAGGCTTTCAACATCTTCTGTTTGGCCTAAGACCGCGAAAAGACAGCCACGCTTTTCCTCCACATTTCAGCGCCTTTTCTGCTCATACTCTTTTGATAATTGACATTTAGAAAAAGATATTTGCAAACCTTTCTCTGTAACATTTTGTGAAAGTTACAATGGAGAATTGGGGCCACATCAAGGATAACAAATAGGGCACAACGTCACCAGAATAGAGTTTTAATATTTCTAGGATAAATCTGTGATTGTGTGAAAGTTGTTGTTCAATTCAATGTAAATTATTTTGGGAGGTGATTTTGCTTTGATTTGATAGGACAGCTGTAAAGAGACAGGAAATGTATGAAGCAGAGAGTGAGAGATGACCCGCAGCAACGGCTTCACCATACTGGAAAAAACTAACATTGCAATTTTTTTCAACCCTGCGATATATATTGCGATATTAAAAAATACAGGAATTTTCACCAGATGACCTGAATAGCACTTTATGTTGTGCCGCACTGCTGAAATCTTGTGGATAGTTAACCTGCACTGATCTTACATCTTTTGTGAATGTTAGTAGAATGGCTTCTGTCCGTCTTGGAGATGTTTTTAGTTTGCTTTTATTGTGGCAAGACACAGAACACGTGTTTTGGTCGACATCATCCTTCTTGTAACTAAAATAATTCCAGATAACTGACTTTCCTTTTCTTTTTGTCAACAAGTCTTCATCTTCTGTGGTTTTCTCTTGTTTGTTTCTTGTTTTGCAATCGTTGTTTTTGTTACCGGTGTTGTGCATGCACCTCGCAAAACGCACACCGCTTATAGTAGAGTGGTCCACGTAAATGTACAATTCAAAACCCATACAATTCTTATTTGTTGGGCTTAACAGTGATGAGTAATGTTCCGAAAGTAATTCTCAGCGGACACATTTCTTGGCACAACACCAGCAGCACCAGCGACTCACTCCATGTGCAGGGGGCGTGGTTTCCTCCTCTCTCATTTTGATTGACAGCTGGCAGGGTACTCAGTCAGCTACCCTTGAAATTCGATAAGTTCATTCAGCCTCCGACATCACAGGCTTTGCAATGTGACTATCGCGCACACAATGACGATGCTCAAACGATATGTCGTGCAGCCCTACAGCAAAGGTTTGAGGAAAACTAGCATCTGCTGCAGGAAAGACGAAGACCTCAAGACGAAAACATGGTAAACTACAGGAATAAAACCGAAAATGAACAAGATCTGTTCAGTAAATTTTCAGTGAAAGGGGTATAGGTTAAATATAATATAACATATAAGCTGATGGACCATCATTTCAACAACAAAAACAAAAAAGTCAACTTTGAGATATTTTGTTGTGACACACGGACAAGAATCTGAAGAGGAATTGATCGGTTAAATTCTGAAGTTTTAGAGCGTTTGTTTGATAAAACACGTTATAAAATAGCGATGCTTTATCGATGATATGACTGACAAATGTTCCAGCTTTCTGGAGAATTGAAAGAGAGAAAATAATCGGCAAAGAGGTGATTATGAAAGCACCAGTAATCATTACCATTTCAGTGAGAAATTGATTCCCTTTACAGTGTAACGGAGGACCTGACAAAGGAGTGTTAATGAGATGTACACTTACTTGTCTGTGAATTGAACAGCAGGCAATTAAGTTTTTTCCAATAAATAGAGTATTCAACATTTGTCACGGCTCAGAGGGAATCAATTAACGATCCAATATTTAAGGAATAACTTGAACTCTGCAAATATCGGCTTTCACGTTGTCTGGGTTCGATTTTTGCTGATTGCTTATGCAGCGCATATCCCCCAGTCTGTCTGAGTTCGTGTGTTCGCTTCAGTAAATCAAACCTGGTGGCGATGAAAATTTGACAAAAGCATCAGAAGTGAGTCCTTTTAAATCTCCGTCTGAGGGAAATCTCCGCGCGCCCTCTACGCAGTGACTCACTCACCTGAGTCGACCGTACATCTTCACAGCCTTGGCAAGCCTGGCTGAGCACAATCATTCAGAGAGTTGTAAACAGCTCCCCTCTTCAAGGCTGTGCTTTATCACACACTAACATGCAACATGCATTTGTTCAGACCAATAAGCCCCAAACATGTGAGCAGTAATCTGTCTTAATCTTTTTTTCCAGAGGGTAGTCTGTTTTTTAGATATCCACTGAATAGAAAAGATTGAAGAGAGGAGGATGAAAAAAAAGGGGGAAACAGTGATGAAGCACGATGCATTCACTATTTTTAACCCTCCTCCTGTGTTAGGGTCTGCACCGACCCCTTTTTGATTTTAAATACTTACAGAGTGTTACAGACTGCTTTTCTTTTGTATATGTATGATTGTATTTGACACTGTGATGATGATCAAATAAACTAAACTAAACTAAACTAAACTAAAACTAAATTCTTTTAACACTGTTTGGTGATCAAAAGGAATAGGCAGAAGCTCGAAGCTTGTAGATGCCTATCCTACTTACTCATGTTTTACCAAAATTAGTTTAGTTACTCAGTATGTATAACGAGTACGTTTGACTAGCTGAGCATTCCAATGTAAAAGCAAAGCAAGAACAGAACGAAAAGGAGCAGCAACCAGAGGAAACAGGAAGCATATAATTTAATTTAGGATCAAAATAGATCCAACTTCTAACTTATTTAAATCCTACATATTATTTATTAATCATTATCGTGTGGATTATTATAATTATAAATAAATCCATATATGTATAAAGTCTCATATATATACTCATATATACTCATAGATATATCTACCTATATACCTACATATATCTATATATAAACATATATACCTACATACATACACATACAAACACACATACACATATTCATATGTATATACATACATATACATATACACACATACATATATATACACACATTCACACCTATTAAGCTATGGCATGTTTGTGTATTTATGCAGGATATTACATTTAAGCCGTTTTTTAATCACTTAAATTAGCTTTTTTGCATCGAGACTTTTTGACTTTGTCAGGAACCTCTAATTCAACAAAATAAATAATAAAATTAAAAAATTAAATTGACTAAATTATAAAATGCTCTTATTAAAATTATGGCACTTGTCGTGTTAGGGTCGCTGTTGACCCGGTTAGATCAGTATCTAATAATTAGAACAAAAACTGAAATCATAAGTGCACTGCCAGACACCACACTGACAGTCAGATCCTCTTCCAATCATGTGTGATTTAGGAAATTCTCATTTTTCCATGTTTTTCCCTGCACAAAAAACAACGTCAGGCATGTCCAAACGTGTGAGATCAATTCAGTATAGATGTCTGTGTGAGGGGTATACTGACAAAGAAAAGCCCAGAGGCCCACAACAAAAAATATTACAAACAATATTTTCATGGATAATGAAGCCTAATAAGGTAACCTAGAGATGAGAACCAAAGTGGGTGATACAGAATTGTTTTTAGTGTGATTTACAGCTGATTTAAGACACAGGTCAAAACCAATCTTTAACATAGTGGGTGTGCAGTAAAAGCAAACACAGGAGGAAGGTTAAATAGAAGAAACCTGATTTTCTCACTAAATGCATTAAAGAAGGCCTTTACTCCTGAAATGAAGGATTATTTAGTCAAATTCTTCTGTTTTTGTGACAATTCTGCCCCCTCTAAATCGACACACAAGAAAGAAAAGAGCTGGTTTAGCATTTTCCTGGTAAACAACTTCATAAATACTCCACATATTTGGCAAAGCCTTAAACCAAAACCTTTTCCATCTGAAAAAAACCACAAACTTCAAGACGTTTAAGTCTTCCTTCACCGTAACCTTTTCCACACAGTTTCATACTGAGTGTGTTGATACGGGGGTTTTGAAAGATTCTTGGTGGGGGATCTCCCACGCTGTGGTACGCAGACGGTTTAGTAACCTCTGGTGTTTGCACTCAGCGGTGTTCTTCATTTGATGTTTTTATCTCCTCCAAACAGGATGTACAGACGCACCTCCAATATGGTGGGACTCAGCTACCCCCCCTCTGTGATATCTGTGCTCAAGGTATTAACACGCGCGCACGTGCCTTCACGCTCACACTCATATCAAACGACAACTTGTACACACAATCAGTTCAAATCAATTCAATTTAAATTCTTTGTTTAGTCTCAAAAGGACACCGAGTTTCCCATCATGAGGATAAATAAACTGTGAAACGTTTTAATTTGTCTTTAAATAGTTCGATTAAAAATAATTAAACTTTTGATTTCTTCTTCTTCTTTACACAGAATGTTGACAGGTGGTCATTCGACGTCTTCGCCCTCAACGAGGCCAGCGGGGATCACGCGCTTAAATTTATATTCTACGAGCTGCTCACGAGATATGACCTCATTAGTCGCTTCAAGGTAAAAGCACAAGGATGCGCCACTACACCACACCGCTCCTCGCTACCGCAGCTTTGGTTTGGGGTCATTAAAACAGGGATAAACTGAACATCTCCAGCACAGGTCGTAACAACCTTCACAATCCCTCCATCGGTTGAATGAAAGCGAGCAGACCCACTTCTCTGCCTCTTCAGTGTGTGTGATTGTGTGGTTGGATTTCAACAATGGCCACATTATGAGGGAGCTCGGACATACTTCATCTCATGTCGTGCTTGTGGCGCTCATTTTCTTCTTCTGAGGACACTCTACGTGAAGTGACAACATCTGAGAGTAAATGACGCCGGCAATGAATGTGTAATCACAGACCACAGGAGCCTAAAGATTCACGATCCGTGGTTTTATGACATCCATTTTGGATGCTGAGTGGGTCTGTGTATGGATGGAAATTGTATGTCCTTGACATTTAAATCAGACCAGGAGGCTGGGAGAAGTTCTGACCGTCTTTTGTGTGTTTCAGATTCCCATCTCTGCTGTGGTGTCATTCGTTGAGGCTCTAGAAGTGGGATACAGCAAACATAAAAACCCCTACCACAACTTGATGCACGCTGCAGACGTCACACAGACCGTACATTACTTGCTCCTCAAGACTGGCATGGTGGTGAGTAGGATCAGTCACACGACATCAATCAAATCAATCAAATTTTACTTATATAGCACCAATATACAACAGCCGTTATCCTAAGAGCAGTTCTAGACCATTGTTTGATGAATTAAGACCATATCCTTAAGATGGGACAGATTTGACCCATCTCATCTAACATGAGTGGCAGTGGCAAAGAGAAACTTCCTTTTAGAGGGATATTCCAGCGTTAAATTAATTTAGGGTCAAACACATCGTAACACCAAGTTAGACACCCTGCTGCAGTCAGTAATGGATTGGCCTGCAGTCTCACTACAAACAAGGAGAGTCGGTGAGTTGTGTCCAGTCTCTTTGCTAAAGAAATCAGGCAAAGTTAAAAAGATGTTTGTTGGCTAGTGCTGCGGCTAGGACCCTACATGTACTGTTGATGAAGTTAGGTGCTGTTCTGAGCATTATTTGTGGCTATAGAGTGGCGTTTTGGTTGAGGTTTGTTTATGGCTCCTCAGACCGCTGTGTATTACTATCCTATGGTCGTTACTAAAGTTGGTATAACTAGAGAAGCAAGCTGTTGGCAACATTCATCTTTCGATGGGGTGTCTAACGTGGCATGTTTGGCCCTAATTTAATTTTACACTGGAATATCCCTTTAACAGGCAGAAACCTTGGGAAGGACCAGATTCGTGTCAGGCCGCCACCAAGCAGCTGCTGAGGTGGGGAGAAATATAGAGAGATAGGAAGAGAGAGAGAGGGAGAGGAGGGAGAGAGGACAGGGTGAGAGAAAGAGAACAAGGAAGTAGGAGGGAGAGAGAGAACGAGTGAGGGAGAGGGAGGGAGAGAGAAAAGAGATCAAGGGTGAGAGAGAGAAAGATGGGACGGCAGCAACATTAAAACAAAAGTACCAACAACAACAACAACAACAACAGCTCATACAGAGTTGTGGTTGCAGAGCAAGTACACACAGGATCCTAAAAAATCATCATCAGATGTTGTTTGTCAGCCTAAGTGCAGCTTTCCTTGTCTTGCAGCTGCTGAATATTGGTGTTATTTTGGAGAATTTATTCGTCATTACTGCTCCCAAGAAAATTCTCCCTTTTTGAATTCTAGTCTTGTTCAAGGCCAGTTCGAGGAAAACAGCCCTCATTTTGAAGCCTATCTTTCAAATCCTGACCCCAGATGTTTTCTGTCTCGTTGCTTTTACCATGCTGCTGCTTTTGCTCTTTTCCATCTAGTGACTTATACTTCAGCCCTTCCCACTGTAGTGACTTTGGGGCTTTTCTTTCACTAGATTCATTCGACCGAAAAAGGGAAAAAAAAAGAACTCAGGCCGAGTTCAAAACCCCCAACCAGCCAGCCGCCCCTGCTTCCAGCGTTTTTATTTAATCACCTTAATAAGGTGGCTGCGACAGCTGTCGACATGGTGCGTTTCTACAGGGCAGTGCCTTGCGGAGTAAACCACATTACTGCGAGAACCCTGGGCTCCTGGGAGAGCAGGAGAACAGAATCTATCATTTCAGAGGCCCTCCAGACTCCATTAAATCAACAATCAACAGGTCATTCATAAAGCCAGCCTCAAGAGGGAAAAATACTGAAGGACGGATCAGCCATCTTACCCCCGTCCTCCACGCCCCCCCTTGTTCCTCATGACTCCTCCATCCCCCACTGTTGATTAGTCACCAATATCGACTCAGCTTCCTGGGCTAAATCCCCGCTCTGTGTATGCGAGTGCGCTGAGATTCGAGCACACTCGCAGGTGTGTGGACGCTGCAAACACTCGTAGATTCAACATCAATACCCACAAGTCAAAGTGCAAACATTCACAGACGGGTTCAGTCCATGTTATTCTCACTAGTCCCTGTCAGCTTACTCTTTGGATTCTGGTGGCTACGTGGGTGCTTATTTGACGAAACACAGTTTTGCAGCGAGTGTTTGACATTTGGGAGAATAAGTGTATTCACTATCATGCCGATAGTTTGATGAGAAGATTAATACCCATCTCATTTTTACCACATTAGCATACGACGCTGCCTGGGGTGAAACATTGCAGCGGGTGATGATATTGTCGTTTCGGGAGTGGAGTGCGGTGGTGGCTCACTTTTCTTTATTAAGCTGAGTCATTGTACGCAGCACAGCAGGATCAACAGTATGACAGGCTGTAACCTTTGCAAAACAATTGTACCGGGGCAGAAAAGCAAAGAAAGCAACACTGCAGTCAGCTACTCCTGTGATGGCTGTCAGTGAAGTCAGCTCCATCACCTTTGAGTCAATCACCTTTTCAAAGCTCAGAATGGGTTTTGTAAAATGGACTGTTGTGTGCTCGACCTATTTGTTCCTGATACATTTTTCAAAACTTGATACAGCGCCCCGGACAACTGACATGGTTGTCCCTCTCCTGTTTGTGGGACTTGGTTTGACTTAGGGCTGGGCGATAAAACGATAAACGATATATACCGAAAATTAATTTCCCTCAATATCAATATAAAACATGGTCAACGTGCTTTTCGATAGTCGGCATTCTGACATGTTTTGGTAGACTGTATGAATAGCCAATGAAAAGTGGAGTTGCTCCAGGTCGACTTCGCGCCGCAACAATCGTGCTGAATTAGAAGCAAGTAGCAAACATCTGCGTAGTAGGAGGCTGCAGCTACACACATCCATAGCAGATGAAGGCTCAACAGATGATGACATTGTCGACAACAATGTGTGGAGGTATTTTGTTTTTTTGAGGTCGGACATGAAGCAGATGTAAGGATGCTTAGCCTATGTTCACACTTTAAAAATGGAAGGTCATTTTGACAAGCTTTACTGGTTGCAGATCTGGGTTACAGCTTCATCAGGCCACAAGTGTAACAGAGACTGGTCTGAGAATGTTCAAGTATGTATCACCGTCCACGTTTCCAAACATTCCGCTTGCATCTTATTGATCTTAAGGAGAGTCCATGTTGGGTAATAACAAAGCACAACATATTTTGGGAGCCTGAGTGATGTTAAACATGGGTACAAGGTCCTTGTTAAGGATAGTTGTCGGAGGCCCATGGCTCCAGAAATCTAGCACCAAAGTATTCGAGGTATTACAGCTCCACCACCCTAAAGGCTGACATGACTGGCTAAACAAAATCAGAGTAATGTGCACTGCAAATTATGTCGAGTACATGATCTTGCAAAGTCGGGGAATACCTCAAATCTTTTTCCCCACCTGAAGCAGCGCCACACAGCAGAGCATGCACAATGCGAAAGGTTACCAACCTTGAGTGGACCAAAGAGCCCATGGTGCTCGTGCAACCGAAACAGCCAACCATTCGGTCTGCTTTCTCTTGCGCAATGCCTTACGACACCAAGACCTCACAGATGCAGTAGCTTATGGTATTGCAAAAGACATGCTACCAATAAGCACTGTCAAATTTCATTTTTTGTTTCGTGATATATACATCGATATTGACTGATATGGAAAAAAATATGGTAATGAACTTTTTCCCATATCGCCTAGCCCTAGTTTTACTTATCAGGCAGGAAAAGCAGTCTTTGTGGAGAGCAAAAGCAGGTGTATCACACACCGACACCACGTCACCTTGGCTCCCTTCAGCACGAATATAACATTTGATTTATGGCCAAACAGAAATCTAAATGCAATGTTTGGCTGACAATCAAAAACAATTTAAGCAACAAACTTTCTTGATGCAAAAGACAAACAATGATTAGATTTACAGACCACTGAAGGCATCAGAATCGATTGATCCAACTTCTGCTTGACAAACAAACCATTTAAAGTTGCATTCATTTGCTCTCGTGGAAAGATCTGCCAAAACTCGGCTTTTTACTTCTTTACAAACCTGCACCACGATGTTGTTATTTCCATTAGCTCAGAGTCCAAAAAACTGCAAATGCATCATAAGAGAATTGCTTTGGAACTGCTGATGTGAGACACTGTTCATTTACTATCTACTGCTGAACTGAGACTCGAGGGTAAGAGACGAACAAGTCTAACCCCGGGGGATTTACTAAACCGAAGAGACGACTGTGTTTATACTGCAGGTGTGAAATGCCACATGGAAAAGGAAGTCAAAGCTAATCCACAGAGCCTTTTATTACACAACATCGTCTATTGTTCAACTGAGATTTGGTCTTGAGTAAAACCGGTCTAAAAAATGTGCGCAACTTCACCAAAAACTGTCCTAAAGGCAAAGATTTGGTTGAATAAAATCAGGTCTAGAATTGGTTTAGCTCAGTAAGTGGAAATAACTTGTTTTGCAGTGTCTTGTTTTCCCCTCCGGCATCAACTGCTCCTAATTCACACTTCATATCTTATAAATCCATATAAATCCAAGTGTAAAAACAAAATGTGGACTTTATCTTCCTACTCTTGCTTTAGACATTAAAGTAGTGTTTTCTTGTCATCTAACTTTAAGCTAAGAGTGAAAAATTGTGTTTCCTCTAATTCCTTTAAGAGTCGCTGTTACTTTTTTGTCATCATCTTTTTTTTTTTTCTTGCTGCAGTCGGGAGTCGTGTCTGGAAAAAAGGTTTCAACTTGATTTGAAAAACTTAAATTGAATAGCAGGATATGTATTTCCTCCCTTGCGACAGAGAGCACAACTTTTTCATTTTTATTTGGTAACGGTGACAAGCCGCACTCGGAGGCTGTGTAAAGGGGGAACGAGGAGGAGTCGTAGGAGGAGTTCAAACTGACAGTTTAAAATGTGAATCCTGATCGAGCTTGTCTTATCTAAAGTTTCCGTTTTGATTTGCTGACCTTTTCCTCCATTTTCTCCTCCTCATTCGTTCTCTTTCATCCCTGACTGTAATGTATTCTCATGCCAAATATCTTCCTCTGCATCCTTTATATCACTTTTTCCCTCTACATCTTTTTGACATGATGAACCATTTCCTGCGTTCCTCTTTTCCCTTCACTGGCTCCTCATATCTCTGCCTTCTCATCTATCCATTCTTTACTTTTATTTTCATTTCAGGTACTTTCTTCTTCTTGCTCACCTCTGTAACACCTTTTTCTCCTCTTTATTCTTCTCCTCATATCTCTTTCTTTTAATGCTCACACCCCACTCTATCACTTTTGTCCCCCGCAGCACTGGTTGACCGAGCTGGAGATCTTTGCAATGATCTTCGCAGCAGCAGTGCACGACTATGAGCACACAGGGACCACAAACAACTTTCACATCCAGACACGGTAATGGATCATAAAATCAAAAATGCATGGCACAGACTCACCCGATCAATGTTTTCATTTGCAGCAGGGGGCCTTTACATTGACACTAAGATCGCCTGCAGTGCAGTAACAACACTGGGGCAGGACGCGGCTCCGGATAAACTCCTTTCTCCTGAGATCTGGAGTTGGAGATGGAAAAACTGTAACCGCTGCATATGCTGTGATTAAAACTTGGAAAGTTACATTTAGAGTGATAAAAAGTCTGGATTCAGTTTAATTGTAAAAGTTGAACTTTGTGGTTGAGACTTACTTCTCCACCACTTTTACTTTTTAGAAAGAAAACTTTGCAGGTTATTTCATGTCTCGGTTTTTAAAATAATGCAGAGATTTTGCATTTTATTTTTTGGTATCAAACTCAATCAACAGTCATTTTTCACTGTCACAGAGGGAACAAACCTCAGTGTCGTTTCTGGTTTGTTTTGAATAATCTGATTGAAGTTTATGCATCCAGTTCATTCATTTACAGAGAAAGTCTGCAACTCCGGCATATTTTGGAAATGCTTGTTTTACTTTTGCTCACTTAAACTTGTATAAATGTCCCTTTTGGGATTCCCCCCCCCCCTTTTTGTGATTAAGGTGAAGAAAATGATTGACGAGTGCAGATTCGTGAAATCAAAGTCTTTCGTCTTAAAACTTGCTTTGATCATTTGTTGTTATTTTGTACTTTTGCTTGTTTTAAAAATAGTGATATTGGTCAAATATCAGCAAAAATTTGAAAATTGGACTATATCGGTCTGCATCTAAAATCTCCAATATCAGCACTCTGATACAAGCAGTCCATTCCAGACTCCGCTCCAGCATTTCTATCTAGCAGCGCCATGTAGAGCCCATGTAATCACAACAACAGTGTGTACTAAGTCACTGACAAAGTAGCAGTGATGTTGGCAGTGTGGCAGTATTTTTCATTATACTCTGAAAAAGATGTTGCAGCTGAGTGCAAAACAAGTTTGTGCCAATATCGGATCAATATCAGTATCCGCCAATATTGAAGGCTACAATATCGGTAAAAAAAAAATGTATCAGGACAGCCCTATTTTAAGGGTTGTTATACTCTTTATTTTTAGTTTTTTAATATATATATTTTGTGAAGAACTTGGTGACAATGCTTCATGCTATACCAAATATACTTTACTTACTTAGACCAGATTCAATCAGTTTAGATACAACGTTATTTATCCTTTTGGGAAGGTTTCCTCAGTAGACTTACTTACTCTCCAAGGAGGTCAGGACCTGGAGAACAAACTACAGAAAACAAGCGAGGTTTTGTTTACCTGGCTAGCTGCCAGACTGCATCTATAACTTTCTTTGCAATGCAGGCAAAAAAGCTGCAGCATGAACTCTTGAGTAATGGAGCTAATAAAAGAGAGTATAGATCTCTAAAGTAGTCTGAAGTTTATAATTTGGGGGCACATTTTCCTGACACACTGAAAAAGTAGGAACATCTAAAGGGCTATTTCTCTCTCTCTAAAAGATGTTCCTTTCCATTTTGTCCAATGAAAGACAACTTCTCTGCTTTCTCTGGCAGGTCAGACACAGCCATCCTATACAACGACCGCTCAGTGCTGGAGAGTCACCATGTCAGCGCAGCGTACCGCCTGCTGCAGGACGACGATGAGATGAACATCCTGTACAACCTCTCCAAGGATGACTGGAGGTCAGAGAGACAGGAACTTGGACAGATAATGAAAGAGCAGAGGGGAAGCGAAGGGAAGGAAAATGTGGGGATGTTTGAGACAAATAGAGAGGCAGACAAGACACGGAGAAGCCAGACAGGTCAGGGAGAACAGTTCGACAGTGTACAAATATCCTTTTCAAACATTCTTGGGAACTTTTTTCTTATTCATCAAGTTTAAAAGTGATGCTTGTTGAGGTGAAACTCCCAAACTTGGACGACTTCAAGGTCCAACAGAAGTGCATTTATTTGTAAAACTACTTTCAAAGAGGCAGAAAAGTCAAATTCCTGGTGGACGTGATAAAGCAGAAATAATTGCCACCCTTCCAAAATCTGTCTCCAGTAACTTTTTTCCGACCTTCAGAAAAAGACGACTTTTACATCCTTTGAGAGCTTGCGAAGCAGTTTTCTGGCTTATGTTTCCCTCTTCTTTTGTTTGCATCCAGAGAGCTGCGGGCGCTTGTGGTAGAAATGGTGCTGGCCACAGATATGTCGTGCCACTTCCAGCAGGTGAAGGCCATGAAGAACTTCCTACAACAACCAGAGGGGTCAGTTGAATTTTTCTAACCCTAACCCTAACTTCATTGCTGTTTCTGTTATAATGTCATTGCTCAATCACCACCCACTGTTCTCGAAGGGTACACTCAAAGTTGAGCCCAACAGACCTTCTCGGTTGCTGCAAACAGATTTTTCCACACTAGGACAGGTGATATCTGTTGCTACAGTATTTTTTTGTCAGTTTCTACCAAAGATCATTAGTTGAACAGCACAGGTATTCAGTAGTCTGTTACTACTGACCCTCTCAGGCACAAACATAAGGTACTTTGTGTTTCTCTTATGCAGCAGAGTTATGGGGCAGTCGCACCAGATTTGGCACAGTGAATTTATTTGCACACTGCAGTGAAAAACAGCCCGTGGTAGAAATACTGCTGGCTCACTGTATGCTGCAAGACATGCCTCAAGAAAATATTAGCCTTCAAAAAAAAAATCAATGTACCACTGTCTGAACCAGTACCATTTGTCTTCTATAGCAGTTACATACTTCTACACTTAAGAGGTACACATTTGGAGGCAGCAGCATCCAATCAGCTAAAAAGTCATCGGCTCCTCATAGAATGAAGAAGCACAGAGTTTTTCAGCCCAACTCTGACAAACACGCCCAGACCATAACTCTTCCCCCCGCTCAAACTTTGGAGTAGACACCGCGCTTCCCAGTAGGTAGCGTTCTCATGACCACATAACCCAGCTGCATCCATCAAACTGCCAGATAGAGGGTCGTGATTCACAACTCTGAAAAACCCATTCCCACTGTTCTGGAGTTCAGTTTCTGCATGCTGTACACTCCATCATGGCTGATGTAAGGCTTACATGTACTGTACGTGCAGCTCCTCGGCCATAGAAACCTGTTTTTTTTGTGCTTATATTGCTTTAATGTACAGTTTGATAAGCTGTAGTTAATGAGGCAAGAAGTCATAGGTGATTTTAACATGCTAAGAGCTCCCACACTCATTAGTCCAAGAGTTTGTTCCACATAAAAAAACCCGACTTAAATAGGGCAGATCTAATAGGACATCAATTTCAGTTGCTGTGGCAAGACAGACGTCTAATAACAATGCCCTGTTTAAAGTCTCTGGCCTCCTGACGACCCTTTTCAAAGCTGTGCCCCAATTAAAGGGACTGCTTTCTCTAAAGGGGGCATTTGGAGACTCGTTGTGTGACTCCGGGGCTGTCCCGATCTTATGCTCCTTCACAGGCAGCTAGAATCAATACATTGAGACAATAAAGACAGCTTAAACTTGAAATGATCAAAATGCTGGTGGTGTTTAAAGGGAAATCCTGAGTAAAATTAAGTTAGGGTCAAACACACTGGAATCCCGACAATAGCAATACACAGCAGTCTGAGGAGCCATAAACAAACCTCAACTGAAACGCCATTATGATCATAAATGTTCTTCCTTGAGCTGCGGCACCCCGCTGTATTTTGTAATGCACTGACCTGAGGTCTCGCTACAAACAAGCGGCTGCTGGAAGAGAGTAGGTGAGTTGTGTTTAGTCTCTTTGCTAAAGAAATTAGGCAAAGTTAAAAAGATGTTTGGTGGCTAGTACTATGGCTGGGACCCTATATGTACTGTTGATGAATTTATGTACTGTTCAGAGCATTATTTGTGGCTAGAGTGGTGTTTTGGTTGAGGTTTGTGTGTGGCTCCTTAGACCGCTGTGTATTGCTATCGTTACTAAAGTTGGTATAACTAGAGAAGCAAGCGGTCGGCAACATTCATCTCTCGAAGGGGTGTCTAACTCAGTGTTATGTTGTATTTGACCCTAAATTAATTTTACACCGGAATATCCCTTTAAGTTATGCAAGTCTGGCTATGTTAGCTAGTTAGCCAGCTAGTTTCCCAGAGTTTAGGCACTGTTTGACATAAGTTAAGATTATCGTAATTCAGGGGGAGGAGTCCTAATAAATGTTGTTCAAGACTGGCGCTACATGCTCACCTGCTCTTCCGACCTTCCCATCGGCTACCATAATAACCGTCAATTAAGTCTAAAGTAAACAAATTTTTCTTCTCATTCATGAAATGCAAAAATTGGGAACGTTTCCGAGAACAGCTTTAGCCAGGGAGAGCTCATCCAAAATGGGGACTGTCCTTGGAAATCGGGGATGTGTAAGTGTAAGTGTGGGGACAGCTGTCAACACAAACAAGAGATGCTCCTTAGACCTGTTCACTTCAACCTGAGTCCTTTGAAGGATCCTACCTCAGCTTAAATGTTTATAATTCACACTGTCTTCAAGGATGGATAATAACAGGTAGGACATGGTTAAAATCTTGAAGTTAGCATATTCAACACATTTTTTTTCATATGGTTTCTGTCAATGAAGTTAATGCTGATTATCTTGAGTTATGTCCAAATGTTCATTTTTCTGAGTTAAACTGGTTTAATTCATTTTTTGATTACACATAAAGAGACATATGAACAAAAATATGAGTTTCTGCATCCAACCAACATAAGAATATGCAAACTGATAAACTGACCTGATCCTTGCTGTTTAGTTGGCTATCAATACCATGGCTCCACCACTCTTACTCTACTGTCCAATCTCAAGCTCTGAATTTTGCCTCACTTTTGTGCCATATAGGTAGAGAGGTGTTGTCCACATTTATAGTCAGTCATTTGTCTGTAGAAATGAGACGCCTGTGCTGACTCACATCCATGCAACTGTCGATGGGATGGGTGGAGGCTGACACACTTGAATTAAAAAGTGGCATTCACTGAGTGTCGGTCATAATGTGTTGTCTGATACGCTCTAGGTGCAGACACTGAGCTGCAGCACGGGAGGGACAGAAATAAAAGAGCGCTATCAAGCTAACGATCACATGACATGATGAGTCATCACTGCTGATGTAGCTGAGATGAGTGTTGGAAAGCGTTTGACCTTTGGGTTACTCCTCTCACTGAGATAATGCACTGCATTTGTCACGACTGCATAAAAGACAGTGATCCGGAGATAAGTAACTTCCCAGGACTATATATAAATATAGGAAATAAACAATATAATACCTATGTACTTGTAAATGCATCCCCAGAGTGCTGACTGCAAGGTAATCAGCAAGGTAAAGTCCAGCAAATGGCACACACAAACACACGTACGCACACTCACACACTCGGGGGCACATGAATGAGAGATTGCGGTCTGCAGGAAGCTGTAATGCTGAATAGACTGTAATGTGCAGTAATTCAAACCAGTGTGCCCCTGGCCTGCTTGGAGTGCACTTTAAGACCCAATCTGCCACAAATGGAAGCGAGGGAAATTTGAGCGAGTCATTCTGACCCCTGTTTAACCTTGTGCTGTCTGTGCGTATCTCTGCGCATGAATATGATCGTGTGTATTACCATTTTATGTGTCTTTTCTCCATGTTGCTCTGTGTCTGACAAATCAAGCTTCAGTCCATTAAACATGATATTTTGATACGGTTATCAGGTGGTATCTCAGACGCCACTGATGTCTGATACGGTGAAATGAAGCGTCTTCACGCTGAGCTCTAGTGGAGAAAAGCGATTAACTTAATGGAGACATTTTGATGGAAGAGATTCATCCTTACTTTTTTTCTATTTCTCTGTTTTTTCCTTCTCTTTTGACAGCTGAGAATTTGTGTTTTTTTTTTTTGCACGGGCTAATAAATGCATGTGTATGTATCAGCATCTGTTTAATGAGCGTTTTTACAAGGGATGTTTTTGTATTTGCTTTCACCGGTTTGGCAGATTGAGGGTGTTGCTGTTAGATCGGTGCCTTCGGCGCTCATAAAAGAAACAGAAAAAAAAAACAGCTATTAACTGATCACAGTGATACAATAATAAGTATTTTCACGCATGTCATACAACTTTATTTTGCCCAAAAGCTTTTAAAAAATATCCACATCACACTGGTCGACTGGATGACATGCCTTTTTATCTCCATGAACACAAAGACTGTGATTTCCAGCTGTCAGAAATACCTCAAACCAAACTTGTGTTATTCTCGTAGCTTTTGAAGGAGTTTACAAAGTCATTTGAAGGATTTAGCCTAAAGGTAAGGAATATTTAAGTCTCTTACAGTCTGCCTTGAGGTAAACATGCTGCTGCTTTATAAGATCTTTGAATGGAGCTGTATGGGGTTTATAGGTATTCCCAGCGTGGTGGCGTCCTGTGAGTCTTCTTTGACTTCTTTGTTCATATATTTCTTTTTGAATCTAGATGGATTTTAACAGGCCGCTGGATAGACTCTGACTTCCTTGAAGGGCAGATCTTATAAAAGCCGAAGTAAAGGATTGATATATGAAAATAAAGAACTTTATTTTAGTCTACAGATTGAACCTGTGGGCTTGAGACTCACCACAAATGACAGGTAACTCTGTCCAAAAGTATCAACACATTTTACTGTTTTTCAATGAGACTATTTAAGTAGAAATTTTGCAGACCTGCAGACTCCTGAACTCTCTGCATCCAGGCACTGAAATAACATGTTTTGACAGTACTTCAGGATTTCAGTTCTGCACATTTCTGCAGTTTAGAAGCCAGCAGCTGCAGTGCATTAGTCTGCAGTAATCAGTTTAATGGTTTTCACCACTGCGCATCTTATTTATGATCCCAACCCTCTCTTTGTCCTTGTGATATCTTGTTAATTGTATGTGGTTCTCATTCTTTTTTTCTCTCTCAAAACAAAAACATTGCAAAAGCAAGTTTGTTGACTTAGTCGGGGCTGGGACTAAAGCTTCAGCATTCAGTTATTCACATTAAGTGGATGATTGTTAAACAAGTTTTATTAAAAGAAAACACAAGTGAGAAACTCCCAGAGACACAATACAATGTCTGGAGAGGGGTCATTTTTGCCATGGGGAAAACCTGGGAGAAATGCTGGTACAATGTACAAGGTATCTCTGCAAAAACTTGTTTTTTTCTCTGACAGTCAATTTTTATCTGCAGATTGCAAAGGACACCTCTGCAGCTGTGCCACAACTTTGTATGATTGACCCTGCTGTCCCCAGAGACACTCCTGGTCTCAGAAAATTCACAGTTTTCCCTTAAGGATTGGTATTTTCCAATATCCTTGCTGCAGATTCGTCTGGGAGGCATGTTTGGCTCACAGTGTAGCTATTTTAAAAGAAGTGAACAAGGAGGATTTGATTATTTATAGGTGGTTTCAGACCCCAAATCCCACATCATACCTTGAATTAATGAAGAGGAAAATGGAAAATAACATTCAGATTTGATCATTTAGGCAAACCATATTTGAGGGCCTGTGCATCCGTCTAATTTTGATATTAAAAGTATATTTCTTTATAGTCAAGTCGCTCCTCTTTTCCAGAATCGACAAACCCAAAGCTCTGTCCCTGCTGCTGCACACAGCGGACATCAGCCACCCTGCCAAAAGTTGGGACCTCCACCACCGCTGGACCACCTCTCTACTGGAGGAGTTCTTCAGACAGGTGAGCAGGCGCACCTGAGAGATCACTCAACGAATCGTGGGAGGCTTTTCTGACCAGCATAGAAAAAAAATACTGCATACTTTATCTACACAGAGGCTCATACTTGTAGGTGATGAGAAGAAAAAATGAGAAGATGATTGAGAAGTTTATTTTTTCCATAATTCCATTCAAAAAGTTAAGTCTGCAGTCTTCCCCATATTGAACTGGGACAATTTAACCAAACTGGAGCAAATTAATGACACCTGTGGACACCTGTGCAGGTGCAGGTGCTTTGAGTTTAGCAGATGATTAGTGTGTGACACTGGGCTGGTTTCTTCACAGTATTCTAATCTTTTGAATTCCTGTTTTCGTGGGTTTTATGAGCTGGAAGCCCAAATTATGTAACAATAAAAACAAATAAAAACTTGAAATTGTTTAAATGGTGGGCCCTGAATCTATAATCTATAAAAGTGTAATTTTTTTTGATGGAATTATGGAAATAAATAAACTTTTCCATGATATTCTAATTTTTTGGAAAGGGTTTGTATATGAAGCCTCTGGGTTATATAAAGCAATTAAGTTTAACAGGTTTAAAATCCACCCAATCCCCTAACCCAAACCCTAACCTCTAACCCTAACCAGCAAAAAAGAACAACATGCTGAAATGTAGAAAATGAAATGATTCACACTTTCTTTGAGCTTCTAAGTGAACAAATAAACACTGTTTTCTGCAGAATATGAGAGATCTTAACCTAAAAAACCTCAATTAACTCTATTTAGGGGCTATTCTGCCATTTTTTTAACCACAGCCCTCCTTCTGTAGAGGTTTTTTTTCATCATTTTGTCACATGGCAGAGTTGAACCAAAAGGGAAAGGACCCAAATGCAGACAAAAAAGGGGTTTATTTAAAAAGAAGGGAATAAAAAGCAACAAAAACTTAATTTAAAAAAAAAAAAAAAAAAAAAAAAACAGGAGACAAAGGATTTCTGCATAAACTATCACAGGGAACAGGCAGACAAGCACACACACTGACATACAATGAACCAACAAGGACAGAGGGGAAGACAGGGACTATAACGAGCAACAGGTGAGGCAGCAGAGACACAGGTGAAACTCGTTGGTGATTAACGAGGGAGGGAAAACTAGGGAAGTAAAACCAGACTAGAAACACAAGGAATCAACTACTACAAAATAAAACAGGAAACACTGAAAACAGATATAAAGAATAAAACACAGAGAACAAGAGAGAAACAGGGTCAAACACAAATTCAAAACTCACAAGACAGGACTACAGGGGAACAGAAACACGAGGGAAAAACTAAATCAACAGAACATTTCATGACACATTTTTGGAACATGTTTACCCCTGACCTGTAGTGTACACCTGCGCTTTCCCTGCCCTGTGAAAAAAAAATCTACGCTCTGTCTGCTCAGCTGTGAAGTCCTGAAGGATACGATGTCCTCGGATTTCTTCGTACTGCCAAAAGATGAAAAAGTCGATTCATCTTTTTGTGAATAAAGGACACTCCTCGTCCAATTTTCCGCTCTTCTAGAGCAGATGTTTGAGATTATACAGATATTTTTCTCAATCTCCTCTCGTGTATTTTAGGCCTCTTTCACAGAACTCCACGAAACGCTAACAACACAATAATGATAATTAATGAATGGCTGTTTTATGATGGTGATTTGGCACAACTCCAATCCTCAGAGCACTTATTATCAGCGAGATATACAGTCCTATTCAGAAGTTTAATTGCAGGCACTCTGCTGTCTGTCAAGTTTAAAAACGATGCCGTGACAAAGCGCCTTCGCAGATTAAACTGTAGAACATTATCTCTTTAATAAAACAACGCATTTGTTAAAGATAATAAATTGTGTGTTTGTAAATGACAACACAAAAGGCAGATGTTTAACTGGTGCTGCATTGCCTTCATCTCTTCCATTATTAATCCACATTGTTCTCATTATGGGTGCTATTGTTATCGAGGCCTTTGTCTCTCAGCACACGATAAATAGCTTCTCCAGAGAACATTGCCTCCCGACTCCAACTCTCATGTGCTTGGTACAAATCAGAAGAGCAAATGAAACACGTTTTAGCCCAAAAGCACTCAGGGCAAAGGGGGGCAGACAAATCCAAAGTCTGTTGATAGAAGTTGGTGGTCGGTGGTTGGTGTGTGAGGCGCTACTGGAGATGTGTTTATGGGATTCAGTCACTTGTGTTTGTGTGTCTTCGCCTGGAGAGAGGGGAAAGCATTTTGCCAGGAACCAAAATCTGAAAATGGTTTTGACGGAGGCTGCTGCTTTATTTCCAGGGGGACAAAGAAGCGGAGCTCGGCCTGCCGTTCTCCCCGCTCTGCGACCGAAAGTCCACAATGGTCGCACAGTCCCAGATCGGTGAGTGGCTTTTCTATCCTTTAAACACACCGCCTATCTAGCGGTGCATGTCCGTATCGGCAAATATCAAAAGCTCAGCTCTCAGACTCTTTTAAAGATTTTTTTTCCCCATCTTACACACCTACACACCGCTGCATTTTGTCCCTGCTTTTATTTCATTTAGGCAGCATTAGGAAAAGCAGTAATTAAAGCCTGGAGGGTGGTAGCAGTGAGCAATGCTTTTACAATGCACACCAATAATTGAAACCATTTGAGATAAGCACATCATCATCGAATCTATCGGCTCAGGAGAAGCTCCGAGCTGATAAAAACAAAGACAATGATCAGTGTTTTTATCAGTTTAGAAATTGCTTTTGGATGCTGGACTGTCAGATAAAACGTTTGTAGAAGTGACATCCTTGAAAGCACCAGTGAAATAAAGCAGTTTTAGGGTTAGGGTTAGGGTTTTGAGGTTTGATTCTGGCTTTTGACGTCTTAGTTTTTTCTAAAAACCAGAAGTGATGATTCTTGGACATGAAGGAAGAGGAAGGGCTGAGTTACGCACAGATATACAGTAAAAGCTGCAGTATATTTTAGCTGATTTTAAAGCGGTCCATTGCTCGGCTCGCATCAATCAAATCAAGTGGCCATTCATGGAACTGCAGCTTTCTGCAGTTTAACTATGACTTCTTGATGTGGGAGGTTAGCATTTGCGACTCCATGACCTCTGTGGTATATTTAGAATAAGATAAGAGAAGATATGTTACGATGAGATAATATAAGATAAGATAGTACTGAAGAGGATTAGGGCCACAAGTAGAGAAAAGAATAAACACAGGAGAGAGATGTCTTAAATGTCCATTTCAAGATTAAAGTTGAACTTTTAAGAAGTTGAAATGAAAACAGTCAAAATTTCGAGATTAAAAAATCAAAATTATGTGAATAAAGTCAAAATTCCGTCTTTAATCTAAAAATTTTGTTAATCTCAAAATTTTGACATTTTGTAAACTCGAAATTAATCTCAAAATATCCATTTTTAATCTCGAAATTTTGACTGTATTGACATAATTTTGGTTTCTTTGATCTCAGAATTTTGACTTTAATCTCAACTTGAATTTCCTCCCTGTAATTATTTTTACTTAATTATTTTTATTTTTTTCTCTTCATGTGGTCGGAATCCTCTTTCATAAGACAGGACAAGATAAGATAATAAAAAAGGAAATTTTAATGAGAAATTCTGCTCTGTACATCACAAGTTTTTTTTTATTTTTTATTATGAGCGCAAATATTACCCTGTTTTTGTTTCGTCAGATTCATCCTCGATATGCTGTTAAAGGCAAATAGGTTGTTCCTCCACCATGCTGTCAATGATTTAGTCTGTCTCTTATTCAGTCACAGTGAATACAAGCATTCAGAATCACATCAGGAATAGGTTTTTATGCTGCTGCTGGTGGCCTGATTGCTCTTGTAGGGCATAAAGATGTATCAATATTGATTTAATCCATTTACACTCTCCTCATAGAGGCTTTCTGACCTTGCTGTCTGTGTATTTGAGTCTCAAATTTATTGTAATTGATAAATGATGATTATAATCTTGATTGTTCTTGCTGTTTTGTCTTCATTATTTGATTATTCAAATCTCTGTCACCAGGCTTTATAGACTTCATCGTGGTGCCCACCTTCACGGTGCTGTCGGACATGATGGAGCGTATCGTCACACCGCTCATCGACGAGGCTTCCCATTCGGGTCTTGCCGGTTTTAGACGCTCGAGGTAAGCTGCGGCGCTTTAACTTGGACATAAAAAATAATGTTGAACCAGCTCAGTAGCAGAACCGAGTAGACGAAGGTGGGTGATCGTTCGGAAAGCTGAGTGAACTTTAATCAACCAGCCTGGTAAACCAAGAAAAGAGAATCCACTGTTTCCAAGCTTTCACTCTTTACACTTGTCTGGGTAACTGCTGGTTCAGTGGTGTGATTAAACCCCAGTAGCTCTTCTGCAATAGCAGCACATCTAATGGGAGTATTGAGAACAGCAGATGAATCCCCCATAAGTAATCCATTTCTGTGCGTGGAAGTGTCTCCACCTTTCATCAGGCAGAGCCACACACCTTGAAATTGATATTTTAGAGATGCTAATTCTGCCATCCCTGATCCAGAATGGGCCCCGGTGCCGGTTCTGCATACACATTAGGCTCTGGAGATGCAAAATGAAACGATTTTGTCTCCGCCGGCTTAATTAATTGGTTTAGTACTTTTCCTCCAGCCTCCGAGTAAATCAGATATTTAGTCTTTGAAACCGAACAAATAGGAAAGTACACTCCGCTTGCTCTAGCGTAACTAATAATTGAAGTATCCAGAGAAAAATGATTTTGAAACTTCAAATTGGTTATTTCTTTGAAACTCGAGCCTGTTAGAGAATAAAGCTGTACTTGGGGAGTCTGGCTCTGTATCTTCTGCAGCACCTGCACATCAATATCGCACTCCTCATTTACAACAGTCATTAGCATCACTCAGTGGGCCTCCAGTGGAAGCTAACCAAGTGGAAATCTCAGATAGTGTTTCTTCTCATGCGGCCTCCTTGTCTCCACACACACCTGGGTGCTTCTGTGCGTCCTTTGGCTGCTTTTTCACAGCATTTATAGCTGCTTTCAATCATCTGTAACTACAGTATGTCTGCTCACTCTGTCTGCCTCTGGTTATCAGTCGGTCTTTCTTTCATCCCTCATCAGTGTGCAGTGAAATATAAAAGGCTGCACTTTTCTTTGTAGCTAAACCTGCAGCTCTGCAAAAGGATGGTAGTGTCATACTGTGACTTTGTTAGTTCACTTTGGTCCCGACTAATAGATTTGTAGATGGTAGATCTCGGAAAGATGGCACCACATTTGAAGTTCATATCAAAGCAATCGGATGCGAATCAGTACCTCCAAGTCCAAGGCCACGGTCCTCAGTCGGAAAAAGGTAGATTGCCTTCTCCGGGTCGGAGGGGAGGTCCTGTTTCAAGTGGAGGAGTATTTTGGGATCTTGTTCAAGAATGAGCCAAAGTCAAGAAAGAGCTAAGTCATAAGGCGAGACTCTCGATTTACAGGTCGATCTATGTGCCAACCCTCACCTATGGTCATGAACTTTGGGTAATGACCAAAAGATACAAGTGGCTGAAATGGGTTTCCTCCGCAGGGTAGCCGGGCTCAGCCTTAGAGATAGGGTAAGGAGCTCGGACTACTGGGGAGGCACTCAGAGTAGAACCGCTGCTCCTCCACATCGAGAGGAGTCAGTTGAGGTTGCTCGGGCATCTGGTTAGGATGCCGTCTGGACGCCTTCAGTTAGAGACCTGGCCGGCCCAGGACTGGTCGGAGGGATTATATCTCTCGCCTGGCCTGGGAGCACCTGGGAATCCTCCCGGAGGAGCTGGTGGAGGTGGCTGGGGTGAGGGCCGTCTGGGCTTCCCTCTTGAAGCTGCTGCCCCCGCGATCCAGACAAGCGGAAGAAAATGACGACGAAGATCAAAGCAATCATCGCTTTGATTGTTTAGTAGTATCTGATCAGAACACATGATTGAAATTATTACTAAACTGACTTTCTTTGTAACTCATTGATGGATCCTTTAAGTCTAAAATGAACCCCATTGTTAACCAAGATATTGACTTGGTTGAAAACAGAGTAAAATCAAGTCAGAATGATCTAGATGTGATTTAAACTAGTTCTCAATGGCAGATACATGGTACTTGAAACACCTTGTATTCAAAGATGAAGTTTTAATAATTAAAGAAAATGAAAAATAAACTCTGTCCGGGCTGTTTGGTGTTACACGGGACATTGTAAACAGAGTAGTTTTAAAATAACCCACAGAGGGCGGATCAAAGCATGCCCATGCTGGTACTTCGACTGTAAAAGCAGTGAACCCCTTGCATGCTGAAGTAGTCCAGTCTCTTATTTTAGTCCAGGCAGTCCGTCCCGCTACCCTCTTAATTTTTTTTTCAGCAATACATACCAGATGTGACTATAAATCACTGGTAATACATGTGCTGCAACCAAGCAGCAGCCTACAGTTTTGAAAAATAAAGCCATTTCAGAGGAGCTATAAACTGCAGTTCCTTAAGTGTCCACTTGAGGCTGGCTGCTAAAGTCCAAGAAGCCACATACACACCCATTTAAAAAAAAAAAAAGAAACTGTTTCTGTCTGCAAGCTGACTTAAGGTGGTGACAGCTTAATATCTGGTAAACATCAACCCATCCGCAGTGTTTCTGTAAACATGTAAAGATGCTTACATTAGCGTTCATCTATAAATGTCACTGCAGCTGGACTGAAGTGGTGCGGCTGTAAAATCTTAAGTAGTGTTGACCCTTTAAATTTCCTCCACCGTCTTATCTCTCCGTCCAGTCTAAACAGTATTAGCTCAGACGAGACCAAGAGGCACAGCGTGAAGAGCGTGGGCTCCGACAGCAGCTCGTCGGGACAGGGATCTCTGCTGACGGTGGACCTGAAGAACTTCAAAGCCTTGTGGAACGAAGAGGTTTATCAGAACAGAGAGAGGTGGAAAGCACAAGCTGCTAAAGGTACAGTACGTCCACGAAGACAAAATCCTAATTCAGGAAAATTTGGCGATCCAGGGAACATTAATGCTTCAGTAAAACAGATCCATCCATGAAAATCCAGCAGGATGTGTAAAATTGGCTTATAGAGCTGCAACGCTCTTAACGCCTGCAATGCTCTTAGCTCACTCAGAAGGGGATTGTGACTGACCTGTGTTAGAGCGGGATTTTGTTGGGCATACAGTCATCTCTGTGTCTTTGCATCAAGTTTTATTATTATGTTTATTTAAGCTGGAGCCATTTTCAGACCAGACACCCATTTGAAGAGGTACTTAAGTTGTAAAAATGAAATGTAACCCCTGAGTTTTATTATTAAGCCATTAATATGATCAATGTATCCGTCTCTAGGTAATGCGACATTCATGTGGCTGTTTTTATTTTTATCCTTCGCATAAAAACTGGACTCTAACTTTCGAAAATGAACTTTCGACGAACCAGAATCCATCTCTTAAGTTTGTTTTCATTAAGTTATTTATTGACCAACTGAAGTGTTCATACGGCTTAGCTGTAATATCTTTTATGAGTAGACATTTTCAAGATATACCAGTAGTTTACTTTAGCTGGTTGCTCTCCCTCATCTTCAAAAGTGATAACTGTGTTTGCAGTTTGTCTCCCGAGTTAATAATCCTGTAGACGTTTTTATTCGCTCTGAAACTAAACTAATGGTCTGAAAAGCTCATTTAATGTTCTGGCTTTAAAGAGGAGGATAAGATGGTGACTCACACTCACAGTCTTTCAAACGCTAACCTGCTCCTGTGCTCCGCCATGTGACCTCAGAGGCGGAGGAGCGAGCCAAAAAGGAAGCCGAGGAGCAAGTCCAGCAGGAAGAGACCATGGAGCCCCAGGAGGGCCACACAGACTCAGAGCAGCCCGAACCAAAAGAGGACAACGAGGAGGGGGAGGAACCGCAGTCGGCAGAGGACGGCAGACCAGCAGATGGCAACACAGAGGAGACAGAGCAGGAGGCTCAGGCGGGGAGCACTGCGCACACTCCACTGCAGAACGGTACGTCCCTTTGACGGGGTAATCCTAAAGCACTGTCCGCTTTAGACAAGTGCCTTACAGTGAGAATAGTGATGTGTTCAGTCATTAAGCATCTCTAAAAGAGGACCATCTGTCACTTTATCAGGCACCAAACACCTTCATTTAACCCTGAAATGTCCCACAGAGTGTCCCAGAGAGACCTCCTAATCTGACTGTTTTGATTTGTGTTCCATTCTTTATTCAGTGTTTTGGTTTTCTGTTCCCTAGAGTTTCATTTTTCCTCCCAAGAAACTCAAAGGTGGGGCAGACAGGAATCCGTTAAAGAAGCATCTTTTTTTGTGGTGAAAATACAAAAAAGCTTTTAATATCACTCAATAGCTATTAGTTATTGATGACATTTGGTAATATAACGATATCACTGTGTATTGTTATGTCTGTGTAGTCAACATTTACAATTTTTTGAGCGACCCGTTCTTTCTGACTACAAACAAAGCCGTTCTCCGCCTCCCCCAACCTGATTGGTTGTGAGGCAGACGCTGCTCCCCCGTGTTGTGAGGCACGGTCCAGGTCCTTGAATAACATTCACGAGCCGAAACAAAGTTAGCGTGCTACAACATCGGACAGCAGAAACCAACCAGAATGTACAGAAAAATGTCTGAATCCTCCTTTGACCACGACTGCCGACACAAGCGAGAAAACAAAGTAAATACCGGAGACTCTGGCGGAATAACGGGCGCTTAAAAAGGAGGTAGACCACCGGACAAGAGCTAAAAAGCCAAACAGGACCTGCTGTAGCGTGTTGTAGCGACACTAAACTGTTGACCTCGGGTCCTGGACTATGTCACTTTATCCTAGTTTTAGAAGTCCTGCAAACATTGTGTTTGTTGGTAGTCTGTTGGCATCTACAGTAGCACCAATGCGTTTTACTTTGGGCCCCATTTGTAATTATCTGAAGTTTTTATCTGCATTATATCTGAATTTAATTGAAACGATACGAGTGAGCAGGAGCGTCTGTTTGTGGGCGGGGCTTGCTGGAGCAGAGAGGGAGGGGAGAGGAGGAGCTGAGGGGAAAACTGGTTGGGAGGGGTCGTGTTTACATTCAAGATTCCTCCCAATAACTGGTACTTCCTCAGATCCTGACTACCCCACCTTTAAACGGATGAATTTTGGGCTGAACTTCTTCACAGTGACTTTTGTGTCCCCTCGTAGTACTTTTTATTTCTTGAGTTCTTATGTAATCAGTTCGAGGTGGCCTCACAATACTAGTTTCACTCCCTTTACAGTAATTTTTTTGTACCTGTCCAATGAGTTTTGTTGCTTTGTTTGTTGGGCATTAGTTTTACTTACGCTAGTTTGGTTTTCCACTGACGAGGTCTGCACCATCTGTCAGATTGTAAGATCTGCTCCAAGCGTTGGTGGTTTTGGGAAAGTTTGTGCTCCCTCACATGAAGTTTTTTGTTTTTATACCTTTTGAATCATTTGTGTTCCCTCTCAGTTTGCTCTGAGGCTCGTGTCCAAATCCAAAACAGAAAGATTTAGCTTCATTTGTCTTCTGAACAGGGAGCAGGTAAGGCAGACAGAAACTACAGTGAAGTAAGGACCGCCAGGGGAGATCAAATCCTGCAAGTGTGACTATGAAAGTGGAAGCAGGCGGGCGGGAGACGTCAGCTGATGGTATCTAAAGTGAAAAAAGGTTCTTGTAAGGCAGGAGGGAGCGGCTGGAGTCGGCGTTAGCGAGATGACAGGAACAGGTGGAGAAGTCAGGCAGCATCTGGTAGACGAGTGGAGAATGAAAATGAACAAGTTTGTGGAGACGACGGTGACACTTCACTTTACAGTTCATAGTGGGATCAGCTGCAGATGAGGACTGTGAAGCGTTGAATATACCGCGCTAACGGCTCTCTGTCATCTGATAGGAGCTCTGCAGGTTAAATCTTATGTGGCTTAACTTCCTGAGACACAAAAGAACTTCCTGTTGTGAGTTTCTGTATCAAAACGCAGCACATTCATGAATCCACAAGAGCTGAAACAGCATGTTCAGAATGACCCGCTGGCCGGTTAAGTCGAAGATGCTGGTTAAAATTTCATGAGGGTGAAAAAAGTAAACTCTGAGGATTTGAGTTCATGTTTGGAGAGAGAGCATGAGGCTCCCCAAAAAAACAAAACAAAAAAATAAAGCTTGTGGCCCCATGACTAATAACTTATCTCACTTTTCAGGGGAGCTGTCTGAAGGGGCGATATCTCCAGAGGGCGAAGACGACAAAAACAAAGGGGTCGATGGTGAGTTTGTTCCTGCAGCCCACATACACTGCTCTGTTGTTGGAGGGAGATTCTCCCATTATAACTAGATCTTCATTTTCCATTGGGACTCATTAAATATACACAAAATGTACACAACCACATGACTAGACAAGCCAGCTCTGGATACATTGAACCACCTAAACCAAGAACAGAGCTCCTCAAATCTACTTCTACCTATCGAGCCATTACAGGGTGGTACTCAATGCCTAATTATATAAAAAATTCAAGCAAAAAAATAGTTTTCAAGAAGAACTTAATGATGAGATCAAGCCTGTGCTAACCCTCAGTGGCACTAAACTCATGTATTGTCTATGATCCTGTCTTATTTCAAATTGATTCCTTCTCTTATTTCCGTGTAACGCTCTTTTTTCCAGTTTTTATTGAATTGTTTTGTAGATGAGTGATTGTACAATCATGAATGAATGTTTATGTAATGTTTTATTTTCTGTGTTGGACCCCAGGGAGACTAGCTTTGTCTCGGCAAAAGCGAACGGGGATCCTAATAAACAATAAACTACGAACAATGACAAACAAATACTAGATTAACCCTCCTATCAATACTTCTTTTATAATACTTCTATCAATCAATATGATCAACAAATGACTAAAAAAGCACCTTATTACAGTCCGATTAATGATAAATAGTCCTCTTGTGGTTTATCAGTTTCCAAAAGCATCTAATGTATCAAACGAGATAAATAAATATGTTTGTAAAATTTTGAGGACATTTTGATTTCTTTTTGGTTTTCAGTAGTAAGTGAAATAAACATTTCTGCTCCAAAGAAATTACATTTTTTGGCCATAATTTGTAGTTTCAGACATTATAGGGCTAGACATTTTACCACTTTAATGAATCCAATCTGGACTAACTCCTTTTTGTGTTTCTCTTAAGCAGAGGTGGCGATGGAATAATCGAGCGCTGAAGAGTCGGCGCTCCACTGTTGCTTCTCTGCCGCCCCCTGAACTCAAACTCACACCCACAGAGGGAAGACCCATGAGCTGGACTGTGTCTCCCTCTACAGGACACAAAGAAACTGACATCTCTCACCTCCTATCTGTCGTCTATAACCAACTTTTTTTTTCTCTCTTTTACCGAGTTTCTACTCCCCGCGCTCTTGTATGCAGAGCTAGTGGCTCTACCCAGGTGCATTATTCCCTTTTTCCTGCTTACTTAAAAACAGACCAGACAGAAGGAGTTTTACTGACCTTAATGTGGTGAGGAGGAGGAGAAGAGGAAGAGCCTTCAGAGGAGTGTGTTTCTTTTGATTAGTTTGCCAACTTTTATGTTTTATGTTAAACTCACACAACACAGACATGTAGCCATTGTGTTCGTCTCACTTTTCCGTCCTGTGTTTTCCTCGATGTCGACACTTGAATTTAGATTTTAGCATCACGATTAGATAAACTTTGAGGTTTAGAGTCACAGCAGTTCATTTGGGAAGTGATGTGTATTAAAAAGCATCACAGCAGATGGTTACATGTACAGTACACTGCGGTTAAGTCACAGGTTTATAGCACAACTCTTTCACTCCTACATGTGGTCAAAACTGCCGGTGTGTTCGGAGCTCCTGTCTCCTCAAAACCAACTGTGGCTCTTTTTTTTTTCTCTTTTCTTTCTCGCTTTGTTTACTTTCCTACGTCTTTCTCCGACATTGTGCATTTCTTACGTGTTTGTGTTCCTCGTTGCCACGCTCATATTGTTTTGTCCATTTTGCTGTATATATCGACAGTTTGTATATGTACAGATCTGAGGAGAAGTAGGAATCTTATGATCCCACAGTCCACCAAAGGACATTTTTATGGATACAGTGTAAGATAATGTAGGAAAACACACGTCCAAGAGTTAGAATGCAGCTTTTGCATTTCAAACATATCACACGCAGACGAATATAAAAATGAATTCAAGTTTTTTGTAATCTCTAAAATCCTATTGTTTACTTTTTGTTACGTTCTCGTTTGTTTCGTCTCGTATGACCCACGCTCTAGATGTCTTCTCTGTCAGAAAACTTCTTCTTGATGCCTTCTTACGTGTATTTTAAGCTGTAGCAGAAAGTCAAAAGCGTCGCTGAAAAATCGTCAAAATGTTCGTTCTTTTTTTTTTTGTTGCAGCCATTGTTTTTTTTTCTTCTTTGTTGCAGCAGCTTCACCTGCGAGGCTGCCTCTCTAATGTTAAATCAACGTGTTTACAGTGTGTTGAAATGTCAGCTTGTTGAATCCATTATGCTTCTGTGATGCATCTGCAGCTAGGAGTCCAAACTGTATCTGCTAATTGTTTTTTTTAAAGGCTTGTAATGTTGTGTATAGGAGATGCAAATAATGCTTATGTGCATATGTAACATAATGAACCTCTGCAACACTGCAGCTTTTAATATATACTTCATATGATATGTGCAATTGGAAGAAAAAGAAGAATTTTGGCAGTATTTCTATAATAATGGAAATATTTTCCCTCGAATTTTGCACTTTTGTTTTTTTATTTACATTAACGGAGTTTTGATTTTGCTGTAAAAAATCCTAAATTTTATTTTGCGTAAAAGTGTACTTCACTTGTGCACACTGTTAGTTTATACGGCTTATAAAATCTGGTTATAATCTCTCACCTAAAAGCTGCCAGAAATAACTTTTTTTTTTTTTTTTTTTAGTTTTAACACTCTCTCCATTTTTATACCTTAACAGGATGTTTAGTATCATGCTCGGATAAGAAGCAGTTTATCACAAAATTCTACTTTCTACCTAAAAAGAAAAAAACAAACAAAAAAACAAAAAACAGTCAGGGGTTAGCATGCCAACTGGCTGAATGTGTGCCTATCTATGTACTTACCATTTTACACCTTCCACCTGTAAGAAAAAAGTCATGTGATGTCAAATGAATCTGAACTGATTCAGGTAAAGTCAAACAAACCATTGAATATCGTCCTAAAATGACTCTCTGTCTTGAGTAAAGACTTTTATTTTGGTAAGTGTAAGAATATCTGTCTGTAAAGTCAGCAGTTTGATATTGAAGAAGTATTTATAATGGTACGTTTATGTTGTTTTTCATTTAGAAAGTCAGTTTGTTTTCCTTTCTTTCTTTTACCGTAACGTAAGCTCCTTTCTTTCTGAACTCTGTGAATGGATTTGTCCAAAAGTATGTCTTCAACACGTACTGACTGTTTTCCGTTCGTCTCTCGGCTTCTGTTCTCTTGTTCCTTGTGTGTTCGTTTGTTTGTTTGTTTGTTTTATCCACCAGCTCTGAAGTCAGAAAAAAAAAAAAATCAAGTGGCTCAAATGTGTAAAAAGTTCAATGTAAGAAGAATAAATAGCGGATTAGATTTTTAAAGAGAACAAAAACAGAACTCACTGCATCCTGAAACTAGCCTGCCTGACACTTGGTGACGCAGAATTCATTCTCTGCACCAAGAGACCAACACATGTACAGTCTTGTAGTTTGCTCTCTCTTTCACCTGCTGCTGTGATAGGCTGCTGTATGAATATTTAACACGAGTTTATACCGACCATAATCAGAAACATAGCTGTATTTATGACATGTTAAGACTTCTATTCATGGTGTTTTGTAACGGTTACTATGGAGCAGACTCTCTGTTGTTGTTCGTTTGATGCTTTGTTTCCTCGTTTGGTCTGAATCGCTCTGTAACGACTGAACTCAAACTGTTCTAGTGAGTGAGTGAGTGAGGGTTCGATGGATGTAAAGAGTGCAAGTGTGAGTGTGTTTGTGTGTGTGTGTGTGTACGTGGGTGCGTTTGCCTGGGCGGTGTGTGTGTGCTCGTGTGGGTGAAACTGCCGAAAATACTTAACGTGCATTTCTGATCTCCTCACTGTGACCTGCTACACTGATGAGAGTGTGGTATGTGTGTGTGTGTTTGAGTGTGTGTGTGTGCGTAGATGCAGGTGTGTGTGTGATAAATAAAAAGTGATGAAGTGGAAGGTTAACTATTTTCACACCAAAAATAATCATTAAAAAAAACAGAAATCAGCTTGAAAACAGAGTCTCAATACAGATAATTTCACACATATAGAAAAACAATCACACTTGAATTTAATCTCAGATTATAATCTGTGAAGTGTGGTTTAACCTCCACTCCATCTCTAGACAGACCGAAGAGCTGAGTGAGTGAGTGTGTGAATAAGGATGTGTGAGTGTGTGCGTTTGTATGCATGTTTGTGCATGCATGTGTGTGTCACTGTCCCATGCCGGCCAGGCGGCCGTGTGTGCCACCATGCTCTGTGACTGCACAGCTGTATCAATAAATCTGGACTCAAAGGGCTCAGATCATGTCTGCCTGTCTTCATTTCTGTAACGCCGCAACAGTAACTCAACCTTTTAAAGACGACATATGTGCGCAGCTAAAATAATTAGGCCCTCTGATGCGATGATTGGTAGAGTTACCACGGCAACAGTCGCCTACGCTTAAAAGCTGGGCTGAATTAGCGTTAAACTGATTGTTTCATCATATCATCTGTATCATATCAAAAGACAGTTTTCCTTATGTTCTCGGATCAGTGTTTTCCCTTTGCATTCATAATATCTAACATTGATCAGTGTTTGGACATTAATCAATATGAATATAACCTCAGAGAGAACAAAGTACTTCACGGCAAAGGCAAAAATAAAACCTGGAATGCATCACCCTGCTTGGATAACAGAAAAATAGTTTCTTTGTGTGGGAGGTAAGTTCACGACGAAGAACTTTTCTTTTTGTTTCAGCAGGTAAAAACACTCACAGACGCTGACAGCAGTGATGGTTCTGCAATAAAAGTGAAGAATATCACAAAGACTCAAATCTCTTCGAACCAACACGCAGGATGAACTCTGATGAGGAAATTGAAATCAAACTAAATACAAAAGAGGTTGAAAAAAGGTTGGAATAAAGGTGAAATTAAAAAGATGAAGCATTTGAAGACCTTCAGAGATGATATTGAATTGATAACCTTCTAAAGAAGGTACTAAAGAACAGACATTTTTTTGTTTTCACCTCTGGAGGCAGCTGTCTGTTTTGTCGAGTCTGAAGGACATAAAAGCGAGGGGTGACCTTCAGTATATCTAAAGATGAAAGGAATGAAAGACATCTTTCTGTCAGAGAAACTCTCTTATACTCTCTTCTTTTACCTGAACCACATGAACTTCGATCCTTTGAGTACACTGCGTTTTTCAGTCGAGTGCAGTTGAATTTTCTGGCACTTTTTAATTCAGTAAAGACAAAACTTTCCCTGTGAGGAGTTTTTAACAAACTGAAATCAATGTTGAAGAGCAAAGAAGTCCATCAGGAACTAGACTGATCATCTCTAATCCCTGAAACAGCTGTAGGGAGGTAGTTGCCAAACAAAACAATTGATACCAATCCGAAAAGGGCCCCTTCTTTAAAAAGATCCGGTTCAGTGACCTTTAGTTTTTGTCAGGAAACACTTCTTGAACATGTACAGGCAAAAGTCAACAAAATTTGTCCAGAAAATGTGAAATAGCCAGAAAACCAAAAGTAACTTATAGCAGCTTCAATACCTGCAGTAATTTTATATTGACAAAACATTATTAATAAGATTACAGGATAGATACTCATGTCATTTGCTAACTGTATCTTACATGTGTGTCCATTTGGGTTAGAGTTAAAGGGTTAATGCGGCGTAAAAATGATTTAGGGTCAAACACCGAGTTAGACACCCTCTCGAGAGATGAATGTTGCCGACCGCTTGCTTCTCTAGTTATATTAACTTTGGTAAGGGCCGCAGATAGCAATACAGAGAGCCACGCGCTCAACCAAAACACCACTCTACAGCCACAAATAATGCTCAGACCTAACTTCATCAACATATAGGGTCCCAGCCATAGCAGTAGCCACCAAACATCTTTTTAACTTTGCCTGATTTATTTAGGAAAAGGCCAGTCCATTAGAAGAACATTTATGATCATTTCTTTATCATTTCCTTGAAGTAATAATCACCATATTAATCATTTTGCACTGCAGACACAGTAGTTCTTCTGCCTTAGTGTCTCGGTCTGATAGCATTTCCATGAAGAAATGATCATAAATGTTCTTCCTTGAGCTGCGTCACCCCGCTGTAGTCCGTAATGGACTGGCCTGAGGTCTCGCTACAAACAAGCAGCTGCTGGAAGAGAGTAGGTGAGTTGTGTTTAGTCTCTTTGCTAAAGCAATTCAGCAAAGTTAAAAAGATGTTTGGTGGCTAGTGCTATGGCTGTGACCCTATATGTTGATGAAGTTAGGTGCTGTTCTGAGCATTATTTGTGGCGTTTTGGTTGAGGTTTGTTTATGGCTCCTCAGACCGCTGTGTATTGCTATCATGCAGTCGTTGCTAAAGTTGGTATAACCAGAGAAGCAAGCGGTTGGCAACATTCATCTCTCGACAGGGTGTCTATCTCAGTGTTACAGTATGTTTGACCCTAAATTAATTTTTACGCTGGAATATCCCTTTAAGGTCCTCTGAATATGATAAAATCATGTCTAAAGGACACTCCTGGTATATAAAAAAGTGACCCAAAACAAAAGTAGAGACAAGTTATCAAAGTGTTTAGTTTAAAAAAATTAAATGAAATATGCGACTTTGGGTAAGCATGAAGTTATTTTCAAATTGGCATAAATGAAAAGTTGAATTTAGGAAATCTGACTTTTTAATTCCCAGTTTACTCTCATGTAAATTCATCTCCACCCTCAGCCTACAGTCAGCTCTGTGTCTCACTGCGTTGAATCCACTAGATGTCTCTGTTGGCCTTCACATCACCCTGAAGCTCCTCATCCTTTCTCCTCAGAGGGGCCTGCGTTACTAAAGATGATCAACGGACCTGATGAACACGCCGTCACTCTCCCCTGCACGCTCTGCTATATAGCTCTTTATCCTCCATACATGCAGCTCCACAAACATTACACACACAGAGCACATATTTATCACAGGCAGCATGCATATTCATGTGCAGGTTGATGGAGCGGGTGGAGGGATGTGTACGACTCCTCAGCACCGAGCCGAGTGCCGGAGCAGAAGGCGAATGTTAATTCAATTATACGGCAGCTGTTCCTTGGTGCCCATGGCCACTGTGTTTGCACTAGAACAGAAATCTTGTATTAGGTCCCTCGCCATAAAAGACCATTGCCAGGCATGAGAACAGGGACTGCCTGTAACCAGAAGCCATTCACAGTATTTTAAAGAGATTTTAATGCTTATTTTTGGCACCAAAGGAAGATTTGTGTCCCCGTTTTTTTGTTTTTCCTCAGTGTGATTTACAGAGCTGTTGTTTTTGTTCATTATTCTCTTAAAAAGTCAATCTGCTGGGAAGTTAAGTATGCAAATGAGTTTCTCTCTCTAGTTTCCACCAGTCAAGGGTGGTTGGTCAGACATGAGTGGTTGTTGCATCATTTTGGAGAGCAGAGGGCTCATTTACACACACAGAAACTCTTTGTCTTTGTTTGCAGTTCTTCTCCTGTCTTCTTCTGCGTCAATTCGTGTAATTAAAACATAAATAACGTGCAGAAAAACAACATTTTCATTTGCATCCATGCAAAACGATACAGTTTCTGCAAGTGTTAATGTTAATGCACTGTCCAGGATGAGCTCCAGAGTAGAAGAAGAAGGAGGTGGACAAGAGGGGAGACAAAAGAGGAGTGTTTGTAGGTATCCACCACTTTCCTGAGAGTGTCTGTGCGTGTGATTTAATCACACAGATACTGGCGGGTCCTGCTGCTCTGATGTTACCTGGACCTGCTAATAAGTTTGCTTTGCCTTCATCAAAAGAAAAACAGACACACCTGTGAGGAAGATCCGCTCAACTGCACAGTTCACATGCATAATAGATGCGTGCATGCTAATGTGGAGGCACCGCCACACGACAGGAAAGAGGAAAAAAAAAAACAGTCTTAGTTGTCCTATTAGACACAGAGCAGATAACAAAGCAGAGACTCCAAGAAAAGAGTCTGAATAGTTTTTAAGTTGATGCAGAAAATATTCCCCCAGAAGAAACTTATCAGATATGAGACTTTGCTGTTTTTCTTTGACATGATAATTAACTGAACATCTCTGAGTTGAAAGTGTTTTTCCTGCCTAAAATAAAAACACTCCAGAATCTCAACGAGAAAACTATCAGGCTCGGCTTTTAAGGGGTGATCAAACAGATATCCGACATTTTCCGCCAATCAGCTGATCAATTATTAGAGTTTTCTCTCCTGCGTTTAAAGACTTTGAATAACATCTTGTTTTGGATTGTATTTTGGTTTTTGAATGAGAGGGGATTGTTTGTATTCTTGTTAAAATCATTCAAACGACATAATAAACTCGGCGTTTATCACTCTAAGCTGTCAGTTCTTGGCCTCGCAGGACTCCGCCCTCTGACCTGACCAGACAACATCATGTTCCCACCACTTAACTACACATGGCCCGATCATGCGGCGTGTGAAGCCGACACTGCTTATCAAGCTGCTTAATAAAAATGAAACCCCGTGTACCCACTGGGAAGCAGCACAGAGCTGTGTTTAGAGTGACTGATGGAGAGCCCAGAATCAGAGGGCCCTGTGGCACGAGCAGACACTGAGTCTGGGAATTGGCCCAACTCTTAAAGAGCCAAGCCCCCCCCCCCCACCCCTCCTATCTTGACTCGGGGCCGACCCTCAAATAGGAAGAAGCCATTTCTGCTGGCAGACGAGCGCTTCCTCTCTGGAAGCCCGTCAGGTGAGGAGTCCCCGGCTGCCAACTGTAAGTCCCCTCAGGTGGGCCCGAGGGGGGACATTGTAGACCCCCGTCATGGTGACATTCAGAGAGTCTGAGGCTGAATCCTTCAGACGAGGAGGATCTGCAGTGAACATCTCCTCCACAGCAGTGATGGATTAATGGGAATACAAAAATACTCCGACAAAAGTGCCAGGAGTTCATTTAAGATAACAGAAGGTTTTAAAGTGAGAACACGAGCGCAGGAAACAATGATGTGATCATGCATCAGCCAAAGTGTACCAGCTACCCATCTGTGTCTAAATTAACTTAGACATTATTACAGTCGGATAGGCCAAAACTTATTAGCAAACTCTGAGTCTTCCTCTTCTGTATAAACTTTTTTAAATCACGCCGTCAGTCAAGTTTTTGTAATCCTTATTGTGAAAAGAATAACCACCTATTCCCTATACATTTTCCCTTACTTGTACTGTAAGTTCAAGAATAAACAGGTATCATAATAAATAGATTTAAGCTAAAGAGGCAGAGCCCACATTTTTACATAAACTCCTGACGTAACTTGTTTTTATTGTTTACTCTCTTTGAGCTGCTGCTTCTTATCATACAGTACTTCTCCTTTAAATCAACTCCAAACCGCAAGATCACAACAACATGTCGCTTGTTCTCGCTAAAACTGGTTAAACACAGATGGCAGGGTGTCATGGTGAGATATTTCCAGCGACGATACAAAAGAGTTCAATAGATGTAGGATTTACTCCTATTGAAGACACTTTTTCATCTTTTAGTTTTTTTTAAGATTTTTTTTTAAGGGAAATATCTTAAAACTTTGTCCAAACTTAGAAAGTAACGACAGGAAGTTTTATTTCTGGACTACTATACTTAAAAAAACAACAAATTATGTACTTTTTAAAGCTGTTTTTGTCGATTGTTTTAACATCTAACAGAGTAATATGAATTAGATACCAACGTTTACACACAGTCATGACACGTTTTTGAAGTATTAGTTGATTTTAAAGTCTCTTTTTCTTGAAAACTTGTTGTATTTGTCTGTTCATATGGCCATATTTAAAATTATATCTCAGGAGTGCCTGATTTACCCTTTAACATATTGAAAGAGGGAGGCAGTGTGGCAATGAGTGATATGTATGATTAGTAACATTAAAGCTCCTGTGAGGAGTTTTTAAAAAAAGATCGAAATTCATTTTGAAGTCTTTTTATGATAATCAAAAAAAGCAAAAAAGCCCATCAGTGACAAAACTGTCAAATTTTATACTGTTTAATGCCTAAAATGCCTTATATCTTTAACGCCTAAAAACAGTGTGAGGGGGTAGGTGTCAGAACAAACTGTTTTTACATTTTTTACAAAGAAAAAAAAAAAGATATATTTGACTGTCAAATTTAGCAGAAAGAGGAGATGCATCTTACATGTCTGCAATGCCTGCTTTGTCCACAGGGGGAGCCCAAATGGACACAAACCTAAAGTTCCTTACAGAAGCTTTAAGATATAAATTCAGTAACTGCTTCCATTTAAAAAAGTATAGAGTGCCGCTCTGCAGAAACACAGGCATAAACTGCATAGACAAAGAGTGATATTCATAATTTCAGACTATAACATTCTGCTTGCTGTTTTTTTGTTATATATTCTGTCAATACAAATTATTTCTTGAGTTATTTTGTCTGCCTGTGGAGTAGTCAGTACAAGCATTTATTATCTGTGAGAGTACAGACAGCAGACAGGGAAGAACAGCGAGCTTTGCCATCTCAAAAGTAAAAAAAATAAATCACATTTTAAACCATCAAAGATGAAAAATGAATGCATTGTTCCTTTTTGTTTAATTGGTAAAAGATCCTGTTTTTCAAAAGAGTCATTTTGGCCTTCAGTGAGAGATTGTTAATACTCCTTTACAAACAGCCTTTTGTACGTCCTTCTATTGCATGTTGTTAACGGAGCTGAATTTAGACTGTATTTGGGAATAAATCATCTTTACAATGTTTGTGTCATCTGACCTCAGAGTTAAAGATCCTTTTTCTTCTTCTGTGAAGCTGCTGCTCCTGAAAACACCTCTATGATAGGTCCAAAAAAAAAATCCAACTTCATTTGCGATGACGATCTTTCACCACACTTTAAGCTCTGAGACACAGCGTGACGCCGGGGAGTGGAGGACAGCTGATGAGGGGAGAGGAAGACAGACATCATATCAGCACAGAGAGTGTCGATTAGGTGAGAAAAGCACACTGCAGTCCTGTCAATCAAGCTCGGAGAAGAAAAAAAGAAGAGCGGCTGTGAAAAAAGGAAAAGTTGGTCAATCAGAGTAACCACAAAAACACAATTTAACACACAATCTAATATTCTTTTACACATCAGCTGATTTGATTTTGAAGATTATGAATCATGTTTGTTTGTTTTATGCATATTGAAGTCGAGTCAGACCAAAAAGGATTGATCCTACATTTTACACAATACATCGAAAGCTAAGGACGTGACTCTTGTTTGAATTTGAAATCTGACACATTTTTTATTTATCTTATCACTTTCTGGGTTTGAAAGTGTCGCATTCTTCCACAACAGATTGCCGCAGCCGCTTTGAACGTGTGCGAACAGATTGTGCTTTGAAAAAGAAAACGGGCGCCCGCAGCAACATTTCACGTCTGCGTCCCATCTCTGTCTGAAAACGGGACTAACATCTTTACATTATACATCTTCAAAAACATATCCATTATTCATAGACACATATTTTAATACTATTAGCACTTCCATGCCACCCACCTAAATACCTGTGTGTTTCTTATCAAAGCAGCTGTGGCAGTCAGAGTTACTTTGTTTGGCTTTAAAAAAGACGGGATGGGATTAAGAAAGTGATGCGGCGGAGAGGCGTCGAATTCAATTAAACCGAATCTGTGGTGGTTTTTGATTGATGAACGCTGTAAAAACCGGGATCCAAAAACAAATGGGACAAACAGGAGGGACATAGACGGGGGTGTGTGTGTGTGTGCTCGTGGGCTGTTTTTTTTTATAGACAGCAACAAAAGCAGAACACACACACACACATGCAGAAACACACACACGTGCAGGGCTCCCACCTGTGTGGGTAGGAGGTGTGGCCACTCAGCAGCTGAGGGGGGCAGCATATGGACTTTCTAATTGGGTAGAACAGCACAGCTGGAGGACACCAGTCCAGGACCTGGCCCCTGGTAATCAGTCCCACAATCCTCTGCTCTCCTCTGCACATCCAGTGAGCTGCATGTGAGCCTGAGGAGGAAGGAGGGAGGGGAGAGTGTATCACTGCTTTAACTGGCGTTTTACATCATAATTTACATCTGATCTGACCTCTTCAGACAGAAGAGACAAACACTTTTTTTTACAACACTCTCCAAGCTGTTTAGTTTGTCGATATTCAGCTCTTTTCCTCGCAGGTTTAAGGAATCTTATGCGGGAGCAGCAGGGTCACTTTTTTCCTTTTCCTTCAAATTTTGTAAATACTAGAAGCACAAAGTCTAGAAACAACACATTCACTAACAAAAGACACACAAGAATCCATGTAACCAAACTCTGATCGCTTGTTTCGTAATGAGGATGTGATGTTTTCAAGTTTATTTTCCAAAATCTAAACCCTTGTTTTCACAGATCTGTTGTTCGTACTCTCTTTTGCAGAGTGTGATTATTCCCAGACTGTAATTGCAACTCTGTGACAACTCCACACTTTGTGGGTTTAATGCTAAAGATGATGTTGATGACAACAGCAGTGATGGTGATATTAAGGTTTCATGATGATGGTAATAGTGATGGCAGTGCTGATGCTTTGGCGATTAGTATATAGACATAATCATTTTTACTAAGTTATAAAATTATATAGATAAGGAAAACTTGCTTCTATACACACTGTTTATTATCTCTAGCAGTGCATCACCTGTGTCGGACTGAACTTGAGGTAGTTTGATGTCGTTCCCTCCTGTCCTGTCCAGACGCTTGCTTGGAGAGATGTACGTCACAAATTCTCACATTGTAATTTCCCTTTAATGTGCAATAAAAATACATTCAGGAGTAAAGTAACGCCGCTTGATTTTAATCTTTTAACTCCTCCAAGTTGAATATACTTTCACTTAAAATTATGCATCATTTAATAAACTATATTTAAAAAAAACCATTATGCACACTGTCTATAACGTAAGTGTGTATTATTCAACATAATGGGTGTGTTTGTGTGTTTTTGAATCGTCATTAACTACATATTATATTTGTTTCCTCACAAAAGTTGCAAAAAATCTGAAAGGACCAGATAACTTTTTAGACACTTTGGTTCAATTGAAGTGAGAATGTTGCTTCAATTAATACAGAAAATATCAGCACTGACTTAAAACACAGTCTTTTTTAAAGTTAATGAAGAAAGGAGTTTCTGTTTTTATGCACCTAAACACCCAACCCCAAAATCTGCATTTTACAACAGATTTATCATTGTTGTTATTACTTTTCAATGGTTAATTTTGATTTACTTAACTTCAACTTACCTTAACTCGTATTTATAACTTCTGCTAGTTTACTGATATTGCTATTTTTCTCTTTCGGTTACATATGAAAGGTCCAACTTTATTAAAGTTCAGTTGTTAAATTTAACAATCAACATCTTTTCCAAGTTTCAAACAAACTTTTTTTTTTTTTAAACTAAAACACGACCACAGTCCTGCAGCTCTAATGACCCCACTGTCTTTACATAAACGTGATGTAATGTTATTAGGCAAAAAAAGTCGACATTCAAGTAAGTATATGAGCAAAATCTTGCCAGACAGACATCGTCTTTTTTATAGCACAAACATTTCGGTGTTAAAACAGAATTCATGTGCAAAAATTAGAGGAGTTGTATAATTGATGTATAAAGTTTATTTGTTAATAGTTAACTAGTTACCTGTTAGAGAAATAAACACTTATTAAACAGTTGTTTTTGTGCCGTTTAGCCTTATGTCTTTAGAAATAAGATCTGGGGTTTAACTTAAATAAATGTATGAGAAGAGAAAATGTGTCTTAAGTAAACAAACACCTGAAGTGACAGCAACAGGTTCAGGGTGTGAGAAAAGAGTCGGATTCATCCGTATGTACCACACATCAAATAAGCTCAAAATAACCTGAATTATCTCACATGTCTTTGTCGGAGTCTGAACACTTGTTTTCACTTGGGGGTTTTAACATATTTACATGCATCTCAGTGTACTGAAATAGTAAGTTAACTAAAGGAGGCTCACTACAAAATCAGACTAAAAAAGTGAATGTTTTAAGGTTCAGTTTGAAGCCTGTTTCCTAGTCTCTCATGATTTCACTCGAGGAAAGGTCCCGACGTAGTAAGAATCACGGTCAGGATCACGCCACATTACCACACCACCACTCCACCTTCAACCACTTCACCCAGCTCTCATCCTCCAGACACAAACTCCCCTCTAACTGCTGACATCAATTGAGAAACGCTCGCGGCTCAGCGTGCGATCAGCGGCGCCTTCATTTGCAGCTCCACACCACGCGCCGTGCCTATAAAAGCTGATAATGTGATAATTAAAAGAGCTGACAGGCAAGAAGTGTCAGCGAGACACCCTGATTTACCAACCTCTGCTGTTTGCTATACCTCTCAAATTACAATGCTTCCACCCTTGAAGTATGACACATAAAATATCAATTGGAATAATGAAGCGGGTCAGATCTGCAGAGGAAAGAAAGAGGGATCTCAGCGGACGAGAGCTTTAATGAAAATCGTCCCCAAAAAACACACCAGACTGACCTGAAAGGAGCGTTTCTAGCAGACAAAAGATCACTGCCATGTCTCTGTCTCACTCTCTTTCTTTCTCTCTCAACCACACCATGATTTATTACCTGAAAAGACAAGAGAACTAATTAGTGGAGTAATTAATTAATATAAATTTGCATATTTGCATTTGCAATTAGTGCAGTCAACTGATTAGTCTGAGATGGGGAGTTTGACTCATCAGATGCTGGTGTGAGTGTGTGTCAATGCATGTGTGTGTGTGAGTGTGTGACGGACCAGAACGATCAGTCGACCAGCTGAGGCATTTTCGGGGGGGAGGAAGAGACGAAGGGACTATTTTATTTATTTTTATTGTTGTTGTTTTTTTGTACCTGTGCATGTTTTTGCATATTTTGCTGTGTTATCCACTTACACACCTACACACACACCTACCTGTGACATGGTTGACCCTCTGATGCACACACACCGTACCCTTGTGTGGTCTTTGGTGTCATCACTCTGCAGCCAGCCTAATACTGCTGATCGATGTCGTGTAACATCCAATACACAGAGATTGATAAGTCGCTTTAATTGATTCTCCTTGCAACAAGGTCATTCACAGGCATGCATTTCTCTGTGCGTTTGTGTGTGTGTGTATGTTCCACATAACTGAGGAGTGCATATACCCATATCGAGTGCCAGCTGTGCCCCAGTGTGGAGTTGGCAGCGTGCCACCGGCCTTTTCCACGGGGTGTACTTAATGTGTACGCTCCTGAGGTACCAACACTGTGGAAGCAGCCCACTGCACCCCCGCCCACTCTCTCACCGCCCTGTGTGTGAGGAGCCTGCAGGAATCTTTTTACCTGTTTTAAACAAAAGGTGCAGCTATCAGGTAGAGGAGTGCATGATCAGTGGAAAACATAATTAGACTTATCATATCACTGGGGAGATATGCGCGGTAAAACTAGGCATAATCGAGACACATTTGATTTAAAAAGCACATTTTAAACACAGGGCAACATTATTAGTTACATATTATTGATAAAACATTCACAACACTGTTAAAAAAGGTACTAAACATGGATACTTTAATTCAAAACCTTCAATTAAATGTGAGAATACACTAATGTTTAAAACAGTTATCAAGTTTGGACTTTAAATGTTCAATCAGTGGATCAGTGGATGTTTTAATGCATCATGAAAACAGTTTTTAGAAGGCCCTATTTTACATAACAGAGCTCATTTTGGGAGTGGTTTTACTTTAAAGCTCCTGTAAAGAATTTTTAGTTTTTGTCAGTTTTAGCGCCCCCCTGTGGATTTAGCAGTCTTTTCCTAGACATGCCTGTGTTACAAAAAAATCTCACCCTGCTTGATCTTAAAAGTTGAACATATCATATACCGTATTTTTTGTACTATAAGGTGCACTTAAAATCCTTTTGGCTTGTCGGAGTACTGCAGCTACCGTAGCCTCGCGGAGATATTGAATAAGTTAAATAAATTAAATAAGTTAAATAAGTTATATAAATTTGACTCATCTGACTGTTTTGTTTGGCTTAATGCGCTTTATAATCCGGTGCGCCTTATGTATGAAAATCGATGCGGATAGACGCGTTCATTGATGGTGCGCCTTATAATCCGTTGCGCCTTATAGTGCGAAAAATACGGTAGTGTATTTGTAAATGACCTACATTATATGTTGGTATCGCCAGTCTTATTTTGAAGGTACAACCCGTATTTGCTTTTATCTTACTTCTGTAAGCAATATAACAGTGACCGATGCTCTTATTTTGAAAGGAAATTTTACCGGAAGTTAGTCGTCAATGAGCAGTAAAATAACGATCTCTTTAAGTTGTTTAAAATACCTGGTTGATAGAGGCACAAAGTTCGTATATGCTTCTTTTTTCACACAAATTAATATGAAGTGCCTTTTAAACGTTTCTATAAAGTTAAGTCGAGTTTCGTGTTGCCGAGTATTAGCAAAGATGCTACACTTACGATGATGGTTACGGTTAACACAGACATTACTCATGTAGCTCATAGCATGTCGCCCGATGCATATTTTAAATCCACATGTGTTTTATTCATCATAAAGCTCGATTGCTGCATTGAAATGATGACTAAAAATGTATTAGATATTTAGTTATAAAACGATTTCATGTGTTAGTTTGAGTTGATCCTAACTAGTTAAAGCACTCTGGTTTGAGATTGGCATTTTGCTAAAAACAAGAAAGTTGATTTCATTTTTCTTAAAGGGTTATAAAAAATATAATTTAAAGGGGTAAAACTATTTTTTGTAACAGAAAGTGTATTAATATTGTTCTCATTGTTTTATCTAGGTCTTATGGTGTGTTTACACTGTTCAATGGAAGTTTAAAGGAACCGTTTTAAAATAAAACCATAAATCAACCATACATGCTACACTATTACACACAGAAATGATAAAACAGCTGTTTTACAGGTTGTTCGGCTGACACCTACCCCCTCACATCCGTTTTAAGCATTAAAAATTAGGATTTGAACATCTTCAATCTTGTTGCTGATGGTTTTGTTTAATTTTGAAGATCATAAAAAGGCGTCAACATGAATTTCAGTCAGTTTCTCAGACGTCAAAAAACTCCCTATAGGAGCTTTAACACACAACTCATGGCGAATTTAAGCAACAACATAAATACATTAATAAATCTTTGGTCACATGTTTATACATATTTGCTAAGGAGACCTGTGCCAAAGCTGATGCTCCCATTTCATTTGGAAAAGTGTTGAATTTTTAAACTACATATTGAATTGTAAAAGTATATCAGATTATGAAAAGTAATAAAATGCAGTCAATATAAAAAAGTGTAAAATATGAGCTGCTTATTTGCAACAACAAAAAAAAAATCAGTGTCTATGTCGGTCTGCATGTTTGCAACGTGTCATTCCTCAATACAAAACGAATCCAGAGACACTTTTCTTTTCCAACACTAAGTTGGCATCATTCAATCCGAGGGTAGCTGACAGCTAGCCTGAGCTTCATCTGACTGCATCAAAACAGCAAGAAAGCCTGACCACAATATCCAGGCCTCCATCCAACAGTTAACATGGTGGCATTTCAAGAAAGCATTATCCAAATCTTCTTGTTTAAATGGGAAACATTTCGACCTTTGCAATGTGTTATTGCAAAAACAATTAAACTGCTGCACAAGGTTTAGTCCTAGTTGTGTTATATATAAAAGTAGATACATGTTAAAAGCTGGATAAACTGCATTTGTCATAATTGAATGGAGGTGTTTGTTGGATTAACCCTCACATACTGTTCAAATCCTGTACCCTCACAAATTGACCCAAGTTTTTTCACCAAAGTTCTAACCCCAAACCTATCCATAATGTTTAAATGACCTATGCTACTTCAAAAAATTATTGATTTGTCCTTCCTAAATGTTTCAAAGAGCACGCAGAGTATATTTTTTAAGTTTTGTTTGGGTCAAATTTGACCTGTTTTGACTTTTAACAGCAGTAAAAATACCCTAAACATCATTCTTTAAGCCTGAAACTTGATGACTTTTCCTGAAGTGGCCCAAAATACATGAAATCAATTTTAAAATATTCATGTGTGTTAATGTATATTTATATTACAGGTCAAATTTGACCCACATCTATTTAGATGGATTTGAGATCTACCAGTGTGGGACAAATGAGAAGCAGTAACAACAGTGTTCAATATAAAGTTTGTTGTTCAATAAACTATTAAAATTTATCATTATGACTTACATGAAATTATCCCGTGTAATAGATATTCTTCTCCAAAATATAAAACGAGTGGTGTTTAAGATCAGTGGCTGTCTACAGTGATGCTCAGAGGTGCTGCCAGGGATGAGGAGCCTCATAATCGACCACATTGGGCCCCACCGCTGCAGTAACAGCCATCACCGATAGAGACCATAATACAGCTCAGTTCTTATTTCACCAGTTTTAAGTCGGTGTTTTTCAATTCTCAGCATATCTTGTAAAGTCATTAAGAGTCAAGTTGATTAAAACAGTGTTGGTTGTGAAAAAAGGCCCTCGTTTGGAGATATCTGTGACTTCTATATAAGCAAATGTTCAGGTTTGGTGGTGTGTGCTTTAAAGTGTGTGTGTGTGTGTCTTACTTAATCTTTATATTTTTTTGATTTTTCTGTGCAAACACTCATAAAAACAACTCTAAATCCATTCATTTGAATGTAAAACTCGTCTGTGTGTCTGTCTGTCTCACCTGTTGAGGATGCCTGCACACTCCCTCATCCTCATCCATCTATTTTTTTTTCCCAGACAAAAAACAGACATGAATTTATCTTTCTTACACAGGGAAACAGGCAGATATTAGTTGTTATCCCTCTCCGGTCTGTGTATCTGACGGTAAACGCGGGCCTCCCGGTGCCCATTACCGGAGCTGCCAGATGATCGGTACGGAATGGAGGTCCCATGGGACGCTGAACACGTGGTCTCGACTGCCACAAGACGTCAGCGGCAGATGGCATGGGTACCCGCTGTTGGCATGAGTGTCATTCCTCAAAGAGAGAGGGAAGGGGAAGAGAGAAAGAGAGAGAGAGAGAGTGAGGGGGAGAGAAGAGGGAGAGCGCAGCACAGCAGAGAAAAAAGAGAGCGCAGGTTTCAGCTTTTTTCTTTAATTTGTGGTTTGCAGGAGAAGAAGCTGCAGCGCAGATTCCGCGGAGATATGCAAGGTGCACGCTGACCAGAGGTAGGAGGGGGATTTTGATGCATTTCTAGACTTTCAGGGTTTTGATTTGTTGCATGAATTGATACATTTTGGTTGGAAACGCGTGAATTTATGACAAGTTTTGACACTGGCCTTGCTTTCCATTTTGTTCCCCTTCCTCTTTGGAGGATTCATCCACAAGGTAATTAAGTGACACCCTTAAGGAGGCGACAGTGCTGTGCTTTGTCCTCACACTTCTGCTTTTGCTTTGCAGGAAAATGTTGACACTGCCATTCGAGGATTCTCATATGATGTGTGAGCCGCGGTTCGGTGCCAATTTTCCCCGTGAAAGCTTACCTGAGAGTCTGGAGCAGGAGCGACAACACAACCCGGAGAGGTCCAACTCAGACATGAGGGAGGCCGAGGACGAGCTCTCCGACCGAGAGGAGGACGAGAGGGAGGAGGACCAGGATGATGACGGGCTCCCTAAAAAGAGGGGCCCGAGGAAAAAGAAGCAGGGGAAGGAGCAGATGGACCGGTCCAAACTCCGGCGCCAGGAGGCCAACGCCCGGGAACGCAGCCGGATGCACGGCCTGAATGCAGCGCTGGAGAGCCTGCGCAAAGTTGTGCCATGCTACTCCAAAACTCAAAAACTGTCCAAGATTGAGACCCTCAGACTGGCTAAGAATTACATCTGGGCCCTGTCGGAGACCCTGAGCGCGGGGAAAAGACCGGACCTCCTCACCTTCGTGCAGACTTTGTGCAAAGGATTATCTCAGCCCACGACCAACCTGGTGGCCGGGTGCTTGCAGCTCAATGCCAGAAATTTCCTCACAGACCACAACGGGGAGGTCATGTTCTCTGGCAGGTCGCCCTACGATGCCATGTACTCATACCCGGGCTCAGACGTGAACACGCCCCCTGGACACAGCGCGAGCAGCTTGGACACCGGCGCCAAGCCCTTCAGACACTACAGCTACAGCAGCGCTTACGAGTCCTACTACGAAAACCCGTCCCCGGAGAGCACGAGTCCGCATTTCGACGGCCAGCTGAGCCCTCCCATGAACTTTAACGGGATTTTCTCCCTCAAACACGACGATCCGCCAGACTACGGCAAAAGCAGCCACTATGGCATGCGCTACTGCAGTGCGCCAGGACGCACAGCTCTTGCGCACAACTCCATGTACCGAGTCTCCCAGGAGGCCCGTTTCCCCTACGACCTGCACGTCCGCAGCCAGTCCTTCCAAGCACAAGGGGAAGTTAATGGCTCTTTCCACAATTAATCAATCAGCTGGACTAAGTTCAAGTTTTGGAAGCGATGCAATTTTCCCCCCGCAGATGTCGAGAGTGGAACGAAATGGACTCCAGACACGCTGATGCAGTGCAAAAAAAAAACAAAACGCCCATTTTAAGAAGTCATTTTGTGTGAAATGTTCTCAGTTGTTTTTCTAAAAAAATGTGAAAGTGTGCAGATTGATTTAGTAGTTTCATTTGTTTCCAATGTTTGTGTTAAAATGAGGCAAAATATCTTTTTTTTCCATCAAAAACAGAAAACTTCCGTCTGATTCGTTGACGAAAATTAAGATTTAATAACTCGCTGCCAAATTTTGTTGCAAGAAATTCGCAGAAATGTAAAATAATTAGTTAAAAAGGCAGGTTTGGAGCATAAGGGAGTGCACTTGATGTTTGTGGATGAGATATCAGTCAAGTTAAAGGGAATATAAAAGAAACAAATCAATCTCCAGGTGTTTCGATGGGGAAATTAGTGAGACAATATTCAAATCAGCTCCAAGTGAAACATCTCTCGAGTGTTTCTTCGTGATCAGGGAAGTTTTTCTGAATGATTGGAGTTCATAGATTCAGTGTGTGAGCAATAAAAGGTGAACTGAGCTATGCAAGGCAGCCAAATGCAATCTTAGCTTATCAAATAAATGATAGATGTATATTTAATCTCACAGGGCGTTTCTTATATTCTAATTAAATGATGACAGTTACACTCATTTAATTATTGAACAAAAAAAAGTGTTTGGAGACGTGCACGTGGTGTGGAGACCTGACGATGATGTCATCAGAAGTTGTGGGGTTTTTAAAAAAAACAGTTTTTGGAGTAAATAGTGGTGATAACGAGGTGAATGTAAATTATTATTGTATTTATTGATTTATTTAAGCTTATTTATTAAAAAGTACGTCAATTTGAATGTGGAAAATATATGATAAAAATCTGGTAAAATTTCGCAGTTGTTATGTTTTTTGTGATTTTTTTGGCAACGACTGAAGTTCCTTGTGACGATTTCGCTGCAGCTGAAAAAAGAAGAAGGACGGGAAGGAGAATCAGTTTGTGTGAGGTGAACAAAAATGATTCACATGCCTTAAAAAGAGAGAGAGAGAGAGAGAGATGCTGACCATCAATATGCAAAGAAGTGACAGTTTTTGGACAGTGATGTGAACTTTTGGACACTTTTTGGTCCCCTGCTGTGGCGCACTTCACGTCTTTCTGCACAATGTTGGTGACTGTATCTCATAAATGATGTTGCTTTTTGTATCTTTAAACCCTAATGATCGAATGATATTTATAATTTCTTTTACACACACTTACACACACACACTCTAGCTCTCTTGTGCACACACTCTCTTGCACACACACACACATACACACACACCCCTGAGAACTCGTTATGGATCGAAAATCCTCGTGAAGTAATGTGTTAATGTTTTGTGATGTGTTTGTCGCAATAAAACGAAGAGGCTGTGAGAGGCTTTATGTTTGGAGAGCAGCTTCCCAGCTTTCTGTGCAAATGATCGACAGCAGGCACGCGACAGTTATGAAAAAAACGGAATAAATAAATCAGGAGGAAAAAAAAAAGAAAACACCCTCGGGCCGATTTCTGTTTGTTTACTTTGGAGAGGTTCAATCCGTTAATCCTACACGACCAGAAGACATTTCAATGACCTTTAAAAAAACACCTTCTTTTCATCAATGAAGGCGCATTTTTCTCTCAGGAATCTTCTACCTCAACCAAAAAAGTTGGATTTTTATATTCAAAGATGATTAAATAACAAATCTGTGAAATTTTTACGCACACTTTACGCACAGTGTCTGAACTCCTCCAGTCAAAGAGGCCTCCTGTCTGTGTAATCTGATTGAATTTCGGTCATCACATTGCTGATTAGTGTCATGAGGTGTTGGATGTCAGCCAGAGAGCTCAGACATCTGATCCCAGAGCTCCCAGTGAGGAGAGACGAATTTCTGGAGATGAAGCGTCTCCACCTAACAGCGATATCTTTCTCCATAGGAACTAAAACATGTCCTTTTCCCTTTTATTCTTAAATTCCTAATTGACTTTGTAAAATTTACATAGCCTAAATAAACGTGACATACTTTCTTTCCATATCTCTGCAGGTTATTCCGAGTACTGTATTGGTAGAAGCTGTTTCGTATTATTTCCTATCTCGCAGCAGTAAAGAGTTCAAGCCGATATTGCCCAAAATTAAAATAATAATGTTTTTGTTTGTTTTTGTATCATTGTTAATAACACTGATGAAGAAAATCTTGTAAAAAAGTTGAAGTCGTTATTTACGATACAGGCTTTGGTTATTGGGAAAGTTCATCTGCGCGAGTTCACCGAGGGAAAACAGCTTAGGCTATAACAAGAGTATCAAGTGTCAGATTTTGGCTCATGACTGTATTGAATTTTATTTTTGAAAAATGGTTAATGTTTTAGAAATTTCTCCTAAGTCACAGATTACGAGTCCTAAAAAAATCTATATTCATTTTTTATTAAAATGCAACTTTAAGAGAAGTAAAACATAAGCTGGTGCAGTCTTTGCCTATAGGAATAAAACTTAAAGGTTAAATAACCTCACTAAACTTCCTCTATCTGTCATCAATCCTGATTTTACTCTGAAATCTGTGCATTTCAGTGAAGGATGAAGCACTATGAGGTTTTAAGAGCGGGCCTGCAGGTCAGAAAAACAAGAGTACACCTTCATAACAGTAAAAAAACACACCAAGAACAGTATTTTACCTATGGTGACATCTTTATATAGTTACAAAACAAGGATGTGTATTTGAAAAGAACTAAATATTTTTTGTCTATTCAGTTTTGCAGAAATTAAACTCATAACAAACACCGTCACATATATGAGTTCATAACATTCTTGCTCTTTTATTTTGGTACAGAAACAAAATTCAACCAGAATTATACTTCATTAAATTACTTGTGTTGTAGTTCCTAACATGAGGTAGATAATTCTAGGGGCCCGTGGCTGACAGGGGCCCAAAAATATGAGAATATTTGTAGTCGTGAAGAGTTACGGCCTGATGTTGTTTATTTATCTATTTTCTTTATGGGGCCTGAAATCTCTTGCGGCGTGCCTTCATGGACAAGGAGTAAAATAAATAATTTTCAAACACTCAAACTTTTAACTTTTACGAGAAAAAAACAGAAAACACAAAGTACGATGTTAAGAGTTACTTGTATTCCTGAAGTTTTGTTGATTAAGATAAAAAGAATTTTCGGAGATGTGGTAAATTTATAAATCTGAATGTGCTCTTCTTAGAGGAAAAAGGCAACTGTTTGTATTTTTTTAATGAGCGGAGGACTTGTTTTCCCATCTTCATTCCCTCACTCTATCTCCTCTCCCTCTGCATCATCATAAAACTAGAGAAGCTGGTTACTGAAGGTCCCTTTGGGGCCCTAAAATCACCTCTTTAGCCCCCCATCCTTCAGCAGCAGGCCTTATTTATCTCATTCACTAAAATTCCCACCTTGTCAGTCTTAATGCTTTTTCTACCATGCTGTGTGTGTGAGTGTGTGAGAATATATGCGTCTGTGTGTGTGTGTGTGGATGAAGAGCTGATTTAAATCTCTCTTGGAGCCTCACAGGGAGGCTCAGGAGGGTGAGGAGGAGTTGAGTAGGGGAGGCTGGAGGGGAGGGGGGGAGTTTCACGCCCACAGGGTCTACGCAGTTTAGCACGGGGTCAAACGTGTACACGTACCCCTACATTCATGCAGCTCATTAAACTGTGCAGATACAGAGCGATGAGAGGGAAGAGGAGAGGGGGGAGAGAGAGAGAGAAAAAGAGGGAGCATATGGCCCAGCTCTGTGTGGGAGGTGAAGGACAGGAATGGGGGATATATATCGTATAGGGGTGAATTTGCAACCGGAGATGTGGTGTCATAATTAATGCAAAACAAACATTCTGTTTCTATAGGGAGGAGAGTTTGCACGGTGACAACAATCAGCTCAGAAGTTGTGAAAAAAGTTTCTCTGCAGTCACCTTTAACACAAATTCATCTTTATGTGTATCTTTATTTTGTAATATATTATGCTAATTTATTGAAATCAGCCGCATTTTTTCCTGCAATGTCTAAAACTCTGAGCACCAGTCAAGAAAAATGAAAATAATGTTCCCCGCCACGTCGGCAAGCATCCTCAAATTTCGTGCCATTCCCAAGCCCCAGATGGTGTGGGATGGGAAACGTTCCCCCATTAAATTCCTAATAATCATTTCTCCTGCGGAATCGGGGGTGGTGGCAGTGGGGACGGAGGAGGGGTGGGGGTGCGAGAGCGTGTGTGAGAGGATTGGGTTGGTGGGTGAGGGGAGTAGAGGGATTTGGTGTTTTAATTAGACAGATTTAAGGAGCTGAACCCCCCCCTCTTCTTTCAAAGCGTGCGTGTGGGTAGAGATTCATTTGTGCTTATATTTCTGTGAGAGTGGGTGCGCATGTGAAAAAATTACACATAAGAGCAGGGACGTGCGTGCATGTGTGTGTGTGTAAATGTGTGTGCGTTGCAGGTCACGGCAGGGCTGATGCTGCAGCAGAGGAGGCCTGACACTCCACTACTACGGGCCAGGATCTCATTAACGTGTCAGATTGGTGGATCAGTCTCTCTGGCAGCCGGCCCGGCCTCTCACAGGAAGTACTTTCTCTCTATCTGTGAACTTGGCACCAAAAGGTTACGCGAGGTGGGAGGGAGGCAAGATGAGGGGAATATATTGGCCTGGAGGAGGACGAGGAGGAGGAGAAGAGAGACACAAGCATTAATTATAATATTTGGTCAGATTGGATAAATATTGGTCGAGGGACGGTGCTTTAAGAGCTGCGGATGGAGGAGTTTTGAAGAGCAACGCTAACAGAGAGAAAGAGAGAAGCAGCCGAACTTCTGCAGTTGTATATTTCAGAGGTGGAGATATGCTAAGTATGTGACAGGAGCATCTGTCACTACATCACCTCGGTGCTTTGTGCTCTTTGTCTGACTGTGGATTTGTATGCGTGCGAGAGAAAAATATGTGTGGCTACAATATGAGGGGGTATCGAGTGGGTTTTAGAAGCAGGTGGGAAGCGTACAGGGGTGTGATCCTCCGACACCCCAGCAACACCCTATTTCAGGGCACACTGAGAGACACGTGTGGTACTGGGTGAAGCGGTTTTTCGATTCCCTCGACTGTGATCATGAGCATGCGGTTTGCATGAGGGTGTGATACTGAAAAGAGATAGAAACGGTTGTACCACATCATAGACCTGATGAGCTGCTCTGCATGTGGACGAACACATCCACGAATAGAGCGAAAAAAAGTGGTAAAAAGTAGAGCATGTGTTTGAATCAAGACGAGATGAAAATGAGCAAAAATATGAGGCAGAGTTATGGGAAACTTTAGAGTACTTTGCATCAGATTTTTTCTGGAAGTTTCTTATTACATTGGCTGGGCTTACTGACATCGATTGCGAAGAAGAAAACTTGTAAGGTAACTCTTACAACCCCATCTAAAAACACTGAACTATCCCTTTAAACCATGGCTCTACAACCTTACTTAAAATAACACCAACGCTACACTTTTGAGTAGGGCTGGGACGATATGCTTTTCCCCCGATTCGATTCTACGCTGATTTTTTGGATGCCTATTCAATTTAAATTGCGATTCTACGATATTGTCGATTTTCTCAATTTTTTTGAGAAAATTATTTTTTTCGTTGTCAAAAATATTTCCTCAATGCCCCTTTTTTTCCACGACAAAGACGTGACGTTGACGAGCTAAACATAAGTCTTAGATGACAAAAATGTGATGAGACGAATGTGCATTTGCGTTTACGAGACGAGACGAAAACATTAGTGGTGGACAACGAACGGAGTTGCAAAATTCATGAGCATTTCATCAGTCAAACGCTAAACATATATTCTGCAGTCAACGTCATCGCCAATGAAAACAAGACTGATTTTAACACCAGTGAGACAGTTGAATGATTATGATTGTCTACTGACTATTCCAGGAACCATATTTCGCCAAAAAATACACATCACGTGTAAGTCAGTTTTTAAGATTTATTCTTAAATTTAAAAAACAAAAACTAATTTTGAACTAAAAAAGCGATTTAAAAATTGTAAAACAAAAAATCACGATACTTAGGTGACTCAATTTTTTCTTCTCCCACCCCTACTTTTGAGCGTCTCATTTCATTTTACAAAACTCCCAGACGACTCAACTGATAAATCAAGGGTTATTTGCTGGTCATGTGAGTCTGGGCTACCAATATGGACAACTTGGTTCCGCCTTCCTTCATTATACAAATTTGATGCCGAATTGCTCACGGTATTCCCGTGATTTTCTCGACTTCCTGGAACCAGTAGCATTGTACTCATTTGGCGGGAGAGTCGCTGTGATGATGCTTGGCTCAAACGGCGTATCCCCCAGGTGAGCTACGCAATCTTTGCACGCCCATAGGCTGTATGAAGTGTCAATCATAGAAAACATGAACCCCCTAATAACTTTTAAAAACGGAGCTACACAGACTGATGTCAGGGAGAAACTGCATCACAACCGCCAGCTATCGTTTTGAAAAGTGTGAACCAACACCGACCTTCACATGAAACTAAATCAAAGATGAGAACACTGAACACGCTGAAAAGCCAAGATGAGAAAAAGACTCAAAACTCTCATAACTTTTCAAATTCAGATCATATCCTGGTTTAGACCCAGGATATATAAATTAAGTTAATAACGCTTCTCTATTGTCTGGTAATTGACAGGAGGTCAGTCAACACAGTGAAAAACTCAGATCTGAGAGATTGAGGTGTTTCGACCAAGCAGGCCTCACTGTCATGGGGAACAGTAGTTTCATGCACACAAGAAGAACCTGTTTGGGACAGAGGAAGCCCCCAAAACTGGAACTCCTGAAACATGCGAAAACTGTTACTGTAACAGGAGATTATCGGACGTCAGTGAGTAATCAAAATGATCCCAGAATAACTGCACACCATATTAACAAGGATAGAACATTTTTTTTGTACACATCCTTCTGCTTATTTCTTAACTTGCAGGAGTTTTAGAGTTTTTTCAGCAAATACAGTCAAAGTCTATAATCACAGCCAAATGTCAGCAATAATGCTCTACTGAGTTGCCAACCCTCCTGAAGACACATGATGAAGAAATCATTAATTAAATTGTCATCTCAGTCAAGTTTATGATGGCTTTAGATATTTAAAATGTTTATACTTAAAATAAAAGTACTGAGCCTACACAGCACAGTGTTCAAACTACACACAATGAGAGGTTACTTCCTTGGTGAGTATAATAGTGGTGCTCATTTGTGTCCACAATTTGTGATAAAATACTGAATACAACAACATTTTGGTTTTGGATAATGTTACTTTTATCATTGCACATTTTATAAAACTTTTGAACTATGGTGGAGTTAAGTTTTTTAAGGACCAACCTGAGTGTTATATTGAATTGAAACTGTTCACGACAATCTTGATGCTCCTGTGAGAAACTCTGTGTCAATTTTGGCGCCCTCTGTGGACAAAACAGCCTTTGCTTATTTTCCCTCTAAAAGCTTAGGTTGTATTTTTTGACATGTAATACCATCCCGCTGACTGTTGAGAGTCAAAAACATAATTTATTATTGTGAATATTTTATGTGGTCGAGCCAAATTGCGACTTTTTTTTATCAGTCTCTAGCCTTCACTTTTTCCAGTTTTGTACTGTATCGTCTGTCCTGTTGGTCAATAGAGGAATGACAGCTTGTAAACAAAACTGTAAGGAGATTTTAGATGTTTATGAAAGAGACTGAGATTTATTTTGATATCTTTTTATGACATACAAATAAATATGAGACCATTGGCGACAAGATTGGCGAGTTTTATGCTTTAATTTCTAACACCTAGGTGTCATCTAAGCAGCCCTGGTTTTACATTTTCCACCACTGCATTATCAACAGGGGGCGCCAAAGCTAAACCCAAACTAAAATTCCTCACAGTATCTTTAAAATAAAGATCCTGGAAAAATAATCAACATTGTTCAGTCAGACTTGTGCTTCATGGCTCGCTTTGATAAATAATCATCGCTCTGAATACTTAGGTTGTATTTTTTGACATGAAATACCATCTCGCTGACTGTTGACAATAAAATTTACCATTTAATGTGGATATTTTATGTAATCAAGCAAAGTTGTGGCTCTTTTATCAGTCTCCAGCCTCTCTCTTTGCATTTTTTGTACTGTATTATCTGTCCTGTTGGTCAATAGAGGAATGACAGCCTCTACACAAAACTTTAAGCTCCTGTAAGAAGTTTTTAAACGTTTATGAAAAACAATGAGATTTATTTTGATATCTTTTTATGACCATTTAAGACCATTAGCAACAAGATTGACGAGTTTTGGCCCTGGTTTTACATTTTCCACCACTGCCTTATCAACAGGGGGCGCCAAAGCTGACCAAAACTAAAATTCCTCATAGTATCTTTAAAATAAAGATCCTGGAAAAATAATCAACATTGTTCAGTCAGACTTGTGCTTCATGGCTCGCTTTGATAAATAATCATAGCTAAAAAAAAGTTCATTTATATGAGGTCTTTTAAGTTGAACCTCTCTGAGGTTTAACTGACCCCAATTTAGAGTAAGAAAAATCACCCTGTAGAGACTCTTTTCATCAAGTGTGCGAGCCAAGTTTCTGGACGAGGATGAGGAGGATCTCATTAATTTCATACTTACATATTGTGATTAAATGCAGTAAGAAGAAAAGATAAATATTTGATGGGGCTCTAAGAAATTATAATTGTTATAATACAGACCTCTAGATAGATAGATAGATCTATAGATAGATCGAAAGATATCAGTTTCTCTCCGTGGTTCCACTGACATTAATGTTATACCACCATCTCCGACATTCCCATTTGGAAATGAGAAATCACCAACATTAAACATGTAAGAACAAGTAGGAACTTTCTCGGCTCATCTAGACTAATTATATAGCGCTTTGTGAGGAGTCATTAGGTACATAATTAACTATCTATTAAGATGGAGAAAAGAATCCATTCATAATATCTATACTAAAATGACTTACTGCTCTTTTTTACCCATAACGTATTGTTTCATAATCACTCCTCCTCGTGATTAATAAGAACCTTGACCCATCGCTGTGTAAATCATTTCAGATACGGCAGGGCCTCCTTTCTGCTGAACACGGGAGTGGGATCTGAGAAGTAAGAAACCATCTGAAGTAGTTGAAACATTTGGTGTTCATCATGCATCAGCTGGCACAAATCTTTGCCCAACAACGATGTACATCAGCGAAATCAAACTGTTTTTTTTGTTGGTTTTTTTTTTTCCCCTTCCACAGAGGAGGGGATGCAGTTAAGAGATGATATGCAGATGCACAAATGTGACAAATGTGACAAATGTCCCAACCTGGCAGGAGAGTCATCTTATGGATGTATGATCTTCGTATGAGGAAGATCTCTGCGTTTCGTTTTAGTATTCTAGACCATCCTGCGCCATCACCAATCTGTCCCATACTGCCTTTCAAGCATTTCCTGTGGGACTCATGCTGTGTTCGCAAGGCCTCACTCTCTCCCTCGCACACACACGCGTACACACACACACACACACACACATACGCATACTGTGGTGACTGCAGAGGAAAGTGAGCTGTCTGTGGAGGGTTGGATTCTTGGTGTCGGTCCAAAAATGTGTCACTCGGGACACGCATGGCCTGCTGGAGGCAGGAATTCTGTCGCTAATGGGCCCCGCAGCCGTCGGCACCACCTGGGGATATGGGAGACGGGATGGATGGATGGGGGAGGATTGGGGAGGGAGGGAGGGAGGGGAGAGGGAGCGTGTGCAGCTCGGTGCGTTGGTAATAAACAGGATGCGGTGTGTGTGTATGTGTGGTATAGAAATCTATCTATCCATCTATCTATCTATCCATCTACATCTCGCATCATTTTATCCATGAAATTAAACACTTTATCGTTCGCTGAGCTGTAAAAGCAGCTTGAACGTTGTCGTTTTTTCGAAACCTACAGCGATAAAAAGGAGAGTTTCTAAATTCTATTAGACATAAACCAAGTTGTTTGTCTTCAATATGTTCTTTGAACTTGTGGAATTAATGTATTTAGAAGGAAAAGTCAACATTTTTCCCCGCCATGAAAGACAGCTTATAAAAAATGTGAAGGCATAAACAGGCAGGGCAGGTGTTGACGATGCAAATGAAACGGATGACAGATGGTGAGCCTCGCGATTGCTCACTGTGCAGATAATGGATGGAGGTAATCAAATTCCTCTGAGGCTTTGGGACTTTCTTCAGAACTTTCTCATCAATTGCACCATCAAACAGTACCGTCGTCAAATACATCCCCCCTCTACCTCAAAAGAAGGGATACAAAGAAGTTACAAGATTCTCATTTTTGATAGACTTGGCCAAGTTCTGCTGCAAATTCCTAAAATAATAATAATTAAAAAAATACTTTTCTGTGACAGATGACTCCTTCCTTCATGACGAATCCAGGTGTTGTTTTATCTTCACGCGTGTCACTAAAAAAGAACCGTGTGCCCCCGCGTGTGTGTGTGTGTGGGGGTGTGCGAGACTTACCCGGAGATCAGACGACAAGTTTGAACAATAATGCTTTGCAGCCATTGTTGAAAAGCAACAACAACATCAGCAGGGCAACAAAGTAGATCTCCAGAGGGGAGTCGGCTGTTTGCAAACCCTCTTTTCATGTCCTATGATCGAAGCGCCCATTGATTTATACACTGGAGCTATAGGAGTTGGTGTAACTTCAAATAGAGGTGTGGGGGGGAGATCATGGAAATAAGCATGTGAAGTGAGTTTTTCATATTTCCCACTGGAGGGAAACAAGCTGTAATAGTGTAAATTTGCACAGCGGCGCGGTGACAGCCATTTGATTTTCATAGGGCCCAGTTTGAAGGTCAGTTTAATGGTCCATTTGTGTTTTGTATTCGTCTTGCTTCAGTGGAAGCTTCAAAACAAAGCGGGTCAGACAACACGATAAATGAGTTTTTTTTATGAGCAAAACATGTCATTAAAACCGCAATAAGTCTTTCAATAGACAGAGACTCTTTCTATCGTACAACTTCCTCTCTAGAAGAAGCTATCAGAGCATCTCTGGGGAAAAATGTTTTGCAAACTTGGCTTGGCTGTTATCAGGATGGGAGACAAACACTGTTTTGTCAGACCAGGCTTGAAAACGCCAATTCTGTATCGGAAAAAAGCATTTTTCCTGTCACAACACTCAAGAGCAGCATATTACTGCAACAATTCTCCTTCACACTTCCAGTTATGATCACAGCTTCAAGTGTCAAACATATGTCTGCAGAGAAAAAGCGTAGGAGAAAGTATCACAGAGGCAAAAGGGAAGAAAGTACGCTAAATATCACAAGTCTTTTTTTTTTTTTTTTATGTCAGGTGATGCTGTTTTTTTATGTTTTTTTTCTCCCTTGTATAAATGTGATAATTGCTCCTGGAAAATCTCAGGACAGAGTACCATATTGGCTACATTAAAGGTGCAAAAGCATTGGCGTTGCATTCATTTTTATGTCTCAGTGGTAACGTTACTGGAGCAGCAGTTTTCTGACAGGCTGAGATAGAAACTGCTGGGAAGTGTCTTTTTCTAACAGTGTTCAGTGGCACCTAAATCGCGGGGAAAAATATTCATGATGAGAATGAGAAACATACTGTTGGAGAAGAAGATAAGTTTTCCCGTTGTTTCCAGATCGAGGGCAGACGCAGCCAAGTGAGTGTAATTAACTTTTTTCCGATCTCGTTTGGGTAATCTCTTCCCTCAGTTACCTTAGCCTGTGTGAAATTCCCAATTAACTATATCCCAGCAAAATCACAAAACGACGCCATGTGAAATTTCTTAATGAATTCCTTTGTCTCTGACTGGCACAGATGAGGCACGATGGAGGCACATGTACGGCGAGAGTATTAGTTAGGCGAGCCCATGTGATGGTGCCCGTTCACGGCTGACGGAGCGTTGGTATCCTCGGGCATGGCTGCCAAGCTGCCAGTCTGTGCCGTCACACCTTGCTGCCTTTAAAGATTGCCCTGCAGAGATGGGGGGGGGGTTCGGAGGGGCCTCACGTTTTTAACAACGCGCAGTCTGGCAACCCAGGAGGGTTTACGACTCAGGATCGGTGCCAAGAACTGCCCACCAGAGAGAAGGAGGGTGAAGGGGGAGGAGGATGCAAGGAGATATGGGTGAGGGGCACACGCACACACACACACACACAAAGTCAGGCCCTCATCAGTCACATACACGAAAGGTATGTGTGTATGAATATGTGCATATATGAATGAACCTCTTAAGCAGTGTGTGTTAAAGCAGGAGCAGCTGGGTCCAATATCAGGGTGTATATCCAACAAAACATTATGTCAAATCAATTCATCAGGCTTTCTCTATGACATGCTTAGGAAAAGAAGAAAAGTGTGCACATGCATTGTAGCCTTTACACACACACACACACACGCATGCACTCCCACACACACACACCCACACACACACACACACTGTGCCTTTTCTCAGTAATCCACACAAATGGCAGTGGATGGCAGAATGTAAATGAGCTGGTTATTACACAGCAACGTTCATCAAGCTGAGCTGGAAAGACTTCAATGGCCCTGATGAATATGCATGCAAATTTGTTAATTAAGTTAATTATTCTGCTGAAAATTCATTTGTCTTCCCAAGGACATTTCTGCGATGATTTTAACATGTTTCCACCATTAGTCATGCACGGTGCTATTGAAAATCACTTCTGTTCACCTTTCGGAAAGTTGCGGCCAAAGAGGGGGATAGAACACCTACAAATGAGGAGGAGGAGGGACGGAGCAGGTAGAGGACAACATACGAGGGGCGTGGAGTGTGGTCGGAGGTAGACGACAGCAGCTGGTGCAGCCCGAGGATAAGGAAGGGTAAGCCAAAAAGCGTGGTCTGTAGGATATTAGCTCGGTGGGTAGAGCATTGAAGAGTCAGCGCCAGGGCTTGTGGTCCAGTTCTCTCTGGAAACATCCAGAAATTTTTTCATTCACCCTACAAAGCACTTTGGACGGTAATACGCACTTCATGTGATCTGATATTATGAGAGCTATGTGACAAACAGCATCTTATCCATCCTTTAACACACAAATTCAACCACTACACCGTCTTGATGTGTAATCTATAACTATATGAAGATGTTATGTGGTCCAAAAAGGTTTATTTAGTCCAATTGTATATTAAAGTATTTCTTGTAACTATCCTATGACTTGAAACTTCCTGCCGTCTTCCTTTAGAAGGGTCACGTGATGTTTATGTGTCAGCTGATTGATTTGAAGACGTTTGGCTGTCCTACCTGAACCAGCAGGACAACTTGTCCAACATTTTTTAGGCGGAATATTTGGCACATGAAACAAAGAGTGGGATAAAGAAACATCTGGACTGTGAACCCGTACAACAAAACAAAAGCAGACCAAGAAAACTTAAAACCAGCCGCTTAAAACCACTGCAAGACAGGAAACTACATCGTGGACTGAGAAGAGGCCGGAGTCACCAACACTGGATCAAAACATGTCAAGGTAGAAAATTAAAAAACACACTTTTCTAGTTACAAAATATGTATGAGATGTGATTTGGTTTAACTAATTCAAGCTTAAAGTTATCAGGTTTAAATAATCCTGTAAGTACTTATCCACATAATTTAGTTTGTCTTATATTTTTAGAAGATTAAAACTTCCTTAAGGAGTCTTTACTTTGAGTTTTTAGCTGATTGTGAACTCCAATACTGATGTCTCTATGTAACCTTAAAATGAAATACACTATCAGCTTAAAATTTATTAGTTTTCTAAATAGCTGGTTTTATATAGTTAATTTCTAAGTCTGTAAACAACACCATGGGTTTGTGTCAGAAATAAGCACAAGCAACACTCTTTCAAAACAGCTTCAAAGAGATAATACTCTGATCCCCTCATGGGTTTCTATCTCCTGTATCCATGAAACTAAAGGTCTTGGCAACAGTGAAACACATGACTGGTCATCAACCTGAGACGGTTTCTCAGACCTGAGCTTTACTTTATGTTGACTAACTTTTTAAGCAATTATTTTATTAAAGATAAATTTACAAAGTCTGAAGAGAGTCTTGAGAGTTCAGCTGAGGTCAGGTTGTTCAGTGTAAGGGGGTCTTGACTCAATCCAGACTGTTTTAAGAAGAGGTTGACCGATTATAGTTTTTAGAAGCCAACACTGATTATTTGTCAAAATGCCAATAATCAGTCAAATTAATCAGCCAGTTCTAAGGCTGTTTTTAGTCTCGGCCTCAAGATACAATCAAACATGTTTAATCTTATCTTAAGTCTCTAATCTTGTCTAAAGTTGGCGTCGCTCATTGACGTGAACACTTTAAGCAACCAACAGGCGCACTCTCACCTGCATCAAACAGGATGCTATGAACTAGATAGTGTCGACATATATAAGCGCATATATGTAAGGTGGTTAAATGTACAGTTATCTCAGAGGGTTACACCAAACAGTTTTTTTTTAAGTTAAACTCATAGTACTTTAGTGATGATGTAATTCTGCTTGATAAAAAGTGCACATTAATTTGGAGATATTAAACTAAAGTGTGCCATTTCAGAGCACGTTCTTTTCCATCACAGCAACAGCAGAAGTGCCGAATCAACCAAAAAAAAAGCACACAACTACAAATTTGGGCCTCATTCACATTTTAATTAATGTACAGTTTTAGTAAAATCAAAAACAGGACTGCGTCATCTTTGTGGCATATAAGCCTTAAACAGGTAAGTTACCTTTAGTTCTGTGATAAAAAAAAATGACCAAAAGATTTGATAAAATATACATAATGTTTGATTTTAATTTGTTTCTCTACCTGAAATCATAACTATTTGCTTATATATATTGGCATATTTTGTGGTTTGGATGTCAGCATTTGTTGTCGATACAGAACTAAAACATCTGAAAAGTAAAACTAAAATGAAACGAGATCTTGTGGTTCGAGTTATTTCTTTTTTGGGGGGTGGGAGCCTCTGGTTTTGAATCCGACCACATGAGTTTGAGCCATAAACCCCTGTTATTTCTGGTGTTGTGTTATGTAATGTTATTTCGTCTCAAGTCAAGTCTCAAGGGCCTTGTCCACAATCCTTCCAGTCATGTATAGTCCCATAACATAACCTAAAAGGATACATCTAATACTTGTAAATGAAGATAAACTGTGAAAGTTGCAGAGTGAGAGACACTCACAAAAAAAGTGAAAATGTAAAAATAACCAGATGGGAAAAAATTTAGCAAGAAGCATCAATTTGATACATCAAATGGCCAGTCTTACAAGAGGCAGCTAAGCCTTTGCAGTAGGCTTAGAGTGAATATCCAGATGTTTGATTTGTTAATTAAGTCTCCATGGTAGTTAATCACAGTGTTTCTCTATCTGATAACAGCAGGTAAGCAGGGGAGGGTGACCCCAAAATATAGAGACAGGGGAGTGTAGGATGTGCAGAGACAGGCAGGGATTGTTTCTGAGGTTATAACTTGTTAAAAAAATACACCAGGCTGCCCATCAGGAACATCATAATGTATCAATGACAGTAAAATCCCTGCAGCATCTTTGTGCAAAAACTAATAATCAATGTGTCAGTCTATGAGAGTGAGTCTGTCTCTCAAAGCATATCAAGTGTAATCATTGATATGTCCTGGTAATAATGAAATAAAGAGCATTATGCCATTGCCCAAGCCCCCTCTAGTGGACAGATGCAGCACTGCAGCTGCAGACTGAAGGCCAAGATACAGCCTGAGAGGTTGGTTGTTACAGATCTGTCATCGATCATTTTTTGTATGAATTGACTTGTCACAATTCTGGATTTATGTTTGTTTTAAGCATTCATGTCTATGTTTGCATTAATGTGTAAGGTAACGGTGAAACATTACATCTAATCCTTTTTTAAAACATTTTATCCCCATGACAAATCCAAACAGGATGAGGTGCATTAGGGAAATGTCATACATGCCTGTGTATGTCATACAAGGATTACACCATCTATATTTGTTCACTAAAACAGTTGTTTGTTATGATAAGGCTGACACACTTAATCGATTTGCTTGCGTTTCCCTGACAGTCTGGATTAACAGGCAATAAGACTTTATTAGCAATATGCACACGGTGCACAAATGCACGCACACATTTACACATTTGCAAAGCATCAATTAAATGCACATATGGTTGGAGTAATTATCGTTACAGATAACAAAAATTAAAGGGGTGATATCAATGTGAGAAAAGAGGGTGATGTGCCTGGGAGAAAAGTAGAGCAGGGAGTGAATGTTGGGGCCATAGAGGGCTAGTAGCAGAGACTATAAGAAAACAGCAACAGCTGTGTAGCTCGTGGCTAAAAACAGGAGTGAACAACAACAACATCATTTGCGAAGAAAATGATCAGGGGGAAGAGATTACACTGACTTAAAGATAAGAAATGGGATGCCTCATATTGTCTATTCTGTTTGAGCTCCGGGGTTTCTCCTCTCTTATTTATCTGGTTTGGTCGTTTCTCTGAGATCTACAACATTATCACTGCTTATAAAATGCATATCCAAAAAAATGAAAAAATAAAATTAAAAAAAATCTGTACGTGGTTCCTTTTCATCGTGGAAAAGGCCAGGATGGTGTGAAATAAAGGTGCGACTGCTTAAGTGTTGTGGATTCTAAACTATTGTATCTTATATAACATTTGCATTACTAGATCACAACTGTTCCTTCAACCTCAACTTAAAGCTGCACTGGAGTTTTGAACTCATATTTCCATGGCTCAATGCGGATTTGAGTGTTATTTACTCAAACAAAGCAAAGACTGCATCAAAACAAACTTTTTCATTTCCTTCTCAGGGTGTTGTTGAGTCTTAAGGCTGTTTGTGAACTCTAAAAAATGCTGTCAATTGAGGAACTGCGTTCACCCCTGCTTTGCAAGACGCCTTTCAGGTCACTAGTAAACATTGTGTTTCACTTCTGATTAAATACAAGTTATTGTAGTTTTTGAGCAGTACACACAGCTTTATTATAGCTACAGCACCTATTTTTTTGCTGCTTTTCACACACAGCGCCAAAATACGACACAAAACTCTCTCTCAGTGCCTGCCAGAGAATGTGTGAGCACACCCGTGACTGCTCTGCCCTTGACTTGTATCCATTCATCCAAGCGTGCTGGATGGTTTAGTTAATTAAGCTTAATCTACCCCCAGAGAGGGATACGAGTGCTGTTACAGTGGCCCACTGAGCTGTCCCTGTACACTCTTCTCTGGACCCCCATGGAGCCATCGAGGCCGCGCTGCTCAACCATGTTCAAGTACACCGACAGGGCTCGAGGGAAACAAATTACTTATAATAGTATTACAGATGTGGACCCCAGACGAGAAAGTAGGTTGGTGAACTATTTCACTCACTCAAATGATGAAGGGAAATTGTGTAACTGTGGAATTTCTGTCACTTTTCATCTTACAGGAAAGCAAACCAGAGGCACACGGACAGCTAGGTGTTTTACTGATCTAAATCAAATGAAGAAGGTCACTCTGGAGGGAAATTCTGCTCGGTAAAACTGACTGGACTGGAATGAAATAGAAGAAGGAAATAAATATGCTTCTTTTGCAGTGACCGTGGATTCAAAATAAATTTTGCTTGATCAGTTCTTACACTGTGTTTTTTCTGTTTCTTGCTTGCAGGGCACATCCTTTGTAAACAAAACAAATGTTATAGGGAAGTATATAAGTCATATTTCAAGGCCTTAAAGGGATGTTCCAGCGTAAAATTAATTAATGGTCAAACACACCATAACACAGAGTTAGACACTCCCTCGAGAGATTAATGTTACCAACCACTTGCTTCTCAGGATAGCAATACACAGCAGTCTAAGGAGCAACACACAAACCTCAACCAAAACGCCACTCTAATAGCCACAAATAATGCTCAGAACAGCACCTAACTTCATCAACAGTACATATAGGGTCTCAGCCACAACACTAGCCACCAAACATCTTTTTAACTTTGCCTGATTTCTTTAGCAAAGAGACTAAACACAACTCACCTACTGTCTTCCAGCAGCCGCTTGTTTGTAGTGAGACCTCAGGCCAGTCCATTACGGACTACAGCGGGGTGACGCAGCTCAAGGAAGAACATTTATGATCATTTCTTTATCATTTCCTTGAAGTAATACTCATCATATTAATCATTAATCATTCTTCTGCCATAGTGTCTCGGTCTGATTGCATTTCCATGAAGAAATGATCATGATCAAATGGGCTTCTATGGAACTTACGCAACTATGGAATTTCAGATCTTAAATGGTTTCACTAATAGACTAACAAAAACTTTTGGATCTTTCTTTTTGTATTCACCACAAGTTTGTTCTTCATATTATTATTGAACCTTATTCTGTAAGTTAGAAAGATAACTTTGCTGAAACATGGATGTTGTATTGATGAAATCTTAACTGATCATCACAATGTTTATCAGCTTCAATTCTCAAGACTGGAGGCTGCAGCTTGTTTTAGAGGAGGCCAAAAGCCTATCTCTGGTAGGTTAAACCAGCATAACCAACATGGCGACCACCACTGATAGGCCTCAAAACTGTCGCCACATCTAGTAATAAACACTTTGTGGTCCTAACGTTTCAACGCTAGTTATAACACAGCTTTTGAATCAACATATAATCCCTGACACACACATACACAAATACACACACCTGTAGCTGGGCTTGGCTCCCTGTGACTCTTTTCCTGAGGCCTCCTTGCACCAGAACCAGGTTGCCATCAGTCCATTTTCGAGGAGTAGCAATAGGATACTCGGTCCACCTTCACAGTAACAAGCTTTAGAAATCCCTTTTCTCTCTTGACGTCCGGCCAAACCCCTTCCTTCGACCAGTAGTAAATCCAAAGTTATCTAGCAGTGTGTGTGAACTCCAGCAAAATGAGACCCCTCTGCCGTCAGGCTGTATGTCGGGGTTACCTCAGGTCATGATTTGCAGACTATTTGGAACAGCGCCACATACTGGTGGAGGCTTTCAAAGCTGTATTTACTGTTTATTCTTATTTAATTTAATGAATAAAATGTCTATACTCGTATATCGAATTAAAAAATGACTGTGAGTGAGTAACGCAAAAATGAAGAGGACGTGAAACAAAACAAAATGTAACGGGAGTTAAAGATCTAATAGGTAATTTTCTGAATAACATTCAATTAAATAAATAATCAAACACTGAGCTTTGGTAATTAAATACAAACTGATTCACTAGGCTCTTTGATAAACAATAAATTATAATCATAAGAAGGCATTCCCAATCAGATTTCATTTACCATATTTAACTTAAGTTTTATACACTTTAGTTAAAATATATTTAAGTTTAATGTACATTTATTCCTCAATTTTTTTAACTGATCCAGTTTGGGGGGGGATTTAAATTGTGCCATTTAACTATGAAAAAAAAAATGTCTATACTCATAGTTCCGATTTAAAAATGTGTGATGCAAATTGAAGACGATATGAAACAAAACAGTTTGCGATTTTCCGAATAAACTTTCAATTAAATAAATAATCAAACACTGAACTTTGGTAATTAAATACCAACTGGTTAACTGAGCTCTGCCTTTGATAAACAATCAATTATAATCATAACAAGGCACAAGCAGATTTCATGTACCATATTTAACTTAAGTTTTATTCCTCTTTTTTTAACTGATCCAGTTTTGGGGGATTTGAATTGTGACATTTAACTATGAGAAAAAAAAAAAAAGAATTCACACTCATTTTTCAATGGTAAGTCCCCAGACTGACTCAACAGGGTCACTCATGTTTTACTCCATTTGCGATTTTTCCCACAAAAGCGCTTGCACAGCAGAATTGAAAATGTAGGATGTCGCCACAGTTAGTGGAACAAAGAAGTGAAAAAAGCTTCTCAACACTCCTCTTCACTTTTATTTGGTAAATTGCACAACTGAATTTCTCTTACTTGGCAGTGGTAGTCCAGGGATAAAAGCTTTACCACATACAGTTACATTCAATACATTTATTTGCAATGATAAATAAAGAGATCTATACTTTTTTTGAAGAAATATGCACACTGTCAAAATGAAAATACACCAAACAAAGTTGAGATATTATACATGATATTTTTACATTATAGATTGTGACTACTGGGCTGCTATTTGAATGATGCCTCCAACATGACAGTAGAGTTTTGTGCCGCAAAAGCAACATGCTGGGTACCGGAGGTGCTCTGGCCTCTCTCCCCGCTTTTCTTTGAGTATTTGCGGCAGTGCAAAAGTTGCAAAAAATGGCTACGCAACTTTTGTGAGAGCAAATACAGAAAAGGGTTCATACAACAATGAGAATAAGCCAAGATGCGACAAATTTCATAGGCCATGTCCAAATGTGAGGCTGCATTGCACCCTTTAGGTATGTAAAAAGAACTAATCAAAATCAAAATGTGGTAAGGTCCCCAGCAGAGAAAGAATGCTGTAACAATACAGAAGATCACCACAACAGTCCTGCGACTTTTTCTGTTTGAAGCCTGCAGGACTGTCTTCAGGATGGCACAATAGCAGAAGACTATGATGGCAAATGGGAGGAAAAAGAGCAGAGCTATTTGGAGATAATATCCCAGGTCGAAGTCAGAGTGATCCTCAGAGTGATCCTCAGATTGATAATCACACATGAAATCACCATTCCAGCTGGGCGACACTCCTACTTTGACAGCATCAACCATCGATGCAGCAATACTGATGATCCAGGCAGCTGCACAGGAAACCATAACACATATCCGCCTTGTTGCAGGGTTAATATGGAAGTTGTGCATCACCACCGCAGTGAAGCGATCCACGGTCATGGCAGTCAGCAGAATGACACTACTGTACAGACCGGTGTAGTACGCTGCAATTTTGAACTTGCAGGCAAAGTCCCCAAAGATCCAGTGATGCAGGTGATAGACGGCCCAGAATGGGAGCGTGATAGTGAAGATCAAATCAGAGATGGCCAGGTTCAGGATGAAGATATTTTGGACATTTTTCAGGTTCTCATAGATGGTAAGAACACATAAAACGAGGACATTTCCAATGAGACCAAAGATGAAGATCACAATGAAGAAAGCACCACTGAGGGTGTTAAAGTCAAATGTCTGAGGACACAAATATTCCACATGATCATAATCTTCATCACTCAGAGTGGAGTTGTTCAACATTGTTGGTTTTCTGAGGAAACATGAGCAAAAATGTGATAAGGACAGAATAGGATTTCCTTTTAAATCAGAATTAAAATAATGTGATAAAGTTAAAGATAAATTTGATCATGTTCAGATGAGCTTTATTGGCATGACATTCAGAACAATATTGTCAAAGCATAAAAAATATTACATATTGATAAATTTAAGATAATATGTACAGTTTAGCTTAGTTACTGTAATACAGTATGAAATAAAATCAAGCCTGTCTTAAAAAAGAGAGTTCAAGTAACTTGTAAAAAACTTACTGAGAACAGCCGCCACGTCCTGTGCTGACTCGCAGGGTGCGGGGAAAGATGTCAAATAAGAGAGCAAAAGCTTCCTCTTTTTATATTTGTGGTCAAAAACGCTGACTTGTTATTCTACTTTAAACGTGGCTATATTTAAGGTCAGTTTTCTTCTATGGAAATGCCTTTAAGGTTATTAGAAACCCTGGTAGCGTTATTCCCCCTTTTCAAAATAGGAAAAACCCAGAACTTAACGAGTGCTATTTATTTAATAGTAAAGAAATAAAGAAAACATAGGAAAAAAAATGTTACAGCAATTAGTTTTGAAGTAAAAAAAAAACACCAGTAAATTTCATAATCGGTTCAGAAGTATGACTGTGAAATATGAAATAATTGAAGTTTACAATCAATCTGTCAAACAAACTGCTACACATGCAAAACAGCATAGAGAACCATTTTTTCCACTACAATACAGCTTGATCATAAAGTTTCTAATAACACTGATCAAACACAATGTGAATATAATGAACAACAACCTCATAACAACAAACTTTTACATAACAATTGATCACTGAGTGTATATACACTGTCATAAGCCCACATTTACACACAATGCAAATAAACAAGTGCTTTGCAACATGTTGGATAAGGAAAAGGAGACATGGATAGCCTCACACTTGAACAGTCAGTCCTATATCTACTGTACATAGAAAAGCAAGTGGGATACGTAAGTTTGCCTTCCTAGACTAATAACTATATTACTGTTTGCAAGCTGACCATAATTCTAGTCTGTAATGTGACTCAGGCGGGCGGGTTGCAATTGTCTTTGAGTTTGTTGGACACAAGTGATTGCACCATAGCTGAAACAATGAGTAGACCTTCCCACTAGGTTAGAGGTGCTTTGTGCGACACGTAACCCTGTAACATCATTGATAATTCAGATTACATACACGTCAACAGGATTGGCCAGAATCAAATGTGGGTGAAAGTTATGTGATTGTTACACTCATGAAAGGTCCCACACATTCAGGTCCATGAAGCCAAGTTGGATTAAGGTAATGAGGACTTGACTGCGACTTGACACAAATTCTCTATAAGTGACTCTGATTCAACTCTGAATTCGACAATAAGGACTCAAGACTTGTCAAAAATGTGGGAATGATTTTGAACTGAGTTTTCATTCTCATAGTAAAACCACTGAGCTCTGGTTTACTCTTGCCATCTTAACAATTACATCGAGAACTCATCACCACTTGTCAGCGATGTAATTGTGAGTCGGCTGTGCCTGCTTCGGATGCTGTTACTTTTTCTGATGTTGCCCTTTATCAGTTTCTTCAAGTGGTTTCTGAATTTAACCCCCACAAACACATAAAACACCGGGTTGAGGCAGCAGTGCGAAAAGGCAAAAAGTCGGCTGATGAAATAGGCGTAATCCAGTTTTTCTGATGGGTTACAGTTTGCGGCAACAGTCTGTGAATCAGCAGGTGGTTTGGGATGGTAACGCATAGACTTTAGGTATATTACAATATTGTACGGAGCCCAGCCTACAAAAAAAACTACCATTAATATAAAAATAAGCTTCAAAGTTTTGTTCTTTCTTCTTTGGGCAGTGGGACGCAGCAGACGGCAGCTAATCTGAGAATAGCAAATGACAAGCACCAATGAACTAACTATGAAGAGGATGTTTTGCTGGTAGATATCCCACAAGCTCCAGGAAGACTCTACATACACGCAGCGCTTGTTTTGAACCTCAGTGAAAAGAAACGCTGGAATAGCCACCAACAAACTCACTGCCCAAATAGCCACACATGCTAGAGAGCTTTTGCAGCCCGTGGTGGACACAAAACCAGAGCGAGGATACATGACAGCAGCGTAACGGTGAGCAGTCATCAGAATGAGGAGGACACCGCTGCTGTAGAAACCAACACAGAAGATGAAGTTGACCATTTTGCACACAAGGTCATCTACAGTCCATCCATACTTATCGTAGTAGGCCCAGAAAGGTAAACCTATGGTGAAGAAGAGATCTGATACAGCCAGGTTCAGGATGAAGGTGTTGGTGAGCGATTTGAGATTCTCATACATGACCAGAATCAGGATGACCAAGATGTTTCCAAGCAGACTCAGGACCATCACGACTGAAAAGATGACCAGTGTGAGGTTCGATCCAAAGTGAATGACAGCTGTTTTGTTGCAGGCCTCACTTTCATAGTCCTCGTCATAGTAGTAATCTCTGTCATCAACATAGTAGTCATAGGTGGCAGGAGTCAGTGTGGCAGCGAAGTCTTCAGATGCAGCCATCTTCCTTCAGTGAGAAAGACAAAAATTAAAGGCTTTGAATCTTAAACTTGAAGGTTGATTCAATAAAGAATAACATGTTTATACTGTAATAAAGCTTCTGGTGGATTTCTTTTACATTATCCCATTGATTTATTATGACAACTTCTGCATGCAGTTATCTCTTTGTACATGTAAGTTGAGAAACGCCAATTTTCTCACTCACTTTCACTAGTTAATGCCTTTCTGATGATCCTGGTTTCATTTCCTAAGACTTTGCTGTGTGAAGTATTTTGCCAACACATTTCAGTGGAAGTGTTCAGATTTTCAATGTGCAAGAGAAAAAAATCTTTAAACAAAGTTCTATTGCATAACATTTTACATTCAGATCTGTATTTGTGAAGATTAGTTACTGGAAGCACCTCTATGTTGGCACCAGAACCTGGCATCTGTCAGTGAATTCAGCTTGAGTGTGATCCAATCGCTTAAAAAGTTTGACTACTTTTTTATTACAGTTACATTTTATATAAGACATCCAGTTAATATAAATATACAATATTTTACATCCTGTTAGAAATTGTAACTGCACATACTTGCATGCACAAACTTCAAATTTCCCCCTTTTTTCCTTGCCTCTGTTTTATTTTTACTGTTTCTTACTTTCTTAGGTTTATGCACTTTCATACTTTCATCCTAACATTTGGGCATCCGAATAGTTTGGCCTCAAGAATCACAAAGTTGGGGGTCTGATTTTGTTTTTGAACATATTAAACCTGACATCAAATTGCCCCAGGTATGTAATTCTAGGTTTAAGTGATTTGAGCTGAAAATTAAAATGGACAAAAGCACACTAGGAAAATCTAATAAATATCTGGCGGTTATGTGAAGTCCTGCAATCATATACAGACAATATAGAAAGGCATTCAGCAGTACACTTGAATTTATTAAGTCCTTTAAAAAAGATATGCTTATCAGATCAAAGCCATGCACATATGACATAATTAAAAAGATTTAAAGTCTTTTGAGTTATTTTGACTCATGTTTTGCACAGCAATGATGCACTACAATGAATTTCTGTAGTTGAACTGAACAACTGAACTAATTTACATTAATGACATTAGCATTTGGATTCAAGACTGATACAGAAAAGGAGTCAAGTAACTCTAAAGCTTTTGTTATTTGTCTTATTCTACTGAGCCTGACACAAAAATGAACGTTACCTTTACCTTCAGTAGTTCCACTTCTATTGCATGTGAGTCATTCACAAGGTAACTCTGAAAACAGGGGAACCGGGAGTCACTCTTTAAATACCAACCACAAAGGCTACCAGAAATCGTAGTTCATTTTCAGATCCACACATGACACTTGTAGTTCTTTTTTTTTTGTTTACATACTGTAAGTATTTCCTGACACAATCGCTCAAGACGTCAGAATACAAGGGAGAAAGGCCGCCATCTTTCACCAACATTAGCATAGAAAGAACAAAAGAGCAACATAACACAGGTTTATATTTATTGGAATGCAAAGACAAATGAAAATAAGTGAGTGTGCAAAACTTTTTGTACTAAACTTTTTGTATTTATATTTCGCCAATGTACTGATGATGAAGTTAGGTGCTGTTCTGAGCATTATTTGCGGCTATAGAGTGGTGTTTTGGTTGAGGTTTGTTTATGGCTCCTCAGACCGCTGTGTATTGCTATCGTGCAGTCATTACTAAAGTTGGTGTAACTAGAGAAGCAAGCAGTCGGCAACATTCATCCCTCGACAGAAGTGTCTAACTTGGTGTTTCGGTGTGTTTGACCCTAAATTAATTTTACGCCGGAATATCCCTTTAAATAACTGATCAATTGATTAAGTACGATGTCCTTGTTGTTCTTACAAAAGAGAATTACAATTGTGGTAAATAAATCTAAGATACATTTGATTAACCAGTTGTAAATGTTTTAATTCTTTTACAAAAACAATTATTTCTTGAAACTGCAAAATAATTCTCCTTTTGGAGGAGCTTTAAAACTTCTAGCCTCATACAATACATAATAAACTTTTTTTTTTTTTTTTTTTTTATAGATTTGATTAATTTATTAATTATTTTTACTCTTAGCTTGAACTCATGAAAAAATATTACGTTAGCAAAGCACGAGACACGACTCATCTTTCTGTTTATTTATCCCCTTCACTTCTCAACCAAACTATGACTGACTGCAGCCGTAGCAGGCACACAATTGTCCGTTCGACCTGTCAGTCATTCACAAGTCCCGCCTACGAACGCTAGCAAGTTTCAGCCGTATCACCAGCAAACTGGACGCTCGGGACGACTTTAAACATCGAGTACGTTTACAAGTTAACTCATTTTTAACTGTAGACAGGTCCGGCTGTGTGTACAGTTAAACTTCGATAAATTTGTGACAGATAATTCATATTGAAAACGACCGACGACCAGGAAATGAGGAGCTGAGAACAGGTGCATGTCTGGTAGCTCACGCCTGCCAGCTTTGACAAATCAATGTTTATGTCGGGGTTTGTCGTGTTTTCACGCTGTTTCGAATGTAAATTGAGTCAAATTTGATGGTTTGTGATGTAAACAGTGGATAACAGTGAATTTACCTCGGCTGAGTTGTATCTGACGATGACAGTGTCAGGGTGTCATCCGTCGTCATGGCTGTGATTACATCCTCTCTTAATTTAACTCAATTTATTGATCTAATTTGGCTAATAAGTCATTGGTCCTGGGTTTGTACTAACTGTGCCATTCTGAAAAGACCTCTATGCTGTAAAGAACACAGTGTTTTCAGGGGAGATATCTTCACAGCAGGGGAAAACTTATGTAGGGCAGTGCTATTTTTATATAAACATCAAAGTTGTGAAGCTTTGGCACATTTTTACTGTCACCTACTGCTATTTATAGTTTTTAGGATACTAGAAATGATATTTTTGGTTTGTAGTACATGCCTGACAGGGAACAGTGTTTCAGTCTTTAAAACATATCCATGTCATAAACAGACAGGTCCATATTATCTCTTATAAATGCACTATATTGATAAACTAATAACAGTTCTTCGTGTGTCTTTAACAGCATGTGGAGGCACTGATCATACATTGCATCAGGGTGTGCTCTGACAATCAGGCCATTCATGCAAAGAGAGGCAGAGACTCTTGCCGAGGTGAAAATCAGAGCACTTGTGTAACTGCTTTATACATAAATGAACTCTAATGAAATACTTGCAGTTCTCATACATAAAAACCCATCTTCACATTGCGTTGAACTAGGGCTGGGTGATATCGGAAAAAGTTTATCACTTTTTTTTTCCCATATCAGTCAGTATTGATCTATATCAATATTAAAAATGAAATTCAACAGCTCTTATTGGTAGCATGTCTTTTGCAGTACAATAAACTACTGCATCTGTGAGGTCTTTGTGTATCGTCGACGTTTTGTCGTAAGGCATTGCGCTAGAGAAAGCGGACTGAATGTTTCGGCTGCACAGGCGCCATGGGCTCCGCTTGGGGTTTGTAACCTTTTGCATTACACGTGCTCTGCCACATGGCACAGCTTCAGGTGGTGAAAAAGATTTGAGGTACTCCTTGACTTTCCGAGAACATGTACTCGACTTAATTTGCAGTGCACATTACTCTGCTTCGTGTCCGGCCTCAAAAAAACAAAATACATCCACACCTCTGACGTTTTCGTGCCAGTGATGACGACGATGTCATCATCTGTTGAGCCTTCATCTGCATTTCTGCCGGGGGTAGCACTCATTTTCACCATGTGTTAAACTGCTATGGTTGCGTGTAGCTGCAGCCTGCTACTACACAGTTGTTTGCTACTTTGTTCTAATCCAGCACATGATTGGTTCAGTGCGAAGCGAACCCAGAGCAACTCCCCTTTTCATTGGCTATTTGTATAGTCTACCAAAACATGGCAGAATGCCGGCATATTGAAAAGCATCTTGACTATGTTTTATATTGATATTGAGGGAAATTAATTTTTGATATATGTCGTTATCATTTTATTGCCCAGCCCTACATTGTACATAACTATACTGATTAGCAATGAAGTAGCATAGTAGTCAATAATTGGTATTAGTATTAGCTCAGAACAGCCAATATCAGACAGATTTTAGTGTTTATATTATAAGGCATTTTTAAATTAATAACATTTCTCTCCGTATTTGCTCTGTATTTCATTCAGAACTTCCTGAGTACGCTGTCCTCCCCCCACAATGGCCTCCTCCTCATCAGTTGGGGACAATCAACTGCAGAGGATAATCAGAGATCTGCATGGTAACAATAATGTTCAGATTTACATTAAACACCACCTCTTACAGTCCCATACAGTAAACTACTTACTCAGTGTTCCTTACAGAAGGAGAATACAACACTTCTTTGTGTGTACACGAGAACATGATTTGAGTATTTGTGGTTGTGCTCATTTGTTCAATGCTTTAACTGTGTTGTTTAGATGCTGTGTTAGAGTTGAGTAAAGAACACAAGGATTGTGGTGAACCTGTGACTGATGACAGCCCCAACCTTCACAAGTTCTTCTATAAACTAGAATACCTGCTGCAGGTACGGTATCATTTCAAAATAAAGTGTAAACTAAGTAGAATAGAATTAATAGTTTAAATAGTTTCGTTAGTTTGTTTGAAAGTTTGTACATTAAAGTTATATAAAGGTAGGACCACTTTTGAGTGGTCTCATGACAAGGTGTTGCTATTAAGCCAAGCTGAGGCAAGTGAGAAGCAGCCATATAGGCTAGTAAAAGTGAATGTCTTTGGTTTATGTAACCCGAAAGTGATGCGCTTACGATTCTTATTCTGCTTTTCACGTTGTTTTGGGCAATTTTCCCTAAAAGTAAATATGTTATCTCACTTCTTTTTATTTGCAAAAGACACGAAAAGGTGCAACACTAAGTTTTTAGTTCATTTTCATTTGACTTTAGAGATTCTCAGGACATTATCATGCACTGTAATAACGAATTGATGTGTCCCTCAGTTTGACCAGAAAGAGAAGACAACCTTTCTTGGTCAGAGAAAAGACTACTGGGATTACTTCTGTGACTGCCTGATTAAGATCAAGGGAGCTAACGATGGCATCCGTTTTGTTAAGTCCATCCCTGAGGTAATCCTCCCTTGCAACACACACACACACACACCCACACACACACACACACATACACACACAAACTCGTCACCCCCGGTGCATGGGTCCTGCCTTGGCGTGCGACACTTGCGGCACACAAATACACAGTGCCTGTATAACCATGTGACTAATCCTTAGCTCGGCCAGGTACAGTAAGACTCGTGTTGCTAATTTACTCGGTGCCTCACGCCTGTACCTACTGGACTGCTTTGTTCTGGGATTTCACTCTGGTGAGCTTCACACTGGAATACCTGTAGTTACAGGAACCCTTATGTGTACTGCGTATTAGTCGTAGTTTGTTTAATCTTCACGGTGTCTGATAATGACGTTGGATTGTGTTTGCCTTTAAACTAATGGTTTATAGAAGTTGTGTTGTTCTCTCTGGCTCGATATTGCTAAACTGTCAATGTAATTTATATTATTTAATTCTACAGTGAACATACTTAGTCAGTCTAAAAGTTTTTTGCGTCCTATCAACAACCCCAGCTCTAAAGTCAGTTTATTTTCTTTCATATTTGACTAAGAAAAGCTGAAACTCTTGTATTTTCATGTTAGAACTTGCTCATATCTGGCCTTGTGTTTAGAAAAGTCTTAACAAATCAATCAATGACCTTACATTTTGCTAAATTATTTTTTACCCACTGTGTAATCACATAATTGACGAGTCACTCTCCAAAAGGTAATCAGGTATTAGGTAATCTGAGGTGATTTTCTCTAGCTGTTCTTACAAAGAGTCTGAAACGCCTTGTTTCCAGTGCTTGCCTTTGCTGTTGGTGATTTTTTTATGTGTTTATACTGAACAAGGATACACATCCAGCATCCTGTTTGAATACTGAAGGCGTAACGGGGTACAGCACATGACTGCAACAAATCCGTCAGGTTATGTGCTGATTATTTCCTCATTGATCTGCTTGTTAAAGAGCGTCAGAGCCCAAGATGGTGTCACATACTTTGATTTTCCTAAAACCTGAGAGCAGTGGGTGTTTCAAATGTCCCTAATAGTTGCCAAATCACTCCCATGCTCTGATAGGGTGTGCCTTTCCACTCGCTGTGGAAACCCACCCTATAAGTAAGCAGTTTTTAGTCTGACAAAGTAAGTTACCAAACCAGTCCTGCTTTATCAGCAGAGCAGGAACATGCGTGTCATTCAATATTCACTGTTGCTGTTGCAGGACATCATGTGACTTCAAGTTACCTGAGCTGGAATAACAACCTTTTTGTTTTATTTCATATTTTTGTAGCTACTTTACAGCCATTACATGTTGAAGATTACATGTCGCTACCTTACTTTGAATATCACTTTTACTCTTCCCATACTCGTCTTGTGTTTTCCTGTCAATCAGTCACTGGCGTAAACGAGCCTCCAGCTGGTGTCCTTATGGGAGATCCGTGGGTCTGTTCTCTTACTTAAATCCGTCCATCTGTTTACGTACCGGGAAAGTCTGGGCTTACAGACACTGTAGATTTAGTGTCTATGCAGTGATGACCTTTTGAACTGTGACATCCTTAAACACATTTTGACAGATGACTGTTTAATAGAAGGGGCCATTTCAGCGCCAGATCTGAAACGTGTCAAAAAATAAAGTGAAACTGTCAACAGACAGAAAAATAGGAACATTTTCAAGCAAAATCGCCGCACATCATTTTTGCATGCTGCTTCACATATGTGATATTTTCCACTTTTTTACATTTTATATCACTGTAACCTGAAGAGCTGCAGATTTTAGACTTAAAGTCAGAAAAGAATTACATTCGTCCACTGTACAAGTGTCTTACATGCATAATAGAGGACTTAATTGTCAGATACTATAGGTGAAAAATGAAATAATCTTCAACTTTTAGGCTGCAGAGTAAAGAAAAATTCATAGTGTGAATATTTTGAAAGATTTTATTTTAAATATCAGGTTTTTAATTTTCACAAAAACACTGTACTTGATGTGAAGCTGAGTCCGTCAAAATATCCTGAAAATCCTTCAAAAGAAAATCACAAAATGTGACATTATAGCGACAACATTATAGGACGAGCTGACAGTAACATCTTCTACAGCAGAGGAATAAGTGCAGGTAATATGTGATACTGAATCTGGAGGTTAAGTTTGGTGGGTCCGGCTGATTCTGCACTAAGACTGTGCTTTCAAGGACTGTCGTTGAACCCTCATATTTTTTTATTTTTGCATCTTTTTTTTTCCTGGATAACATTCCCAAAAATATTTTAATCAAGTGTGTGACCTGCGTTAGGTCTTATAACGATGATAACAGGTATTTTGACGTGCTGCAGCTCAAATGGGGATGCTAAAGAAAGCAGGCGCCTCTTTATGTTTGACCCGTGTGACCAGACTATAAAAAAGCACTTACTGACTCTGAAGTGGGTCCATATCATAGTGAGGTAATGTCTGAGTGTGAAAGTGCTTTAAGTGTGTGTATTTTTGTGTACCCTTAGCTGAAGACATCGCTGGGAAAAGGAAGGGCCTTCATCCGCTACTCGCTCGTGCACCAGCGCCTCGCTGACACCCTGCAGCAGTGTCTTATTAACCACAAAGTCACAAGGTCAGAGGACACACACTGATATACAAGAATACTGTAAATATGCAGTGTAACTTGTTGTTCCCGTCTAAATGGGCAGACATCACACGTATCGTGTTTTAAACCAGGAAGTGGGACTCTCCCTTCCTTATTCGTGTCTCATTTCTGTTTTCGCAGCAAACACACAAACACGCCCGCAGTCCTGTCTCACATCCTCAGCCTGTCGTTAAAACAAACAACTCTTGTTTATCTTTATGTGTCCTGGACAGTCTTAGTTTGACCCTAATTGGAGAAAAATAAGTGTTTGCTTTCTTATCAGTTTTTAAGAAGCATATTTTATTATTTTATTTGTTAATTGGATGGCCTTTCTACCTGTCTTATTTACATTCCCACTTATCTGTGTATTCTCTGCCCAAAGCTGGTGACACTAGAACTGCAGGAAAAGAGGCTGTAGTTGCATTAAGGAGTAAGACTGTCATGTATGTGTCATCTAGCAATACACACATGTTTTGAGCCCAGAGTTCATGATCTAGTTTATTCCTGCTGGATGTTCATTCTTAGAGGCAATATCCCTGAACTTAAAGAACCATGCAAGTACATGGAGCCGCAGAGCTACTACAGGTGCTGCATTCATAAAACAGGCCCTGAACAGTTACCTTTTTAATAACTCTGTTTTAGCTGAAGGCATCTGTGCTCTTTTTGTTAGTTAAAAGTGATTTTGTGAATGCAAGTATTATTTATGAATTCAATAAGGAAACCTTTAAGTCAAATAAAAACACATTTATGTGTGTGTTCGTGTCTCTTATCTTGATATCGTGTTGTTTATGTTCTTTCCATTCAGTGATTGGTATTACGCCAGGAGTCCGTTTCTCAAGTCTCACCTCACCGCTGACATAATCAACCACCTTTATGAGCTCAACCAGATCCAATTTGACGTAGCGGCCCGAGGATACGACCTCGATGCCGACTGGCCAAGCTTTGCAAGGTAACGCATGAATACAGGCGAAGCTTTGTTTATACTTTGACAACCAAAAGTTTCTTTTTTTTTCTCCTTTCTTTAAAAATCTTTAATAACCAGCAGACTTAAAGTAATCTGAAATCCCTCGCCAGTTTAGTGCAGCTAATGTAAAGTTGTGTGGAAGCAAGAGACGGCATTTCACAACTTTAAGTAACACTTAATTATCTCATCACCCTGCATGTTCACAGCTCTTTTTTCAGCTTGACTGTGTGCAGATTCTTGGGTGAAAGACTTGTGGGTACCCACGGCGTGTGAATGATGATCGCACGTCAGCACCTTTGCCACTACTTTTCACTTCCTTGTCATCAATTTGCAGTCGCTCCATAGGCAGCGGACATGAGTCTTTTAGGCATATTTCATGATTTTTGCTCTTGTTGAGTAGCACATTATTGTAATTCTTCATCAGGTGTAATGGTTTGCATTGACTTCTACACCTGCACTTCCACCGAGTATTACCGGGAGGATCCCCAGAGAAGGATTCAACAAACACCTGACACATGTTTGATAAGCAAACATGAGGATGACATTTTAATAACAGACACTATATCAGGTTATAAAAGAGCAGAGGTGCAACTACAGTGTAATCCGGACTGTTGTATTCAACCAGCAGAGAAAGCATCAGTTCATATCATTATCTCGTAAATACACTTTTATTGTGAGCTGCTGATTACACATCTGTTTTTGACATAGCAGACCTGCTTTAGAAACAGACACTTTCAAATCAAAGTTTCAGGATTGATGGATTGCTTTTCAGTTTCTCACGTTTCAAATTCCCAGAAATGAGGAGAAATAAAACTTGTAAATCAGGTGTAGGTCTTGTAAAACAGACACTATGTACCATCTGTTTTCATCAGTGTTTATTTGCTCGGATAAACTTTGTCATATCCTACAGAACAATAATCACACAAGCCGTCACTATTACAGTTTTTTTTTTTCATGAATTGTGACTCGATAAATAAAAGAATTTTATATTGAACTTTTTTTTTTCTAATGAGAACATTCTCAGTTTTTTCCAGCAGTTCTTTAAGGAAACTTCCTCTGATTATCAACAACAGTTTATGAAGCTAACCCGTTTCTTTTCTCTTACTCAAAGTTTTTGCATAATTTCCTTAATCTGTAACAGGTTATTTTTATTTTTAATAGGTAGAAATAATATTTATTTACTTTAACACCTAAAAAAAAAAAACAGTTACAACAGTAGCAACTAGTAACAACAATAATAATCAAGAAATAAATAAATAAATTAGATGAATAAATCAGTAAATATCCAAGTAAAAACAATGCCAAGATCAAACAGAATCAGATCATACCAAAACAATGCAAAATAAATGAAAATAAAAAAAACATATAAAGGGAATAGAGAGGAAAAAAATAAAGTAAAACAAACAAAAAAGAGTAAAAAATAATACAACTTAAAAAAAAAGTAAAAACAAAATGATGGGACCTCAATACTGATTTTTTCTGCTTAACTTCTTTTCAGTGTCAGGTGGCATTTTTCATTTTGTCCTGGTTTAATCAGATGTCAAACTTTCTTAATAAGTGATTTCTGTTCTCTTTATAGGCGGACGTTAGGCAGCGCCTCATCAGCTTTCCTCTGGAAGGCTCCCAGTCGCTGCTCCAGTGTAAACAGTCTCGTTAGCACCTATTCACACACACAGGTAAAGGACACACTCATATTCATCTTCAAGACAATTTTTTTTATTTTTCTTCTTTATTTTTGTCAAAGTTTTTTATTTCCATGTGTATTTTACAGTTTGTACTTAAAGAGGGTTTAAACACAAACACTCGATCAATAAGCTCAGAAATGAACAAAGAAATAAAGCAACGAAAAACGTCATCGCATGAAAACAAAAGAAATATTGAATATCTTAAACCACCTGACCAGACTTTTTTTTTTCACAAACCAGGCGCAGGAGTTTCCCACAATCCCAGACTTGAATCACAGTCTCCTTGGTGAACTGGGAGAACTGGGGGAACCTTCTCCCTGCAGCATCGCGGAGAACCTCCGCATTGAGCTCGACCAGTCTGAGCTCAGACAGCAGGAGCTTCTGGTACGTGTTCAGGAGTTAGAAAAGGAAGCCGAGGAGTTGAATGGTGTCGTAAACGACCTCCGAGGCCAGCTGGGAGCAGCTCAAAAGTCGTCTGGCCCGTCAGTGACTCCATCAGCCCAGATAAACCAAGTAAATCATCTGGAGAAAGCCAATAATGTTCAAACCTGCAGGGAAGCAGTAAAGAGTGAACTTCAGGACAGGCTCACAGCTGCTGAGAACAAAAACATGGAGCTGCTCTCCAAGTTAGATGAAGCTCTGAAAGAAAAGGGACAACAAACAGCCAGCTACTGCGACTCGGCTTGGAAAATCCAGGATCTCCTTGATAAACTCAAAACGGTGGAGGAGGAGAGGTTGGAGGCGAAAAGAGAAGCAGAGGACCGAGATCCCGGCACTCTGAGCGTTTGTCACAGGAACTCAAACTCAAAGAGGAAGAGTTGAGGGAGTGTGAGGAGAAGCTGGTTGAAGTTAAAGCCGGAGCCAGTGATGAGCAGGAGAAGGCGCTCAAACGATTGGAGGACCTCCAAAGCGCGGTGGGTAGAATTCAGGGGGCGCTGACGCTGAAAGAGAAGGAGACGGGGAACCTAAGAGCCCAGCTTCAGGATCTGCAAGCTTCGCTGGAGTGCAGAGAGCGGCAGGCCGAGGAGCTGAGGAGACGACTCCACGAGGAGAGGGAGGAGGTGGAACAGAGGTGTAGCGTGAGCAGTTTCCAGAACGAGGAACTCGAGAGCCAGATACTCGATGTAAAAATCACTGTAAAAAGCAGAGAGAAAGAGCTAGCTGCTAGTTCGGAGAGAATCAAACATTTAGAGGAACAGTTAGAGAAGCTAAACGTAGAAAAAGAAAGCCTGAGCTCTAGACTCTCTGATAATGACGAGTCCGCTTGTGATCAAACTGACAACCTTGAGGACTTCAAAACCCAGTGCAGCGACCTCAAAGAAGCAAACGCCACACTGCTCCAAACTGTGAAGAAGAGCGAGAGCAGCATCGCAGAGCTGACCGAGAGCAGAGCGGCTTTGTTAGACCAGCTAGCCTCTTTGAGAGCGTCGGAGAAACACTTAAAGGGAAGAGTCGAAGCCGCAAAGATGTGTGTGGAAGATCGAGAGAAGAAGCTCCTGGATGAAAACCTGCATTTGGAGGAGATCGTCCAGAAAGTGCTCACCCAGAAGGACGTATCTGACGCTCATTTGAAGAAGCTGGAGCAGGAGAACAAGGAGCTGTTTCAGCTGCAGTCCACGCTGAAGACGCAGTTAGCCACAACTCAACAGGAACTGGACTCCATCACCGCCAAAGCTGCACAGTCAGACAAAAACCTCACCGTGTCCCAAAGAAGCCAAGGAGAGTTACTCGAGAAACTCCAGGAAACTGAGGCCAAACTTCGAGAGCAGAATGTTCGATGTGAACTTCTGCAAGCGAGAGCGGTGGAGCTGGAGAGCAGGTCAAGCGAGCTTCACGATGAGAAAGGCGCCGCAGAGAGCAACGAAAAGACGCAGAAGCATCACGACGAGCACCAAACGTCTTCGCTGGAAACCAAAGATGCTCCGTTCAGGCTGGTCATCGCTGAGGCTCAGCTGGAGCTCAACTTAAGAGAAGTCCAGCGGCTCAGAGAGGAGGTGGTGGAGCTCAGGGCTCAGCTTCTCGCAGGAACCGAAGAGCGGCTGAAAGTTCAGGCCCTGCAGGAGGTGACCGAGTCCTCCAGAGAGGACCTCCGCGTCTTATCAGAACAACTTAAAGCCCAGGTGGAGGAGCTGAACCGCAAACACGTGGATGAGATTCTTCGATCCAGGGAGCGTGAGGAGGCTCTGATACGGGAGCGTGACGGCGAGGCTCAGGCCCGAGCACGTCTGGCTGCAGAGGTGACGGCCTCCAGGGATGAGCTCAACAAAGTGAAGATGCGTTACGACGCCATGTGTCTGGAGAACAGCGAATTAAGAGAGGCGCTCCACAGAGCAAACACCGAAACAGCTGAACTCGGCGTGCACGTGTGCATGCTGACAGCCGAGAACGAAGAGGCTCGTCTGCGCTGGGAGGGTTTGTCCGCGAAGCTCCAGGAGCTGGAGGAGGAGGCAGCTAAAGAGGAAGAGCGGCAGAGCACCTGCACGGACCAGCTACGTCAGGAGAACCAGCAACTCCACGATCAGCTCCACGGCGAGAAGGTTTTGTCTGCAACCCAGCAGGAGCTGCGGCAAGAGCTGAGCAAGGCCCAGCAAGAAGCCGAAGCCGCGCAGACAACCAACCAGGAGGAGATTCAGGCTCTCCGCTTCCAGATCAGCAGCCAAGCCTTGAGCCACAGCAACCAGCTCCAGGTCAGCCACAAACAGTTCACCCCAATAAATACACGAAGCTAAATTCTCACATATCAGCTAAAAAAAACATAGTTTGATTCCCTTTATTCAGATTGAAAGAGAAAGTAACATTAGGCAGCCAGTAAACGTCTCAATAAGCATTTCGATGGAGCAAAATCAGGACAAATTTGTGCTAGTGCAGCGAATCTGTGGGCAGAATTCAAGTAGCTGACAAGAAAATTACAGCGAAGTCACTACAGAGCAGCAGGAAGCTGTGCAGGATTCCTCCCAGCACCTCGTAGGCTTCTGTGCATAAACAAGTACCACTTGCTTTAGACCCGCTCTGATGAAAATCGCATTTTTCTTGTTTTTTTTATATGTTCATATGTCATTTTTCTGATGCAACAGGACGTATCATGAGAAAACTAAGAGGAAAAATAGCTTCTCTGAGTATTTCTGCTTTCAAATCTCTGGCAGACCCAAACGGCAGGTTCAGATTCAGTGAGATTTCATACGTACAGATCCAAGCTCCGCCCCCAAAGCCTCGCCATACAGGCCACACTTGGAGAAATAAGAGAGAACAATCACGGAACAAGTGTTAGCGGATTGAAATGCTCGTAAGAAAGCTAATTATGATATTAGCTTTCATCGTGTCCCTAAAGACATTAGTGTCCGAGAGCTGAATAGCTTCTATGTCACCTCTTTCTTCTACTACACCAGCAATGTTAGCGTGAAGAGAAGTGTGCAGAGCAGCGCTGTTTCCGCCCACGACTCAGAGGCGAATAGCTAATGGACTACTGGAGCTCTGCAGAGGAAAAGCCCTTGAATATGAAACAGGCGCGATTTCGGCTAAAAACTTTATAACCACGATTTAAAGACCACTGAGAACACTTTAAGTAGAAAAATCTGTGTTTTATCATCGACGGTGTGTCATCTGTGGATTTATTTGAGTTTGTCTTCTTTCCCAGACTGTAAATCAAGAGTTACAGGAAGTGAAATCACAGCTTACGACTGAGCAGGAGAAAGCGGTCGGCCTGGAGAGCAAACTCGAAAAGCTCGAGGTGAGAGGATGAGCCGGATAAAGATCTGTCAACATGTTTTTACAGCATTTTTAAGCAAAGTCTTCTAACCTCTGTTTACTCACTGAAGCATGTCATGAAGTGTTCCTATAGTAACACGACATATGAAGGATTTAATGTAGAACACGACCTGCGATGTGACGCTTCAGAAATGAGTTTGTGCTCCGTACGCATTTGCGTGTCTCTGTTTTGATAAATGAAAGCGCAAACTTCACTCGCATTGTACTCCTCGGCAGTTGAAGTAATCATAACATTATGGTCGCAGGCGTAATTCACAAAGAAGCAGAAATAATGTGTTGCTGTGCTGTACTGATTGCAGGCTGAGAATCAGAGATATTGCCAACAGATTGAGGAGAAAAACATCCAGATGGCCAAGTCTGAAAATCTCATCCAGCAGAAAGGAGACGAGATAATCCATCTGAAAGAGAATTTATCAAGGTGAGAGACTTTATTCATGAGCTCTGTGAAAAAAATGCTTTTTTTAAAATCTTGTTTGTTCGGATTAAAACGCAGATATTTTCATGTAGTTTGTCTTTTCTGGGATTTTTCTCTCCTTGTTCTTCCCGCTCCAAATTCACACCTAAAACTCCGTTATAAAACAAAATCAGTCTCACTTTGTTTCTAATCAGTGTGTTTTTTTATGTTCGCAGGTCTGAAGACCGTCTCGCAGCAGCTCAGAAAGCCTGTCAGGAGATGTGCGAGAATCTACGGAGAGTCACGCAGGACAAACAGAGCGTTGATCTGAGGACAGCCGCTGAACTCGATGATCTTTACCGCACCAAAATCAACCTGGAGGAGAGGCTTGTAGAGCTCATCAGGTACAATCCACTCAAATCTGCTCTGAATGTTGTTTTAGTGTCATGTTTTTTGAATTTAAAGAAGGACATGTCGAAATAAAATATGTAAAGATCTCTGCTTTGATGTTTTTGCGCTTTTATCACATTTGCCTGCTGGCGCTCTCTGCAGGGAGAAAGACGCGCTGTGGCAGAGGACAGACGCCCTGGAGTTTGAGCAGAAATTACGGGATGAGGAGACGGAGAGGGACGTCAACTACTGTATGGGCTGTCACAGTCAGTTCAGCTGGTGGCTGCGCAAGTACAGCTGCAGGTCAGTCATCAGTCATCGGTCATGTGCGTGTACACACATGTGCATCTACTACTGAAGCCTGATCAAGAAAGATTCATGAATATTTCTAAAGTAAATAAACAACATCATCTTGAGCTTTACTGCCACTGAAGCAACATCTTCCTCCGTGAGTCTTTGAGAGTCAAATGTCAGACTGACTGCGTCACTGCCAGCCAGTGACATCTGGTTTGTTTGTTTCACTTCACGTTTCGACTGTAACCAGAAAGTGAAGTCGAATCAGTTCTACGAAATAGTAACTCAGCACTCATGTGGTTTGCACCTAAATATCCAGAGACGACATTTCCTCCTTTTTTAATGTCAATAAGTATTTGAGGTATTTGGGGATTCGTCCGCTGAGCATTTAAATAAACATCTACAAAGTAAAATAGGTCAATTATAAAAATGACGCTCCTGGACATTGTGATCATTTTCAAACTTTTATGTTTAGATTATTTTCAGTGAGAAATGAAGAATGTGATAAAATGAGCTGTTGTTCCGAGAATATAGCTGTTTTTCTATCATTTTCACCCTCCAAGATTAATGGTTTTATCCCTCTTTGACTTCAGTCGTACACGTGTTTCGATGTTTCTGTTTCCATAGTTGGAGACTTATTCTCCTTCAGATCAACTTAAGGGTCTCAAAACAGGAACTGCTCTGAAAACTGGAGATAAATAGCACTTTTAATGAAGTGACCTTGAAAATACTTCCTGCAAGTTCTCAGAAAAAAAGTTGCCATGTATTAAATAAATGACTTATTCATTTTTTGTCACTTTTCTATCTGAAAAACCACAAGAAAAGATTCTGAGATGTCCTCAGTGAAAGTTAATTCACATGATAAATGTGTTCTCTACACTATAGTGACCTGCATTGCATTTCATAAGCGCTCATTACTCACCCTATCTGTCTCTATCACTTTGCGTCTATTTCCAGACTGTGTGGGCGTCCCTTCTGCTACTACTGCTGCAGCAACACAGTGAGCACCCAGCAGGGCGGCAACAGAGAGCGCTGCTGCGGTGACTGCTACAACCAGCACAGCGCAGTGGTTGAGCGCCACCCACAGGAGGAATTCACCACCAGCACACCCGGGACACCCTTCCGGCGTTTGCTGCAGGCTGGCAGAGCTGTGACTAGTTTGTCAGGTACAGAAACACGGAGTCTCTCACGCTGAGTTTTAAAAGAGCATTCACAGAGCAGTGAGTGTACAGTGTGACATTCATGTATTAACCTGTAATCAATGTGTTTATGTTACAGGAGCAGATGAAGGTGACAAGCAGGAGGATGGCATGTTTGACATCATCACAGACGAGGAAGTAAGCGGGGTCTACGACAGTGAACTCTCTTTCACCACTGCGTGCTCTCCGGGACACGGACAGCAGGGGGCAGCACAGCTGTAAGTATCTGACAAGTATTCACTCTGAGAGGAGATGATGAGGCTGTGGCTCAGGGAGTCACTCATTCAGACAAACCACAACAAAAGGCATGAATTTAAAACCACAGGAAAAAAAAACAAACACAGTTTCTACACATTTCTGTCTTCAGAAAAGCCTGGAGACAGAGTTTAATCTGTCAAATTATAACAGTCAGAAAAACAGCAAATATGAAGTGTGGATGTTTACACTTAAACAGAGAATGAAAGTCAGGGTTATTCTCTATAAAATGATTCGAATTGTGTATCGTTGTAGTCATCTGTCACTTTTTTCCAGACCGAACAGTGCCAGTGCAGGAGACATCACGTCAGAGGAAACCGAAAACGTCAGCACTGCGGTGCAGGACGCAGAGATCTGCCTGCTGAAGTCTGGAGAGCTCACGTGAGTTTGACATACAGTGAGGTTTTAACAAAATATGAAAAAGTCTGACCCGAACTTTAGTGTCACTGTAAGTAAAGAACTATATTCAGAAAAGCTTCAGAGTTGACATGCCTGTTTGTTTAAGCGCTATGATTAAGGTGACCAGACGGACAGTCCCCGAATTGGATGACCTGTCCCCGGCAAAAGCTGTCCCCGAAAATGTCCCCCATTTAAGCTTTTCATGAATGAGAACAAAAATGTTTTGTCTGCTACTAAATAGTATAGAAATAATGACTGTGATCACGCAGCCCATGCATCCCCCCCGCCGCCACACCGAATATCCCCTGGATTTCGTTACAGAAATCTGGTCACCTTAGCTATAATAGGGGTAACATATACAGTGCCCAGCATAAGTCAGTACACCCCTATTAAAAGTAATGTATTACTATTAATATCTAGATCAATATCAAGTACAGTTTCCAAAGTTTTGACAAAGCTGAGTTTAACATCACATTTAATTTACCATAAGGTGAAAGTAAGAGTGATAAGGTAACTAAAATTTAGCTTTGCTCCGAGAACTTTGATTTGGGTTTACTCATTTCTGCATCCTGATTTTAAATGCAACTTAAAAAAATCTTGTTTGCAATCAATGACGTTCATTTGGGGGAGTATTTTGTTGTATAGTCTGACAGAAAATGTTGATTTTGAAAGGAAACTAAAGGACAACTCTGAAGGGGTTTACTCATTAAGGCCGAGCACTGTATGTGTTTCTTTGCCTGCAGAAAACTAAAACTGGCAAACCCCATAACAGCAACGTTTACATGTGCATGTATCGTGTATTTTTCTGCTACAAACTTTTCTCCAAAATGAGAAGTGAAACTGGAAAATCTTTTGGCTGGAGGGTATTCTAAAACGTTGCTTGTGTTGCAAGATCTCCGTGTTGCTTGTGTTGTAATTTGAGGCAGGGTTGTTATGGGGAACGTTTGAAGAGCTGATGTCAGCAGGTGCCGGCAACTGCAAGTGTATTCGCTTTGTTCAGGGCACAAAACTAGAGAAAAGTCTGAACTTTGAACCAGTTTTAGAAGTTTGTTAGATAAGAGTTTAAAAAAAAAGTTTTACAATGTCTGTCAGACAGTCAAAGACGTTCTGTTTACGTCAAAGGAGAAAATGCGATTGTCCATACTTAAAAAGTAGATCCTTTGATAAACAAGTCAAAGGAGAGATTAGAATCGAAATCAATGTAGCCTGTTGTTTTTCATGGGCCGGCATCTACGTCAGCGGACAGCGGCAGTGCTGGAAGAACAACAGACATCAGAGAAATTCATTTGGAGGTTTTTTTATTCTGTAAACCAAATGTAGAAGATAGAGATCATGTAAAATATGAGGAAACAAAGAAGTACAGCCACTGATAACATCTGAGAAGCAGCTGGCATCAGTTTGACGTTTCTGTTTTAAAAATATCACATAAGTAGACCATCAATCTTCTGCGATTGACTCATGAATTATTGTCAGTCTTCTCTAATGCCTGAAAATATTGTCATCTCTCCTGAATCTATCCTGTTCTTTCTTCTTCTTCGTCGTGCTGCAGGCTTTCCTTCCCCTTCACCGTGGATGACATCTCAGGGTTTGGAGACGACTCCCGAGAGCTTTTCATCAAGTCGAGCTGCTACAGCACCCTCCCCATCACCATGAGCAGCCCGGGTCCGACTGTCAGCTGGACGTTCACCTCTGAACCCAAGAGCATCTCCTTCAGCGTGGTCTACAGGGAGAGCACACAGACCCCGCTGGAGCAGGCCAAGGTGAGACAGCGCGTATAAATCATGGATTAAAAAAAAACATGCACTTACAACACAGAACACCTTCTTTAAAAGATTCTGGTTCAATAAACAGACCAAGGATGCAGAACATGTTTCTCAAACGAGATCCCCGTCCTTTTCCCTCCTCAGGTTTTGATCCCACTGACTCGCTGTAACTCCCACAAAGAGACGATCCAGGGAGAGATGAAAGTCAGAAAACCCGGAGAATACATCCTCATCTTTGACAACTCCTTCTCCAGGTCAGTCACTCTCTGACATCTGTGAGGATTAGGTTTCAATAAGGTCTTTTCTATTTGTACAAAACTAGACAGGAAGGATGAGAGTCCCTATTTTTTCCCCCCTTTTTTTTTGATCAGGTTCATCTCCAAGAAAGTGCTGTATCATCTGAGTCTAGACAAGCCCGTGGTGTACGACGGAACCGACCTCCTCTGAACACGACACGGAGTCTGACACAAACGGAGCACGGTGTCGAAGCTCATCAGAGTGATTTCAAGGTACCAGGTCAGAGTCAGCTGACAGCTAAGCAGCCTCAGCGGAAGGCTGTGGCATTTTAAAGACGTCTCTCTCTCGGCCCGCTTCGTGACGTAGGAGATTAGAGCCCAACAGAGGCTTAAAACAACGATGGAAAACGACGTTACACTTTCGAATGTGAGCAGACACTAAACCTTTAAGAGGTTGATGTTACAGCTAAAAGGTCACATCAAGGAAATCAAACTCGACTTCAAGTTTTGATGTTGTTGCACATAGTGTGTTTGGATGTGCACAAGTAGGTTTCACACTACCTGCAGATGTCAACTCCAGACTTCAGACTGAGGGGTGACTGTTACTTTTCTTATTCCCCCCTGAGGTATGACTTCTTTTTCAGAAATAGGGTTAATTTCTCTGTGGACAGGAGAGTATAAAGATATGTTTAAAACTATTTTTGTGATATCGATATTTATTGTAACTTACACATAAGAGAATCACTATTTAGTGGCTTATTTAAGGACCTTTATAAGAACCAGACCAAAGTGTCTGTTTTTGGCATTAAATGCATGATGAGTTCACTATTATGTTGTGTCAAAAAGAAGAATAAATTCAATCAATAATGATTACATCGAATTGGAGAAGCTGCGATTCTTCGACAAGGAGATGAAAACCTTTATGTCCAAAGAACGGACTCCAAATGCAGATTTTTTTTACGTTGAAACAGAAGGTGGTCATTTTCACTTATCGTAACATATCACAACTGTAATATGAAGAATAAGTGGGACATTTATTCATTTATTCAGGCATTAACATCAGCCAACTGTACATAATCCCTGACTAACTGCCCACCGCTCAAACAGAATACCCTTAAAATGAGGGCTTCTGCAAATAACACGGTTAGTGAAAAGGTGAGACAAGAGTGAAGCTTAGACTTCCACAAATGTCATATCTATCAACTTAACTAATAAACAAAAATAAACTGAATGCTGTTATTCATTTCTAATCATATTTAAAGTTATGATTCATCCACATCACTGGTGGTGTAGCTTAAACTATTGATTATTGTGTGTCAAACTTTAATTTTGATTTTTCTTTTTTCTTTGTTGCATTAAGGTTGATTAATTTACAATAAAAAAGTATCTGTTTCTATGCTGACGACCAGTTTAACATCAATAAATGTGTTGCACTCCAGGAGAAGATTAAAAAAAGAGGAAACTGATGTTAAAAAGACTTTAATACTTACTAGATTTTGTTGTTTTAGTCGCCTAAACTACCTTCAAGTTTTACAAAAACCTCATTTAACTGTGACCTTAAGTGAATTACTTTTACTGGCTTAAACGTACTGTTAGAAGTGACAGAAAAAAAACAAAAATCATGCTACTAACTCTTTAAAGTGGTGTGTTGATATCTATCATGCTGTTGTAGAGTTAGCATTCATTGTTTTGAAATGACTGTTTGTGCCCAAAGCATGTACTGTAACCTGTTTCCAAGTTTATGTGGATTTCAAACACAGTACAGGATCTTAACTCATCGTTGCCTTTCAACTGCAAGAAATGAAAAGAAGTGTACTGTGTTTATTGTGATGCAGTCAAGTGTTCAAAAAAAAGAAAAAAAAACAAGACTGTATGAGAAAAGCTGTAACAGTGTTTAACAGTCTGAATTTCTATGCATGCAGACAATGAACAAAGGATCATGTATCGAGAACATTATCCTGAAGGGAAAACAAGGGAGCCCATAACGAATCGTTTTACGCATGTTCAGTTTTACATTCGATTTGAACCAAATTGAGAAAAGTATGAGCGACATTTTGTCTTAAGATACATGAAGCCTCGTTGTGGGAAAACAAACAGTTATAAATACGCTTTTTTTTTTAGTGTTTTTTCTAATAGAGTTGTGTGATTTTTACTATAGCTGTTGACTTTTGTTGTGTTACATAAGTCTGAATATGTTTGGCAGCGTGTCAAACCGAACTCTTTTTGAATCTCAGCATAAAGCCTTCAAACACTCCGAAAAAAAATCACTTGAATTTGTCTTAAACGGACGGTTTGACGGTTTTAAAGTTGCAGTTGTTTTTCGTCGCTTAAGTGAAACTGACACAAAAACAACCGAGACACTGTTTTGCTATTAAAGGAAGGACTAACACTTTACATGATGTCTTCCACTATTTTAAAAAAAGCATTTTGTATCTTATATTTTCATCATGACATGGAAGAAGATTGGGAAAACCTTTTATACGTGTCTGATAAAGAGGGATTGCCAAATATACTGGGAAGACATATGAGTCTATTTTATTGTTAAAAATGGAGTTTCTATTTAAATGCATTAAAACATGACTGATGTAAAATGCACTTTTTGAGAGGGCTTTTTGTCTGTGTTTTGCCTTTGTGCCAGTTAATGAATGTTTTTCTTTGTATGTAGATATCTTCTGCTTGGTTTGTTAGAGGGGAGAGTTTACTTTTGGACTTTGTTGGAAAGTGTCACTATTGTATTGAGACATAATTTATATGCTAAAGATTTATTTTAGAATGGATTTAAGATTGTGGAAAAAATAAAAAAAGGACTGTGTGAAATCTTCTGCTGAGTGCTGGTTTATTTACTGTATCGACAGCATGTTACTATTTTTAACACTGTTTTGGTTCCTTTCTCCACTTGATAAGATATATTTTACATGTGTTAAGTGTTGCAATTTATAATAGATTATTAAAGACCCACTCGGATGAAAATCATGTTTTTCTTGTTTTCTGTATGTTCATAGGGCATTTTTGTGATGCTACAGGACACAAAATGAGAAAAGTAAGTGCAAATTTTGCTCATAGTTTTCCCATGTAATGTCCTCCAGCATCAGAAAAATGCCCTATGAACATATAGGACACTATAAGGAGTTTTAACTGTTTGAAAAAACACCTCGGAACTTAAACTAATGACCTCCAAAAGCAAAAGAAACCATCAGCAACTCAACTCAACTCAACTTTATTTGTTAAGCACTTTAAAACAACCACAGCTGAACAAAGTGCTGTACATAACTAGACAAAACAACAAGATAAAAAACAATCAAACAATGGAAAAAATAAAAGCAGAATTAAAAGTGAAATATAGTTTCAATGTTTTTAAAAACTAATTTAAAAACATAGAAACAAATAACTAAAAACAAACCATAAAACACTAAAACAGGAGCCGAGTCTCATGCAGGGTTAAAAGCCAATGACAGGGAAAATAATGTCTGTGTTATATCTCTGACACCTGAATATGCTGTTAGGGGTTACATGTCATACAAGATGATTGCCCCGGGCTGAAAAAAACATCCTTTTTCCACATTAAATCCTCTCAGCGAGAGATACAGAGAGAGGTTTTTGTCTGCAAACACCACTTTCACATATACAGGACAAGAAATAAGATGGTATTACTTTGTCCACAGGGGGCGCCACAAACCAACAGCTCCTCACTGTAGCTTTAAGAAGTCCAACACAAATTGAATGCACGTTGAATTGACAAACAAGGCATGCGCTCCAGTTAAGCGAGCTACAAGGGGGGCTGTTCTTTAAAGAGGACGCCATATGCATCGAGAAATGGGTTTCCTCTTGTGAAATAACACAGCAGACTTAAATCACAAATGGACTGCATTTACGGAGCATGTTTCTAGTGTTGAGACCACTCGAAGTTCTTTTACGCTGCATGTTAATTTCTGATCACACACTGTCGGCGGAGGCTGTTACACAAAGTGCCCATCAGAACTAAATGATTCCATATTCGTGCATTTACATAGTGATGGCTTTGCAATTCAGGGTTTAGTGTATCGCCCAAGAGTGCTTACATCAGGAGGAGGAGGGGATTGAACCACAAACCATTCAGTTGTGAGACAGCCAGCTTAACCACTGAGATACAGCCTGCCTCAGTGACCAAGGTGGTTAGGATAATTCACTTTCAGGAACACGTAATTGTAGAAGTTCACATTTTAAGGTCCATCTTCCAGCAGAGGAAAACCACAACAGCCCTGGTTTATACAAGAGAAGGCCTTGAATCATCTATCTATCTATCTATCTATCTATCTATCTATCTATCTAAACAGATCTAATCTAATCTACATCTATATCACACCACCTGCTTGTGTGTATGTCCATGTGTGTTTTCCTGAGCAGTCACAAGTGCCTTACTGTGGCGCCTTAGGTTTTGTTCCTGTAAGGTGTCTGTCTGAGAAATAGTGTTGATGTCGTGGGGCCATTTTGCCTTTCAAGGTTAATGATCTCATTGTAAATCATGTCACATCCACCTCTCCCCTCTTCTCCTTCTCCATGACTCTTCTCTCCTGCTTTCCTCTCCTCCTGCTTGACTGCCTTCGTTGAATCTGCGATTTGCACCGTGGCTTTGCAAATGCATGAACTTGTGTGGATATGTGTGTGTGTGTGTGTGTCTGTGTTTGAGTATTGAGTGCTAATGCGGTACCCATATGTGCATGTAAACACTTCACTGATGAGGCCATCCACATGCACAGAACTAGATGCATTCTTGTACAGGCCTATATCTAAACACATGTATGTACAGCCATGTCCACTTTGAGCATCGGTTCTTCACATCCTCAGCTCCTGGTGGCTGAAAAAGGCCTTTCGTACTCTCACACACAGTCCCAAATATAATTCAAAGTGAAACTTCTCTCCTTCATCGGACTTCTTAAAGGGATATTCCGGCGTAAGATTAATTTAGGGTCAAGCACACCGAGTAAGACAACCCGTCGAGAGAATAATGTTAGGTCCTAGCCACAGCACTAGCCACCAAACATCTTTTTAACTTTGCCTAATTTCTTTAGCAAAGAGACTAAACGCAACTCACCTACTCTCTTTAAGCAGCTGCTTGTTTGTAGCGAGACCTCAGGCCAGTCCATTACAGACTGTTGCGGGGTGGCGCAGCTCAAGGAAGAACATTTATGATCATTTCTTCATCATTTCCTTGAAGCAATAATCACCATATTA